ACTTATCTTCTCTACAGCAACACCTCCCAACTTATCTTCTCTACAGCAGCACCTCTCAACTTATCTTCTCTACAGCAGCACCTCTCAACTTATCTTCTCTACAGCAACACCTCTCAACTTATCATCTCTACAGCAACACCTCTCAACTTATCATCTCTACAGCAACACCTCCCAACTTATCTTCTCTACAGCAGCACCTCTCAACTTATCTTCTCTACAGCAACACCTCTCAACTTATCATCTCTATAGCAACACCTCTTTATTTATCTATTCCACAGCAGCACCTCTCAACTTATGTTCTCTACAGCAACCACCTCTCAATTTATCTTCTCTACAGCAACACCTCTCAACTTATCTTCTCTACAGCAACACCTCTCAACTTATATTCTCTACAGCAACACCTCTCAACTTATCTTCTCTACAGCAACACCTCTCAACTTATCTTCTCTACAGCAACACCTCTCAACTTATCTTCTCTACAGCAACACCTCTCAACTTATTATCTCTACAGCAACACCTCTCAACTTATCTTCTCTACAGCAACACCTCTCAACTTATTTTCTCTACAGCAACACCTCTCAACTTTTATTCTTTGCAGCAACACCTCTCAATTTATATTCTCACAACACCTCTCAACTTATTATCTCTACAGCAACACCTCTTGACTTATCTTCTCTACAGCAACACCTCTCAACTTATTTTCTCTACAGCAACACCTCTCAACTTTTATTCTCTACAGCAACACCTCTCAACTTATCTTCTCTACAGCAACACCTCTCAACTTATTTTCTCTACAGCAACACCTCTCAACTTATCTTCTCTACAGGAACACCTATCAACTTATCTTCTCAACAGGAACACGTCTCAACTTATCTTCTCTACAGCAACATCTCACAACTTATCCTCTCTACAGCAACACTTCTCAACTTATGTTATCTACAGGAACACCTCTCAACTTATCCTCTTCTCTCTACAAGAAAACCAGTCAAATTATCCTCTCTACAGCAACACCACTCAACTTAAATTCTCTGCAGCAACACCTCTCAACTCATATTCTCTACAGCAACACCTCTCCACTTATCTTCTCTACAGCAACACCTCTCAACTTATAGTCTCTATGACAGAAACTCTCATCTTATATTCTCTACAGCCACACCTCTCAACCTATCTTCTTTACAGCAACACATCTCAACTTATCTTCTTTACAGCAACACCTCTCAATTTAACTCCTCTACAGCAACACCTCTCAAATTATCTTCTCTACATGAACACCTTTCAACTTTTAGTCTCTATGACAGAACCGCTCATCTTATATTCTCTACAGCCACACCTCTCCACTTATCTTATCTACAGCCACACCTCTCAACTTATCTCCTCTACAGCAACACCACTCAATTTATCTCCTCTACAGCAAGACCTCTCAACTTATCTTCTTTACAGCAACACCACTCAACTTATCTTCTCTACAGCAACACCTCTCAACTTATCTTCTCTACAGCAACACCTCTCAACTTATCTTCTCTACAGCAACACCTCTCAACTTATATTCTCTACAGCAACACCTCTCAACTTATCTTCTCTACAGCAACACCTCTCAACTTATCTTCTCTACAGCAACACCTCTCAACTTATCTTCTCTACAGCAACACCTCTCAACTTATCTTCTCTACAGCAACACCTCTCAACAGCAATACAGTACTGTATTCATAGACAAAAAATCCATCGTGACTCATCACAACAATTTTAATACAATATTATAGAATCATATACATTTAATTTAAGCATTTTATAAAAAATCATCAACATTTCATGTGATAAAATAAAATAACAATTGTAAAAATTGAGAGAATAGTTTAATATTGTAACAAGATATTCCAATAGTTTTAGAGAGGGAGTAAGAAAAAAAATAACTGAACAAGTCCTCTTTAATATGAAAATAATATAAAATATTTAAAACATCAAAAAAATTAATAGCCTAAAGAAACTGAACAATTCCATATTCCTATAGAATAATATCACATAAAATAAACAAGAGGGCCATAATGGCCCTGAGGTCGCTCACCTGTATATAGCCCCCCCCCCCCCAACGTTGCAGGGCCAATTTAACCCAAGAGCTTTTATTTGCACAACCTTGGTAGACACCCATAAGAAGATGTTTCATGCTAAACATCTAAGCTCTAGCTCATTGGGCTTTTTAAAAGAAGATTTTTATACACATATAGTTAAAAACAATGACACCCCTGGGGCCGGGCCAGGGCTTTTATTTGAACAAACTTTGTAGACACTTACTAGAAGATGTTTCATGCTTAATATCTAAACTCTAGCTATTTGGGTTTTTTCAAAGAAGTTTAAGTTTTTGCTATACACATATAAAGAAAATCAATGACCCCCAGGGCGGGGCCAATTTTGACCCCAGGTCTTTTATTTGAACAAACTTTGTAGACACTCACTAAAAGATGTTTCATGCTTAATATCTTAACTCTTGCTATTTGGGTTTTTTCAAAGAAGATTTTTTAAGTTCTTGCAATACACATATAAGGAAAATCAATGACCCCCGGGATGGTGCCAATTTTGACCCCAGGGCTTTTATTTGAACAAACTTGGTAGACACCTATTAGAACATGTTTGATGCTAAATATCTTAGCCATAGCTCTTTGAGTTCTTTAAAAGAAGATTTTTTAAGTTTTTACTATATGTATATAGGGAAAATCAATGACCCCCTGGGGCGGGGCCAATTTTAACCCCAGGGCTTTTATTTGGACAAACTTGGTAGACACCTATAAGAACATGTTTGATGCTCAATATCTTAGCCATAGCTCTTTGAGTTCTTTAAAAGAAGATTTTTTAAGTTTTTACTATATGCATATAGGGAAAATCAATGACCCCCCGGGGCGGGGCCAATTTTGACCCCAGGGCTTTTATTTGAACAAACTTGGTAGACACCCATTAGAACATATTTCATGCTAAATATCTTAGCTCTAGCTCTTTGGGTTCTTTAAAAGAAGATTTTTTAAGTTTTTACTATATGCATATAGGGAAAATCAATGACCCCCCAGGGCGGGGCCAATTTTGACCCCAGGGCTTTTATTTGAACAAACTTGGTAGACACTCACTAGAAGATGTTTCATGCCAAATATCTAAGCTCTAGCTCTTATGGTTTTTTAAAAGAAGATATTTAAAGTTTTTTCTTTCAGTTGCCATGGCACCCAGAGTTCTGCATGGAATTAAATTCTTTGAACAATTTTTAAAGGTGACCGCCAAAGGAACATTCCTGTGAAGTTTGGATGAAATTGGCTTAGTGGTTTATGAGGAGATGTCATTTAAAGTAAAAGTTTATGAACGGACGACAGACGGACGACGGATGGACGACGGACGGACGAAAAGCGATCACAAAAGCTCACCCTGTCACTTTGTGACAGGTGAGCTAAAAATTGAACCATCACTAGTAAAAATTATATTTAGACAGTCTTTGTAATTGCACCACTATACTTTATTTCTCCACCAAACTGTCATACTGTGTTATAGATCAAATCAATGCACCAAGAACTTTTTCATTTCTCCCTATGGCTTCAAACTTCTCCCTGATAGAAGCTGAGGAAGAAGTCACTTCTCCCTAAAATTTTGGTCTGGCCCTGAATTAATTTATTTACCTGGTAGTAGCAGCTGCATTTTAACTACAAATAAACATCAAAAATTGTCATCAAAGTTTAAGACAATAGCATCTAAGTAAATCTGTCATGTCAGAAGATGGGGCTTTTAAAATGCACATTAGCATATGTTCAGATAACCACTGTATAATTGATAATGTGGTAATTGGGACTAAACAAGTACTATAAACGAAGCAAAAAAAATGTAGCATATTAAATGCAATTTGTGTAAAATATTAAATGCAATTTATGGATCATAAGAAATCATAATTGTACTGTTTTTGTTTTCAATTGGGTTTTACGTCACACTGACACAGCAAGTCATATGGCGAGTTCCAACTTTACTGGTGCAGGAAGACCTCAGGTGCCCTTCCATATATTATTTCAGGCATGAACGGGCACCTGTGTGGAACCACTGACGTTCTGTAAGGTAGCTGGAAAGCTTCCTCACATGAGAGAATCCAATGTCCCTGTGGGGATTCGTAATCACAGCAGTGAGTAGCAAGTGGTTTGAAGTCAACGACCTTAACCAATCGACCGTGGATGTCCAAATTAAAATAGTAGACTACTTTATAAATTGTGAATCATCTTATATGTGAAATTGAGACAATAAAATTCAAATTGCATACCATCAATCTTAATGCAAATTGAATTCATCTAATAATTTAAAACAAAATTTGGCTTTGATAAAGTGGAGATTCAGCCATTCATATTCATAAATAGGACATATAATGTGAAAAAGAAAAAAACATGAAAATTTGTAAAAAATGTGCAAAAATAGATGACACTTTTTAAAGTAAATCATATTCAAAGGATTTCATACGTTCACAGACATGATTTAAATACAGTAATAAAATTACTTAAACAACAATAATGTGTATAAAAAGACCACTCTAATACATGAATATATAGTAAAATGATAATTTACATCAGACGTTTCATAAAATTTAGTTAATAATCACACAATTTGTATGGCATAATGTTATGTTATCATTTAGTTGTTCAAAACAATTATGTACCATGGAAAATGACAATTTCACACAAATGTAAGTTATTCCACACACAAGTATTATGCCAAACTGTCATTCTACACAATTATATGTTTTATGGCTTTCCTGTTATGTCGTGTGATATTCTAGGCAAGAATATGCAATTCTGTCACTCTACACAAATGAATGCTCTATTATAATTTCAAACACGCTTCACACTCTTTCCCCCTTTTCCCGAAAAAAAAGGGGGAAAAAAAGGGGCCAAAATTACCGGATATAATTATGCGCGAAAGAAAATAAAAAAAGTTATTTTCCCGTCATATGCGTCAGATATAAAACATAATTAACCAAATGCGTGGGAAAATTACAATCAAAATGTAGTTCAACATATTTTTATCAATTTTCTTTTATATTTTTTCTTATTTTTTGCATTGTAGTACAATAATGCATGTTTTATCATTTAAATACTTTGTAATTTATCACTCAGGCCTATTTGCCTTCATGATTATATTCCTGAGCATTTGAACTCAAACCGTGCATTACTCCACAACAATACACTCAAAATTGACATCTATTTCCTAATTAATACAGCTATATGCCATTCTGTCAATCTACACAATAATATGGCATCATGTCTATCTATGTATGAACTCCATTTTTATTCAAATGCATCTTTTCCCAATCTTTGCCTTTAGCCTTTTTATGTGTGCGCCAGTTATGTACCCTGCTTGTAGTGCATCTAGAAATATACAAAAAAACAAACTTATTAATTTCACAATTTGAGAACTCACAAAAAACTTTCCTAAATTCTCTCAACCCATTACTTCATATAGACGTCTTTTCACACCTTTTCATTCCACCCCCCCCCCTTTTTTAGGCCCCAAATGGTGAAAAAATGCCCTATTTAGACCCTAAACACTTGTTTTCGTTTGAGAAATGTCATTACAAAGGCTATGGTCCAGTCAACATTTGTGTCTAGTTTGATAAATATTGAAGCAACTTTTACAGTTTCACAATAATATGAACTTATAGCAGGAGGCTTTTCAATGAAAACAGGTATTTTTCACAAAATGCTCATCAGTAATCATACATGTGAACTTTTTTGGATGTTCAAGTGGGAGATTTTTCTTCAAAAAGAGGGAGAAATAATGAAAGAAGAAAGTTTTGATATCAAAAAGAGGGAGATTTCTTTAATTTGTTAATACACCCCTTTTTTTAAGAATATGGCTGCAGAAAGTAGGAGAGTTCACATGTATGATTCAGTTATTGGTTATAATTAAAAAAATTTTGTTGTTTTTGGTTTTTAAAAAAAATTTAAAAGACAAAATTTCAAAATTTTATTTTTCAAAAAATTTAAAAATTTTTTTTTAGTTTTTAAGTTCCCAAATTTGGGCGGGGTTTTAAGGAAAAATGAAAAAGAAAAAAACACAAAAAAAAAACTAAAAACCACAAGTTTGATTTTTCCATCCCTGGGAAAAACCCCATTTAAAGTAAAATTGGGTACCCTGTTTTGCCGTGAACAAGATGTGCATCTATTTCTTCTACTTCCTGATCGCAACACGACCATACACGTTTATTAGATAAACTCTGTGAAACTGAAATGACAAAATATTCATCTATACTGAAAATAACAAAAAAGAAATAGCTACAGTAAATGACGTTGGTTTGAGATATTTGACATAAAAATATTATCATGACTTTGTTTATTAATGTTGCAGCGTTCCTTGAAAAGAACATTACTTAAAATGAAAAATCTAATATAAGTTTTTAATGTAGCAAAAAATGCAACTTTTGCTGATCACCAAATTTGTTGTATCCACTGACCTCCATAATAAACAAAGAGACAAACAGAAGCGTACAGTATACATATTTACATTGTCCGATACCAACATTCGATTAATATGTAACGTAATATGTAATCAATCATAAATGTTAATGGTTTGGCTGTGGGAATCCGACGTTGAGGTTGTGACAGTTTTTATTTAATAACACTATGTGAGAGATAGATTATAGATGAATATAAAAGTTGAAATGCAAACTTCATGGAATCATTTTTCCAAAATTATAGACACACACAATCCAAGCCATTTTTGTGCCGCACTTTCGGGGAGTGTTACAATAAACTAGTGTGTAACCTTAAACTAAAGTTTGGAGCAACCTAGTCCTGAATACTTAGCTAATATTTCCACTTATCTAATGTATTAAATAAAACACCTTTGAAGAGATCATCTTTTGCAAAAGTAATCTTAATGAACAAGTGGTTTCTACTCTCGAGTGGTCTTCAAGCACAGGTTTTACAGTAAATTTTTAACTCTGCAATATATTTTCATACACATGTATAATCTCTTGGCATTGTAGATGAAATCATTCTGGAAACAATTAATAAATAACTATCTATGGCCGAGTGGTTAACGCGTCGGTTAGTAATCTAATGATTGCTAGCCGCATGGGGTCAAACCCCGTCAGAGGCAAGTCGTTGTTTCCTTGAGCAAGGAATTTTACACTCATTGCTCAGTACTTGTTTGTTCCAGGAACAGATTCGAAAGTGTGTCTATTAGCTTAAAGCATCCTTCACAATCGAACTGAAATAAATTCTGTATAAACCAAATAACTACCTATTTCACAACTTTTATCTTCCTCCAACAATTGAGGGGTTAAACCCCTCTTCATCATTGTAGAGGAGATATTTAAAATTTGTTATCATTACATTACATATGTTAACATAGAAAAATAACTTACCAGCATAACCTTTGTGATAGGTACATAGCGTGTTGTCATGGAGATCTGTAAACGGCTTGAAACACTGTAAACAGTGACCGCTATCTAACACTGAGATCTGTGCCTTCACAACCTTTGCTTTAGTTCTACATAAAAAAAAAAATTTAAAAAAATTTCATGATGATAAAGCAATAGAAATGCATCATAGTAGTGTTGAAGTAGTTTAATAGATTTTACCACTGAAAGGTTCATAAAAGTCTTTACAGCAACACATTTCAAGAACAAAATATGAAAATAAACAGTTTTTTTTCTACAAGAAATGATAAGAATGGTGTGTACTTCAAACTGATAAAATGTCTAAAATGATATATACCATTTAAAGCAGCTAGCCTCCAGATTCATGCTAATTTTTTCATGAAAATTTGAAAATGTATTTAACAGTATAATATTGTGAAGTTACCAAAAGAATGCAATTTACACATTATCAATGGCATTAACATTTACCCATGTTAATTACCATACAGAGGTTCAAATATGCAAAAAATAGCCCATACTGCATTAGTAACACAGTAGAAATATAGTTATAAATACTGAAAGATTGGCCATTAATCGTACATAACATGTAAATTATTACTAGAATTTTGAATCTTTATACTTTTCCTAAAATCTTAGTACAATTTTTTCCTCCCCCGGTTTTATTTTTTCGAAATTTTTTTTTGCTCATCTTTTTGGGGGCCCGGGAAGCTTTTTAAAAGGCTTGTTAGGGAGAAGAATTTTTTTTTTGGGGGTTCTTTGAGTTTCAATTTTTCCTAAAAATTTTTTAGAAACTTTAAATTTTCCCTATTTTTGAAAAATGTTTTTAATTGGATTAAAAATTTTTTTAGGGAAAAAAATTTTTTTAGGGGGGTTTAAAATCTAGGTTAAAAACAATACCTTTTTTTCCCACTTTCTTATTTAAAAAACTTGAAAATTTTAACCATAAATTTTTAAAAAATTTAATTATTTTTTTTTTATTTAACCCTTTTAAAACCCTTGATTTCAATATTAATTTTTTTGGGAAATTTTTTTTGGACTCCTCCAAACTGAAGGGGCATTTTGTCGATTGTTTTCCCTTTTTTTTAAGGGCCCGACATAAAATTTTGGGAAAAAAAAAACACTAAAAATTACTTCATAATTTAAAGACACATTATGCCACAGAAATGAATAAATTTTTACTTCTCTAGAAAAGGGCAAACTTGTATCTCATAATGTTTAAATAATGGTTCTAGAGCACTTAAGATAATTGTTATAAAATTGTCATAAAAATAGCAAAATGTAAACAAAATTGTATTTTGACTTCCACAAAAAATAATAAATCACTATAATTGTACTAATTGCCAAAAAGCAACAGAAGGAAAAAGGATGTTTCAGGTAATTGGCAAGTAAATAACTTTTTGCTTCAAAAATAAAAAAGCTTTTGATAAATAAAAATAAAATCATTTCTGGGGCATAATGGGCCTTTAATAATAAAAGTTAATACTCTGCCACTTAATAAAAGATATTAACAGACGTTTTCTGGCATTTACCTTTACCTATGTTAAATTATTGAAATAACTTTCACAGTAAAAGGCAAACTATAGTGAAGGATTCTAGATAGTTTTGAAATTTTACCTTTTAATAAAGCACAATCATAAATAATTATTACCCCCCCCCCCCCCCAAAAAAAAAAAAAAAAAAAAAAAAATATTACCCTCCCCCCCCCCCCAAAAAAAGAGCAAATAATTGAATTAACAGACTTTATTAAATAAAAAAGTATCAGTGCATAAGATTTTCTACTGAAATGTTGTTGTTTTTCTGTGAAAGTTATTGCGTGAACTTGTTTGTCAAAGTCTACCTAGCAAAAATACGACAAGAAGTTTTAGACAATCTTGAAGAGGTCAATTCTTTTTCTCTAAAACATGAATTAAAATGAATCCTAGAACACACTTCTTTAATTGCCAGTAACTGACACCAATAGATTCTACCCATGTTACCAGTGCAGACCAATATCAGCCATCACATTGGTGCCATCCGATCATGGTTTTGCACTTCGAATATAAATTTCACTCAAATAATATTTTGAAAAATTTTCCCCAAAAAAGATTTAATGGTATTGTCCAGTTTTGGGAAAAATGGCAAACCCCCTCAAAATATTTAGGGTATAAAACCCGAAAAAAAAAAGTATCCCGTAAAAATAAACCCGTGTCCCCAAATGAACCCCCAAACATCCCTGATCAAACATTTGCCTTTACCCGTGGAATTTTTCCCCCTTCTCTCTGTTTCCCTTTCCTTTCTTAGTATAATTAAAAAATAATAATTTAAACCCCCAGGGTAAAAACAAAATTTAATAATTAAAACCCTCAAACTGTAATCAAATATAATAATTAACTTTAAAGGAACATGACTCATGATAATATTTTCATGAAGATTTTGAAAATGTATTTAAAAGTAAAATATTGTGAAGTGAACAAAGAAAATAATTTATACCTTAGAATCCTAGTAAATTACCATAAAAAAGGTCAAAATAAGCAAAAACAGAATATCCTTGTTGCGGTTTCATGTGGGGGGTTGCGTTCATTGAACGCCGCCTTTCCTTGTTGATCTTGTTTACCATATTTTTCTGCATTAGTCATGCAGTCGAAAAATGGTCAGGAAAATATTTCATGAATAAAATACTGTTCAAAGCAATAGAATGATAAATTCAGAGCTAGCCAAATTTAACAAACAGGTCTATTATAGCTTGGCCAGCCATCATTTTAGCAAAGTTTTCTGATACATTATGTACTCCATACTGTAGACTGTCCAGTTTAAGCACAGTATTTAAAGGAACTCCACTGAGGACAAAAAGCCTAACAACTTTTAAATTTTTTACATAGATCAGCTGGGGCACATTAAACAGAAAACTATGTGATAGATAATTAAGAAATATAGGCAGAAATAAATTGAAAAGGGTATTTTTGTGCTGTAAGTTTTTCAATTTGAGTGAAAAGCGTTGCAATGCTTTTCAATTTTGCATCACGGTAAGAATAGTTATTCTTGAAAAATGGAGTGAACTAATGATCTGAAATTTTGGACACAAGTTGTTGGTCAAGACCTACAATGTAAATCAAACGAAACGTTAATCTTGAAAAATTATTTCCAGTCCCGTCCCCTCAGTGGAGTCCCTTTAATATTTATGTTTTTTGCTTTAAACAGTTTACAGTTCTATAATTTCATCAAAGAAAATATTGAATTAATCAAAGCAGTCTGTAAGTCAGTATCATAAACTAAGTAAATTACATTACCTTCCATTCATTGTCCATTCTCTCCTGAACAACTTTTGCTTCTTCCTTTAGCCTATCTGCTAGTGATTTTATATTTGATGGGTCTCCCCATACTTTCACCCATGTTTCTAGTGTTTTATTTTCAAAGTTTGCGTTATTCATTTTACTCTGGGGTTCAATAAACCCCTTCATCTCTTTGACAAAGTCTAATTTAAGTTTCAAGAAATTGCCTGGAAACAATTGTAATTTCACCAAACCCGAGTTCATCTTCTTCTTCTTTTTGTTCTTAATAATCTCTATTTGATGTGCTGTCAACTTTTTCTTGCGATTAATTTCTCTCTGTAAATCACGCTCGGAAATCTTTGAATTTGTTGATAAAACGGCTCTTGAAAGCATGCTATTGTCTCCGAGTTTTGCTTTTGTCAGCACAGCTATGAACTGAGAGTAACTATAGTCTGTTTCTGAAGCTGTATTTAGACAGTGTTCTATGCAAGAAAGTAACTGTGTTGGTAGAGAATCCCTCTCATCCTCCAGGTGCTTTTGCAGCTTGTCCCGATTTTCTAGAAATTCATCTCTACTTGGCAAAGAACCTGTAAAATTATGAAAAAAATACTATTCCATTGATAAGACATTTTTATACCTTACGCATGTTTCTCTTATCTAATTAATAAAAAACTTTATTCTGTACACAGAAATTTGCTAAGAAAGAAGAATAATATTTTCATACAGGGGAAAAAGGTCCCGTACAAAAAAACTAACTACAAAAATAAGTGACCTAAAAACCCTATAAAGAGATCACTTAAAATAAAAAGCTATTAAGTCAAAAAAGTAGTTAACACAACTCCTTGTAAAAAGTATTAAACATGTTGTTTTTTTATAATTTAACATTTTATATTTTGTTCATACATATATTTTAATACAATGGTATAAAATCACTGATTAGCTAATAGCTATGAGAGATAATGCCATGCCTACGCAACCAGTATGAAACAAATCCAGCCTGCACTTTAAGCCTTAAACATTGTCGGAACCCATGGTACACATTCCGTATATACTACATTTACCAATACATGCGGTAAATAACCTGGAGCCTTAACAGGCTATAACTGCACAACCAGAATAGGGTCAAGCCAGCCTGCACATACCTGGCTCTCTCAAATTTTTTATATTCTGATTAGTGAGACATCCTACTAAAATCCTTAAACTTTGAAAAACTTTTCCAAATTCAAAAGTTGTGTAAATCCAATACATAAATTCAGCAGTCTATGGATTAACACTTAAGCTGACATTAACTAAGACTCTTCACTGTTTGGTGCTCAATATCAACTCCTATTCACTAAAACCTTAAATGGAGTTATTAATTTTTTTTCAATATGGACTAAACCATTCATAAGTACTGACTGAATTTAACCAGCCCGCATAGCTCAATTGGTAAGAGCGTTAGACTTGTAATCTCGACATTGTGGGTGCGATTCCTGGGCTGGCCAACTAAAATTACTAATCAGTCTGAGTTCGATTCCCGGGCTGGCCAACTAAAATTACTAATCAGTCTTTCGGATGAGACTTTAAATAGAGGTCCCATGTATAAGTGCTTAAACACCTGGCAAGCAAAAGAACCAGGAGAAGCGTCTGGAATTGGGGCATCTTTCTGTATCTTGCACTATTCTCCAAAATCTACAATGACCAACACTTTTCTGGGGGACTCGCCCATATGGGCAACAGGTTGCGAGAATAAATAACCTCAAATACACACACACACACCAATAATCCAGACTATAATGGCACAGATTTGGGGTCTGACCTTGGTCTGCACTGGTGACATGGGTAAAATCTGTTTCTGCCAGCAGGCTTAATGAATAAGAATGAGTCAACTACATAAATTTTGCGGGGTAAAGGTTAAAAGTAATCATGTAATAAACCTTTGTGTTTCCTGCAAGCACACACAGCCATGGCAAGTCGATGAACACATTTCCGTGGTAACCAACCACATTTCTGAAGCTGCTTCTGTAAACTGTTAAAGGCATCTTTATCTTTATGGTATAAACACGATTCAGGATCCATATTTGTTGTAATCAAGGATGTATTACTGTAATGAAAAAAGTGATTATAGCATGTAAAACTTGTTACTTTACAATTATACTGTCCAAGTCAAACAAACCAATTATTTGCTTAAAGCAAATGCCTATCAGTCACAGAGATGGTTGGGAGAGTGAAAAATGGTTAGAAAATTATTAAATTAATATGAATATTAATTAAACAAAAGACTAAAATAATCTAAAACAATTGAAAAGACATATCACACTGCTCATATTATTATTGTGATTTATATGTCATTTAACATGACCCTTGATTGGAAATAAAAGTTATTCTATTCTATTAATATACATATGTATCTATCAAAGTGCTGGCATATGTTCATTTCATGTATTTTAATTTGTCCTTCAAATTTTGCCTATTTATTTTCATTTTGTAATAGCAAGTGAACATCCCAAAATTTGTAATGTAACATATTTAATCATCAGAGGGTTTCATTACAGTTATTATAAAGACCAATTATATTATTCAAATATGATCAGCAATATTAGCAAATAATATTATGTAAAAAATATATTGACATTATTGATGAAAGCATGTCTAACATTATTTTAAGTAATATTCTATTGCATCTAAAATATCTATTTAAAAATATCTGGGACATAAAATAACTGTCCCTGAAAATATGAATGAATTTACAAAAAACAAATATTTCGAGATCTATTGTCCAAAAAATCCAATTTACATTTATAAGTTAAATCACGTCGGATTTTGTTCGCACACCAAAGAAGAATACGCGATCAGTACAGTTCGGGGTTCTTTTTATTTATACTCAACAGTGTTATCTCATCGTCAAAAATAAATTTACTAGAATATTCTTTTAAACTGCTGAATCTACGTAAATTGTTGTATGGTGCAATCAGCTGAAAGGTTTTACTATTGATCACATGACTATCACGTGATGTAAACAAAAGTTTAACAGTGACGTATCTTTAGCCATGGCAAGGTGTTGAGGCCCTTACAAGTACTATGAAATTCTAAAATTTATGCTATATTTTCCAAATGGTTTTGCAAATTGCATGTATAAAATATTCTAATTAAGGTATTGCATATATTCTGAAAAGTATAAAATGGGAATTTTCCAGAATGTTAATTATGTTTTAAAAACGTAATGATAGACTTTCAGATCATAATTGAGAAGATATAGCGCAATTAATTGGAGTTGTCATAGAGACATTAGGAAGATTTTTAATAATTGAAACTTTATGCATTGATTTATATTCTTCAGTTAAAATTTGATCTTAATTTTAAATGTTCTATTAGTTAAAACTAAGATTTATATACATATACTTTAGATTATAAATCTTTTAGATATTTTATCATTTTGATTAATGTATAAAATCCTAGATTTAATTCAATAAAATAAATTTATATAAAGCCGTGGTATTTATTGAAAGTCTTAGTAAATCATAATTTATATACAGTAACCCTTTTAAAAAATAGGCATTTTTTATTAAAACTCTCATTTTTAAAATACATATGCATACAGTAATCTTATATATAAACTCTCATTTTAAAAATGTTTCTTAATGTCGTGGAATAACAGTGAACTTTTCAAGTATGTAAATTTACTGTCTCATTTTCGACATTCGTCTTTAAATGGAAAAAAGATATTAATTGGTCCAAGACATTATCACGGATTTATATTACTATTATTAATATAAATCCGTGACATTATCTATGTCATGTGGGTGTTTTATGTAATGAAGCCAAACAAAACGGAAAACATTTCTTCAAGATCTACTTTCCAAACAAAAAATATTTTTCATATTTGTTATTATGAACAATCAAAGTCTTTCCATGTTCGCTCTGGTAGAACCAAGCATGGATAAACCAGGTTGATTGCTGGGCCTCATTTACTCGCTCTTCATCTGGGAAAATTTGTTTGGACGTGTACGTGTTCATTTCCTGTGTCAAACCGACAAGAGTGAAACGAAATATACAAGCCCTTGTTACATTTATCTTTAAATTATTTACGAAAACCAATGATACATAGTGAAAAGAATAATGTAGATGAGTTAATAAAGCAAGAGGAAACGGAAAAAGTGAGTAACTCAAACACGGTGGTATTCGTACTCAATTTGTTTCGAGCCAGGTGAAACAAGAATTCAATCAACCAAGAAATTATCATCTACTTAGCCTAATTCAGCACATCAGAATATTAACATCAGTCAGTATTAAAGAAGTCAATAGTCTGAAATTAACATTTGGAGGAAAAATAGTGATTGGTCACTTCCACTAAGGATTAATGGCATAGGTATCGGACTATTCTGTTCCTCCCTTGACTTTTCCTGCCTGACTGTATTTCCCTTGTTTAAGAGGAGAAAAATCTAAATTTGTGCAAACTGTTCCTTCCCATTTTATTCTTATAAACAGATTAAATTTAGAATTTATTGTTACATAGCAGAATATTTCTTGAACCACTTTCAGTCTGAAAAATTTGATTCTAAATTATTATAATATTATCTGATTATTATATCCTTATGGTACGATGCTGTCCGGTAATCTTGCGCACCTAAACACTTATCGGCTTACTTACTACAATTCAAATAAATACAAAAAAATCAAAATTATTTTCCTATTTGCAAAAATCTTAAAGACATATAATGACGCAAATATTTTTTGGAAATAACTCAATTAACTGCAGAATTGCAACAATGTAAACACTTACCACCATGTTTAATCCCAACATTCAATTGTCCGGTGATCTTGCGCATGTATTATGAATGACGTAACGGTAGCTTGTTTTTAAAGTATGGTGTCCCAGTAGTACTATCAATATAAATTTTGTGAGTCCAATTAATGAAAAGTTAATTTAAACTGTTCAAACAAAACTGTAACACAAACTTATTTACATTAAAGGTTTGTTATTTTACTGTTCACTACTAGATCTACACCTGGGACACCTGAAATCATCACTACCAGTCAATGTCTCAATTTCTGTACATAATTTCAGATACACTGACTACACACAGTACAACACCCCCATTTAACAAATTAAATGCTTTTGTCTAGATCCTTTTACGCTTCCGTAGAAAAAAATGAAAAGCGCGGGAGGGGCTTTCCATTGTGACAAGATGGCGGGAATCGGCAGGAGATAACAACTGCACACCTTTATTTGCAAAGGGAAAAAAGGAAATTTACAACGTTTTATCGGTGCAATACTGTTTTAAAATGTGTGATATCGATTTTCATTATTGCTGGACGTAACATTTTGGAACTGATTGAATAGACAGGAATATAATGGGAAAATAGGTCAGTGGGCGTGTTTATGAATAAATAATTAGGATGACGAAATAATGTAAACAAACATGTTTGACAGATATTTTTTTAACTTTCTTACCTTGTTATAACTCAAAGTAAGTCTAAGTCACAAATTTTGGCTGAAAATTTCTAGCGACAGCATAAACAAACAACCAAACGAAAGGAAATTCCGAGTGCGCAAGATCACCGGCCGCGCAAGATCACCGGACATGACTGTATACTTTGTTTCAGGAATATCCAAATGTTACAAATCATGCTTGCATAAGTAATTTCTGTTGTATGAAAAGTGTTTTTCATATAATTTTCACATCAAAGTATGGCACTTTTTGATGAATTTACAAGTTTTAATAATCCTATGTTTCCTGAATGACAAGTCACTCACATATCGGCTATATCCTGGATTAGACCCCGGGGTCTAAACCAGGAGTATATATCATGTATATAGGGTTCATTCTGTTTTCTTTACTGTATTATATACAAGTTTTAGACCTGAAAAATACATAGGGGTCTAATCCAGGAGATTGCCAACATATCCTAGCAGTAGTTTCCTTTTCAGTGATATATGAAAATACTTATCTAGGAATTGAAAAGAATACCAAAACTAATACTTGAGTACTACTCGGTCATTTTTCCGATTGAGTACCCAGTTACTCGGATGATTTCCAGTGATATTCAAAATTCAATATCATCAATATGCTTGCTACTTTCGTTTTCTATTTAAATTAATAGAATTTGTAACATAAAATAGGACTGAAAGGGAGGTAACTTAGAATAACCAATAAACAAATTAATCTAAATTAAACCAACAACATTATATTTTACAACATTTTATTTAATGAGCAATTTAAGGTAATATCTTAAGAGGCCGAATGACATAAGCGGCACAGGTGTTCAATCCCATGCGCGTGTCAAACTGTAGATCACCTCGTTAACTTTACGATATCTTTTTCATACTTCTGCAAGGATGTTTTGATTGTATTTAACAGGTATTCAGGAATATACATGTACATCTCCGGATTTCTGAACTAATTGGATTCTCTAATCTTTCTAAATTGCAAAAAAAATAGAAATTATTTATTTTTCTGAGTAATCAAATATCAGTTTTGCTAACCAATATTCAGACATTCTACCAAGTACTTGGTTAAGTGGTTACTCATTGCCATTCCTAGAAAATACATTATTAATCTTTATTTATCAGTGCAACTGATCCATTTAATTGGGTTATCAAGAAGTTTATACATTGTTACAAAGAGAAAATGTGACTTTATTTACATCTATTCATCAGATTTGATCATATCTATGTCTGATATGCAGATTTGACCTTATTTATGTCTATTCAGCAAATTTAACCTTATTTATGTCTGTCCATTATCTCATTTAAAAAAGATGATTATATTCATACAGCAAATTATGTAATTTATTTTTGTCCAATCAGGCTGCTTCCGCAGATTTGGATTTATATAATTTGTCCATTCAACAGATTTAACCTTAATTTTGTCTCTTCTTCAGAATTTACATTATTTGTATCCATCTGCCAAATTTTATCTTATTTTTGTCCATCTAGCAGATTTTACCTTGTCTATTCAACCTTATGTCTGACCCTTCAACATAATTTACCATTTGTTCCAGTCAGCAGTTTTTACCTGAATATTTGTGTCCAGTCAGCAAGTTTGACCTTACACAATTTGTCAGATTGTGTCAGTTTTGCAGATTTGACCTTATCCATATCTGTTTAGCATATTTCAACTTAGTTGTGTTTCAATGTTCTGCAGATTTGACCTTATTTTATGTCTGTTCATTTCAAGGAACTCCCTTGATAATCTTTCATTAATGAAGGTGAGGAAATCTGTAAATATAGAAACTTTGTACCTTATTAGCAGGAGATGATGAAAACATTGCCATCCAGTCAGGCTTGTCGCTTGTCAGTTGAGGAGACTTGCCAGATTCTGGAGGTAAACCCTGCTAAAGGGCTTGATTCAAGTGAAGTAGTGAGGCGTCGGGCTATCCATGGCCAGAATGATTTTGAAATCAACCAAGAGACTCCCCTGTGGAAAAAATACCTAGAGCAGGTATGTCAAAGTGTGGATTTATTTTAAAAGTAGTAGATAGATGATCAAATTTTACTGTTGCAAGTTGTGTTCTATTTGACGCCATCATTTGATACACACTATTGCTAATTTTATTTAATTACTGATTAAGACTTTTTGGAGAAATTATATATCAAGATCCAAAACCATGTAATGATGTACAAAGTAAATTTGCGTTATAAAATCATTTGTGATAATTTTATATGGGACAATTGCTGTGCATTTCTCCTGTCTAAAAAAGATGAATTGACAAACCTTTCTTCTGCATGCATATGTAACAATTAGCAACAGTTTAATGTATTTATTGTAAACCCTTCCATCAAAACAACATGGTTGACAAAAATTCTGACAACTTGTAGAAAAATGATTTATGTTAAATAATTACCAGAAAAGTTTGATAGGAAGTCTGTCTGGTTTGCAGGCTTTGATCCTGTAAATTTTGGAGGAAGGGCTTTTCTGCACATTTTCATATTTTGACTGGAAGGCTTTTGTTTTTAGCTCGACTATTCGATAAGAATAAGTAGAGCTATTGTAGTCACCCGAGCGTCGGCGTCGGCGTTGGTGTCTGCGTCGGCGTAACCACTTATGTTAAAGTTTTTGTAATAGTTCAAATATTTTCAAAGTCCATTGACATATGGCTTTGAAACTTGGCACACTTGTTCACCATCATGACCCCAACCTGTAGACAGGAGGAGGTAACTGTATCAAGCATTTTGACAGAATTATGCCCCTTTTTCGACTTAGAATTTACGTTAAAGTTTTTGTAATAGTTCAAATATTTTCAAAGTCCATTGACATATGGCTTTGAAACTTTGCACACTTGTTCACCATCATGACCCCAACCTGTAGACAGGAGGAGGTAACTGTATCAAGCATTTTGACAGAATTATGCCCCTTTTTCGACTTAGAATTTACGTTAAAGTTTTTGTAATAGTTCAAATATTTTCAAAGTCCATTGACATATGGCTTTGAAACTTTGCACACTTGTTCACCATCATGACCCCAACCTGTAGACAGGAGGAGGTAACTGTATCAAGAATTTTGACAGAATTATGCCCCTTTTTCGACTTAGAATTTACGTTAAAGTTTTGTAATAGTTCAAATATTTTCAAAGTCCATTGACATATGGCTTTGAAACTTTGCACACTTGTTCACCATCATGACCCCAACCTGTAAACAGGAGGAGGTAACTGTATCAAGCATTTTGACAGAATTATGCCCCTTTTTCGACTTAGAATTTACGTTAAAGTTTTTGTAATAGTTCAAATATTTTCAAAGTCCATTGACATATGGCTTTGAAACTTTGCACACTTGTTCACCATCATTACCCCAACCTGTAAACAGGAGGAGGTAATTGTATCAAGCATTTTTTTTTACTATCAAGCACTAAGAATAGTCGAGCGTTGCTGTCCTACCGACAGCTCTTGTTCATATGCTTGTTTCAGGACCTTCATCTAGATTACAGCAGACATTTTCACAAAAAATCTTACGATTTATCTTAAGTTTTTGACTTACGATAATCGTAAGTTAAATCTTAAGTCATTTTCACAAAGCCACTCGTAAGTTAAAATTTTATCTTAAGATAAAAAATTCACTTACGATAAATCTTACGATAAAAACATCCCTAGCAACGTTCATTTGATATTGATGTGCATGCTCTATATTTGATTCCGGTTTTAAAATCAAGTAATAAAGAGCTTGAAATATCTATTGAACACAATCAAATTTCAATAAGAACAAAAAAATGATTCAAACTGATATAATTTATATCTTGATTGAAGATAATTATATATATCTAAAAGATTCAGAAAGAAGGTCTACTATGTTATTTATAAAAAAAAAGGTACCACTAGTACATGCTGGAAATGAAATCAAACTCACCAAATGTACAAATTATTAGATTTCAATAATACTACAGTATAGTTCACATTTAAACTATTCATAACCCTCTCCATCGTGACGTCATCAAGTCATGACGTCACAAATGTTTATGTTGAAAAATAATTATACCTCAATTTGTGTTATTTATTGCATACTGTTTGCTTAATATATATTTGTCCTCCCAACTTTTTGTTTGTTTTTATTCAGTTTAGGTAAGAGATACATGATATTTTACCCTTAAGAGAGAAAAAAATACACAAACAGGGAAGATCTATCGTAAAGTTACGCCAGATTTTGCACTTAAGATTTTCTTAAGATTTTTTGTGAAAAGGAGATTGAACGTAAGATTTCTCTTACGATAAAAAATTGTTGTAAGATTTTTTGTGGAAATGTCTGCTGCAATATAACTTGATCCTAACTGTTAACATACACATGTCTTACAATAATTTAAAGTTACATCATTGTTGGTCTATGACTATTTGTATTATAGTTGATACTTTTGGGCAATTTTATTTCAAACTTTCCCCACAAATTTTGTTGAATTGGTCCCCAGTAATGAACTGTCTATATTTAGAATTGGCTGTTTATTTCAGTTTAACAACCCACTTATACTGTTGTTGTTGGGCTCTGCTGTGGTCAGTGTGTTTATGCGGCAGTTTGACGATGCTATTAGTATTACTGTGGTATGTATAAATTTAGTATCTCTTTTTACTAGAAATGTTTACTTAAGGTAAATGAAAATATACATTGTATAGACATAAGAATATCTCATAGTATCAGTCTGATTATAATCAGCTCCGCATTAGGATCTGACAACTACCAATAGGTTGTCACTTTCTCATGACCTTTCAAACAGTCAATCATTGGCGAGCTTTCACAATTATGAAAGTGATGCGGTTTAACCGCTGGAAAACCAATACTGAGTAGATGATTTTTCACGATTTCGAGAACAAACATGGCATTGTCAATATGGTGAGCATGTCAACTGGCCATTAAAAATTGTGTCTACCATTTCCAGTTTATTTGTTTCAAATTACATCAAACATTTTTTTTTCTAACAAAAGTCAACAATTTGTTTTACTTCCATGGACAACAGTATTTTAATAACTTGTCTAATGCCTATCTGTAAAGGATAGTTTGATTGTTAAAAATAGCTTTATCAGAAAATTCAAATCATAATGAAGGTAAAACAAATATGGTGGCAATCAGATCGACATGCAAGAAATAACCCAAGTACTAGTAGATCTGAACTTTAGTCAGATTGGTCAAATATTGTCTTAATTTAACATTGATGTCAAAAACTTAATGCACTAAAAAACTTATTTTAAAGCCATTTGGAACTTCATTTGTGTATTATTTAAAAGCAACATGCCTCCAGATTCATGCTAATTTTTAAAATATATTAAAATATAAAATATTTTGTAAAGGTAACAAGGAAAGTAATTAACATATTGCAAACGGTACTTTTAGTCCATATAAATTACCTAATAAAGGTCAAAATATCAACAAAAAAATAACCCTTACTGTTTTAGTCACTCAGTAGAAATATGGTGATAAATACTTCAAAATTAGTCATTCATTGCATAAAAGTGGTAAACCATAAGTTAAATTGTAAATATATTTTTTACTTTACTTGAAATCTTAGAACATTTTTCTCAAAACTGATTTTCTTGAATTTTTTTTTTGCTCATCTGGAGGCACGCAGCTTTAAAGCAAATAAAGACGGTTATAAAGTTAATATTAACATGACTGTATTGTTTGTATTTCAGGCAATCATCATTGTTTCAACTGTAGCTTTTGTACAGGTAAGAGAAAAGTTATTCATAATGGAAAATAAAAAATCAATGCAAACAATGTGAGATATCCTGTTAGAAATGTTTATTATTGGTATATTTGCATAGTGAAAGTGTTTACAGACATTAAACAGCTGGCTTTGTGTATGTTTATTTGGTCTGCATTTGAATTGATATTGACCATTGTAAGGATTTGAATTTCAGTTAATAAAATGTCACTAAAATTGAGTTGCCAACAGTAAAGAATATGGCCAGAATTAAAGATAAATTATGCTTGAATTTTGCTTTGTTATTTTCAAATTCTGATAATTGTTATACAGTCCTTCTAAATGTAAAATAAACATATTTTGAGTAAACACAGAGAAGAAATGTTACATTTTAAACACTACACGCTAAAGGTAAACACAGTAAAAATACATAGTGTCATTAAAAAACTGATTTTATAAGAAATGACCAAATTAACTTAACCAGTAATAGGCCCCTCACTACTGTGGGTTCAAATCCCAACAGGGACTTTGGATTTTTTCATGTGAAAAAGTTACCCAGCTAGCTAAAAGAATTTTGAACTTGGTGGTTCTACTCAGGTACATGTTCATGCCTAAATAATGCATGGAAGTGCACCTGAGGTCTTTCTGCTGGAATGTTACCATATGACCTATACTGTGTTGGTGTGATGTAAAACCCAACCTAATACAAAAAAAAAATAATAGGGAAGGAAGCCCCAAATGATAGTTTATGCATCCTCTCATTCAAATTAGACTAATTCAGTAAGAATTTTCAAGATTTCAATTCATTCAAGTACTTATGTACTTTACCCAAATATAACATAGTACATAATTATTTAATTGAGGTAGAATAAATTGTCATATTAGTTTAATCAGAATTAAGAGTTTTGATCATATTTGATCACAATTAAATCTGCTTTATAGGACAGACCTGTACTGGTGCCATTAAAGGGGGAGCATCATCGAAACTTCTTTAGGGTTTGAGCCCACAAACCCTGGGTTGAGAGGCAAACACCTTACCTAATACAACTCCTCCTTTCTTACCATTATAAGTCTGACATGAAAGCTTTAATATTTAAAATGATTTGCAAATGCCTCATTCAGTCCATGAAATATTAGTAAACTAAACTAAGAGGGTACATGTATTAAATGAAATAAGACAGCACAATTTTAATCGTCCATCGCAAAACGCAAGTTGGAACTCTGATTGTTATGTAATATATTCATAGTGAAAAGGTAGTGTGATACTTAATCATTTAAAGTAGACAATTTAATTCAGATTTTTTTTTAACAAATTACTAAATTTTAAAGCATAGGGCCTTCATGGCTAAGTGGTTGAGGTCTTTGACTTCAAATCGATTACTCCTCACTTTGTAGGTTTGAATCCTGTCAAGGTCTTCGTATATTCCATATGAGGATGCTATCTAGTAAGCTTATGGAAGGTTGGTAGTCAGTCATGCCTGAAATACTAGTGTACAAAGAGACCTCTTATTTTTTCCTCTCACCAGTAAAGCTGGCAAGTTGCCATATGACCTTACCCATACCCTGATTTCCGGGACATTCCCGGAAGTCCAGGATGCTATGGCATGTATGCCTTTATAGTGTCAGTTTGACTGAAAGTTCAATAAAAACAAGAAAAAAAAAACAACATAATTATAATGTAGGGAAAGAGTGGCTCAGAAAGAAATTGAAATTTTCATTGTTCATAGTAGTTTAATATCTGATATATATAACAGCCTGTTACATTAATGTACAATTGTATTTCATGCTTTAATAAACCATGTAATATATGTATTGAGTAACAGCCAGCAGACAAAAATATGCTAGTATTAGTGTAATGAATAGCAACAGATTTTCCAGCTTATTTGAAAAATTTAAACCATTCTATATAATGTGAATTATAAACACAAGAAATCCAATAATTAAGACCAGCATTGACTTTCTTTGTGAAAATGAACTTAATGTTAGGGTGGTTTTATACAAGAAACACATCCTATGATTTATTTAATTGATTGATTTACATTTGAAACCCTTAAAGTGATGAATGCAGATGGAAAGATAGACATGTTCATTTCAGATATTTAACATGGTAAAGTGGTAAATAATCACAGTCAAGCTAAGAAATATAATAACATTACAATACTTCACATGAGCTTTGATTAATATGCTTAGAACTTGGATTTAAGGTATTAGCACCCTAATGCATTACCTCCGCTTTGAAGAGTATTCAAATAGGCTAGAACTACTGTTAACTACATTGAAAATGAGGGGCCGTGAGTTCAATCCCCAGAAGGGTCAACTTTTTTTTTTCTTTCTTTTTTTTCTTTTAACATTTTTTATGTATCTCTCATGTCCCATTTGGAAAGAAAAAATTGTTTAATTTAGATTTTTTAATTTAAATAGGTATTTATTGGCTAAATTATGCTAAATCTAGTAATAAATATGGTACCTGATATTTTCAAAGTGTAATAAAATCAAAACTAGACGGTAAAAGTATTTCATATTTTACAAGATCAACCAATATACTTTTTTAAAAATTTAGGGAAACTTTGAAAACAGGCACTCATTTGGGTAAATTTTAAGAATTTTTTTTAATTAGGCTTCCTTAGTAGAAAAATGGTCAGACATGTGGTAAAAATGGGTGGGGTAGGGTAACATTTTTATACAGATTTCATAAATTTTAAGTAGAAACCATAATATTGCTTATGTGGATTGTTAGCTGAATGGTACTATTTGTTTCTTACCAAAAATTAATGGGAAAACATTTTTCATTAGAATGTTATTGCAGATTATTTAAAGGTTCCGCATTTCTAAAAAGGGCCCTCATAACATCCTAGCATGAGTTCAAAAAAGTGGCCATAACTTGATTTTCGTACGGTAAACTTTGTTTAAATTTTGCATACAGGTGTACTTTAAGGTATACATCTGACCTATGCTGTCAATTTTTTAGTTTCTGATAGTGCCCATTAGGGTCCTAATACCTTAAATGGATGTTTTTCAAGGCCAGAAGTTTTTGTTGAAAAATTGTTTTAATAACTGATTCAAAATTACAGTCAAAATCTTTCCTTAAAGGTAATTTTAGGTGTCTCCTTATATTTGAATAAAATTGGTAGATATACAAGTATTGGCTGGAAATAAATGTAAGGAAAACATTGCTAAAAGTGGCCAGGTGGTTCATGACATGTTACAAGAGATATTACCTTATTGAAAGCTGTACCTGTTCAAACCTTTTAGTGACACATGACTTGTTTTAAGCTTTACACCGTGAGTCAGTAATGATATAATCATATTGGTTGCTTTATTCAGTCTTTGACACCTGTAACAAACCTGGCCAACCTGTTGGTTTGGGAAGTCCAGTGAGCCTGTATACTGTTAGTTGACTTAATAACAAAATTTTCATTGTGATATCCCTAAATTTATTAATAGATTGTTTCAAAATATAAAACTGGACAAATCCATTCAGAATTCAAGGGGGTTAATACAATAAACAATAAAGCTGTAGTAAACTGTTACTATAAATTACTATAATGAACAAATAAGCACAAGACTGTTGTAAATTTTAGGATTCTAACATGCCTCATGATTTCGTCACTATACACAAAGAAGTAAAATACCCGTGTTAAATGACCAATAAAAACTGGTTAGGGACTACATGTATATGCGCTGTTAAATAAACACTGATTAGGGACTTCATTTATAATTATACAGCTTGGTTTGTTTTTCTCCCATGGATAAGAAGGTTAACAAAAATCTTGTAAGGCAACAATAATAACGATTCCTATTGGTATTTTCTGTTCTTATTATTTTAGGAATACAGATCTGAGAAGTCCCTAGAAGCTTTGACAAAACTTGTGCCACCTAAATGTCACTGGTAAGTACAATATATTATCTTAGATATTTTGCCAGAAATTGCTATAGTGAACAGGTCTTGATATGCTTGCACACTTACCTCTGTAGAGAAAAGTTCATTATGATATAAGGATATGATTTATGGCACTGGGAGATGGTGAATAATAGAGATTTTAATAATCTGATTTCTGGTTTGACAAATTTAAAAAATGTACTCTAATCTGTGGTCAAACCTTATGATAAAGGGGCTATATTAAAAATGATTTCCTCTTCTGGAGTATTAGCATAGCTAAATATTTTTAACCAAATAAACAATGCTGGGACAGAAAGTTATTACATGTTACCCTTTGCCACCAGTATAGAGATAGGGCAGCCTGCATGATGGTACGGTCAAACCCACTCTACACTGTTGGTTGACCTGCTTTAAATTTCCATCTTGATATCCCTAAAATTAATAATGGACTAATCCAAAATTGAAAAGTTGGCATGTCTATTCAAGAAACTTTGCATGATTATTATAGTTAAAGCTACAATGGAGTTGAAGTGAACAAACACTTATGCTAAAAACTAAACCATATGAATGTACTTAAAGACACTTTGTTTTGACCTTGAAATATTTATACAGTGTCAGTGCATCAATATCCTGCAAATAACTATTTTTATATCAATATGATAAAGGCAAACGATAATAACAATGATGATAAAACAAAACAACAACAACAAACAACAGCAACAAGATAAACAACAACAGTTATTGAAAGTGTGACAGCATACACAATGAAAACGTCAGAAATCCCCATCAAAATATCATCAATGAAATAAATATTGATAAAATTTTACTTTGATGTTTTGTTCATACAACATCTGTGTAATTTTCTGAGTATATTTCAAATAGCTATTACTTCCAGTGCTTGCCAATTACTACAGCTTCAAGGTTTTTTTGTTTTTTTTTCTGTATTGATTTTTTTAGAATTAAGATATTTGTTTGTGATACTAGGATGTATATGATAATGCAAAAGGAAAATTATGCTGAAAGTGTATTAGAAAAAAATATTTAAGGAAAACTATAATTAATGGAATGTAAAAAGAAATGCATTTTCAATATTTAACTTTCCCTCTACCTTATTTTATTAAAGCTGTACATTTTCATTTAAGTAAATAATAATAGTAATAATAAATAAAACTAAAAACTAAAATTAATTTTTTTTTTATAAATGCTGGGTATTTTATGTTAACATTGAAATGTGTCAATTTTCTCAATGTTATTAGTAAAGTGCAAAATAGCACAGATTCTGACCTCCCCATATACATTTATTTTATGATAGTACTAAAAGAGTAAGGGCTGTTTTTGTATGTTTTTAAGCCATTAGGGGATTATCACTGAAAGAAAGTGTTTTAAGGCCAGCTTAAATTGCTTTGGTTTTTATCCCCCTGCCGCAAAAAAATATCAGAATTTAATTTGATTAAGAGTTTATTGGTTATGTGGCTGATGGGATAGATGCTTTCAAACAGCACACCTCCAGATTCTAATTTTCATGAAAATTTTGAAAATGTTTTTGAATGTGTGATATTGTGAAGTAACCATAAGGAAGCAATTTGCACATTATCAATGGCACTTAAAAACCACCAAATTACCAAAAAGTGGTCGAAATATGCATAAATAGCCTTTACCGCGTTTGTAACGCAGTAGAAATATAGTCGTAAATACTGAAAAATCAGTCATTATTCGCACGTTATATGTAAAATATTACTTGAATCTTGAAACTGTTTACTTTTCCTTACATCGTAGAACATTTTTCTCAAGTTTGATTTTATTGAAATATTTTTACTCATCTAGAGGCATGTAGCTTTAAACCAAAGTGTAAGAATGTCCAATCAGATCAGTATCTTCAAAATGGTTTGTCAAATTTTAGGTTTTTAACATAAGTATATGTTTAACTTATTTGTGATAAGGCGATAATAATCACCAAGTTTTATAAAATGCATCCAGGATTTTGATTTCTATATTTTAGTAAGGAAATAAATTACATCAATTTCAGTAAGTTCATTTATGTTTTATAAAAGTATAGGCCATAATAATTTAAAGATGGCCTTTAAAAAGTCTACGAAGAGCTAAATATTGACCTGAAAGTTGTGTTTTAATTAAGATTAATGTAATGAATGTATGGTGATTCTTTAATATACAGACAAGTTTACCAGTAACAGCCTTTTGTTACATTAGGATAGACAGTTTGTAAAGCCAATAATTCTGTCAAGAGCTATAATATATTAGTATATTGGAATGCAGGAGAGTTACTTCTCTTTAATAAGATTCACCATTTATTCTAAACAGTAACAAAGTACATGTGTAACTTTATATTATTGTAATGTATAAGATTTTAGAATCTCATCATGCAAATTTCTTTTTGTGAGAAATTGAATTGAATATCTCACCATTTGCATTGAGTTAACTTAATATATAATCTTGTTCATTTTAGGTCTAATTTAATTAATTTGCCTGTTTTCACTACATTTGAATCTTAAATATGTAATTCTTATACAGTCATATCTTGTTACCTCGAAGTCATTGTGACCGTCAAAAAATATCTATAACGAAATGTTGTGATAAATGTATTAGGATTTGAACAAGTCAGAAACTTTTTTTTTTACAAAAGACATGTGCTTACCATATTTTTAGGTTAAATAAACTAAGTACGATATCTCTGTGTCTTGTATTCTTGAGCATAACATTTATTTATTTGACTTGTCTAGATCAATTTGATTTAATTTTGTTTTCTTGAATTCAGTCATCGTAATGGAAAACTTGAAGATTTCTTGGCTCGTGAATTGGTTCCCGGCGATGTTGTTGATCTCATGGTCGGAGACAGGGTACCAGCCGATCTTAGACTTATACAAGTAAGTTACCATACCTTTGTCAAATAGTTACGGTAGTGCAGTAATGAGTTAACTCTTTATATGATTTAATAGGAGTTACCCTGTTATTGTACCAAGGTGACAAAATGCTTACAACATTGAAACAGTGTGCAGAATGCATTACACAGGTCATAGTATTTCTAGGTCAAGGGCATTCTACATGTAACTTGAAGGTCAGGTGTGTGAGTTTTCATTTTTGTGTCTGCATCATTTCACATACACTCTGTGAAGGATTGGTATTAAAATTGGAACAAATTTTCATAACATTCAGACAATGTGCACAATGCAGTCACATTTAATAGTCAGATGTTTTGACTTACAAAAGACAGCGACAAGAGATTTAGCTGTCCTTTTAGAGGGCCTTGCTTTTGAGCAACATTAGCAAGATTTTCATACCTTTTTTGCAAGATTTTGAGAACAAAAACACCCAGCCCTATAGCCATATAAGATTTTTAGTTTTCGTATAGTAGCATTATTGAACACAATAGTACTATATATCCAATTTAAAAAACATGGAGAATTTATGTTGAATAATATTTTGAATAATAACATATTTTATTTGTTTATATATGTTGAAGTAAAATGGTAAGTAAATGAAAAAAAAATACATTTCAGGCAAAAGATTTGGCCATTGATGAGTCCAGTTTTACAGGGGAGAATCATCCTAGCACAAAAAGTAGTTCCACCATTCCTAAAGATGCCATGATGAATAATAATATAACTCAGAGAACTAATATAGCTTTTATGGGAACATTGGTCAGGTGTGGTAGGGGACAGGTATGTGTCTACTGTACAAAATTGTTGTTATTTTAATGTAGAGTTGCAATGAAATCTAGGCAATCTAGGCAAATATTGTAAGGCAGAGTTAAATAGAGTGGATAATTTTTTGAAGCCAAATTTGTATGATTGTCTGATTTGATATGATATTTATCAACATAGTGTGATATGGACAAGAAGTGCTTGGCCAAATTTTAATTGAGCCAAGTTAATAGAAGTACATGTATAGCAAATGGCTAAAATGAGTTATTAAAGTAATGGCAGAGTACACCTTTGATCAAGCTCATTGGATGAGTTTATTTAGAAGTAACATTTCTTTTGAAATACTTATCTGTTAGCACACATTTTTTAATAGAGAAATCAGGTTCGTGTGAAGATAATTTCTATCATTTCAATCTATGTTACTGAATGGGTTTTTCCTGTTTTTACCCACGGAGTTGATCTATATCTTTATTATATTTATAGGGTATAGTAATTGGTACTGGGCACAATTCAGAGTTTGGTGAGATTTTCAAAATGATGCAGGATGAAGAGGTAAGAGTTATCTGTTAGTTTGTTGTAACATAAAACAGTTTTCTTCGCTTGTACCAGTACTTTTTTTGGGCGTCCATGGCCGAGTGGTTAAGGTGGTTTATTTCAAGCCATTTGCCCCTCACCACTGTGGGTTCGAATCCTGACAGGGACTTTGGATTCTTTCATGTGAGGAAGCTTTCCAGCTAGCTTACGTTATGTCTGTGGTTTTACTCATGTTCCCGTTTGTGCCTGAAATAATGCTCCGAAGGGCACCTGAGGTCTTCCTCCATCAGTAAAACTGGAACCTAGCCATATGACTTGTGTAGGTGAGACGTAAAACCCAATTAAAGAAAGAAACAATACTTTTTCATGAAACTGTGTCAATATAAAATAAGTGAAAAATGAATTTTTGTTAATTATGCTTAACGGCTTGAAAATATGATATCACATTCTAACATTGAAAACATTGCTGTTATTATAAGATTATCTTGGTTTGGACATTGAATTCTGCTCAAAAGGATTTACTATGCCAGGTTTGAAGGTGATATAAAATGGTCAGGTTTGGTCCTGCCATACAAATCATCAGTTTTCTTTATTTGTACCAGTACTTTTTCATGAAACTTTGAAACTATGTCAATATAAGTGAAAAATGATTTTTTATGCCCCCGCCATGTAATGGCCGGGGCATATAGTGTTACCCTGTTCCGTCCTTCCGTCATTCCGTCCTTCCGTCATTCCGTCATTCTGTCATTCCGTCATCATCAGTTTCCGTTCATTATCGTAGTAACGGTTGCACACATTCAACTCAAATTTGACATATGGATATGTCGTGAGAAAATACAGGTCTAGTTCGAATTTGGTCATGGTTCGATGATTTTTGGAAGAGTTATGCCCCTTTTACTTTAAAATAATATGAAATTTTCAGTTTCCGTTCATTATCTCGCCAATGGTACAACACATTCAACTCAAACTTGACATATGGATATGTCATGACAAAATACAGGTCAAGTTCGAATTTGGTCATGGTTCGATGATTTTTGGCAGAGTTATGCCCCTTTTACTTTGAAAATAATATGAAATTTTCAGTTTCCGTTCATTATCTCCCCAACAGTGCAACACATTCAACTCAAATTTGACATATGGATATATCGTGAGAAAATACAGGTCAAGTTCGAATTTGGTCATGGTTCAATGATTTTTGGCAGAGTTATGCCCCTTTCACTTTGAAAATAATATGAAATTTTCAGTTTCTGTTTATAATCTCCCCAACGGTACAACACATTCAACTCAAATTTGACATATGGATATGTTTTTGGAATGCCCAGGCCATGTTGGAATTTGGTCATGGTTCAATGATTTTTGGCAGAGTTATGCCCCTTTTACTTTGAAAATAATATGAAATTTACAGTTTCTGTTCATTATCTACCCAACTACTCAAATTTGACATATGGATATGTCAAAGGAATGGGCAGGTCAAGTTGGTATTTGGTCATGGTTTGATGATTTTTGGCAGAGTTATGTCCCTTTCACTTTGAAAATAATATAGATACATCTTAGGAATAAGTAGTTTAAGTTTGATTTTGGTCGTGATTCAATGATTTTGGACAAACTTATCTTTCTTGAATGTTGGAAAAATTTTGAACTTTCAGTTTCAGCACTCATACTTTTAGCCATTATTTTGGCTACAAATATGAAATATGCTATTTTCAAAAGGTTTAGACTGAATAATTTCAGTGCCTTGAACATTGTATGAAAATGGTTTGTGTTAACATTGAAAAGTTTTAAGGGCTTTGAACTTAAAATGAAAAAAATAATTTGTGCAAACAAATTTGGAACTAAATATTATAACATCTAAAATTTTGGCTGCATGCGGGGGCATCCGTGGCATGATGACACATTTCTAGTTGTCAATTATGTTTAATGGCTTGAAAGTATGATATCACATTCTGACATTAAAAAGATGTACTGTTATCATAAGAATGAATATCTTGGTTTGGACTTTGAATTCTGCACAAAAGGATTTTTACAACGCCAGGTTTGAAGGTGATATAAAATAGTCAAGTGTGGTCCTGCAAAACAAATGGTATTGTGGTCTAGCAAAAACATTATGTAGCCTATCATTCAAAGATTTTAAAACATGAAACATAGAATACTTGCTAGTCATGACAAAGTGCAGTTGTTAGACAAAGGGGCTGGCGAGGTACAGTTGTTAGACAAGTGGCATTATTCTGAAAGCAATATTTTTGAAGTTATTCCACTTTTTAACTTGTTTTTTTTTACAGTCAAACGTTAACACCGTATGCGGTGCTCTTGTTGTAATTTTCTTTCTTGCAGATCTTGTAGTATATGTGATACAGTAAAAACTCTGAAAACCGGACTATCTGAAAACCTTACTTTTGGTCAAGTCCGGACAGGGTCCGGTTTTCAAAGTTTTTACTGTATATAGAATTTTAAATTAGAGTTGTTTTTGTACTATTTTCACTGAACCAATTTAAACACATGATATTTTATTACTTTCAGGCACCAAAGACTCCAATGCAGAAGAGTATGGATATTTTAGGAAAACAGCTATCATTTTATTCCTTTTGTATAATCGGCATGATTATGTTCCTTGGTTGGTTCCAGGGACGTCACATTCTTGACATGTTTACAATAGGAGTAAGGTATGGTGCAGCTTCTATAGTCTATATGTTTGAAAATGAAATTTATTTAATATACTCGAACAAAAGATCACAAGTTTGGCAACGATGGTTAATTGTGCCAGGTATCTGACTTTGAATTATTTGTCACACCAAAACTGAAAGCTTTTCAGGAATAACAATAAAGGCATTTCTAGGGCATAATGGGCCAATATTATCAAATTTTATTAACCAGGTTTTCCGAAGGAAAAATCTGGTTATTAGATTGAAGTATGTCGGCGGGCGGGCGGATGGGCGGGCGGGCGTAAACAATTTCTTCTGTGCGCAACTCCTCCTACATTTCTCGACGGATTTTGACCAAACTTTCACAGAAGCTTTGTCATCAAGTGCTCTGGTGCATATTGTCAGGGTTTTGTGATTGGATAATATTTGACCTAATTATGGCCCTTTGTTTTTTCCCTTATATAGAATATATAGTGAACAATTTCTTCTGTGCGCAACTTCTTCTAAATTTCTCAAAGGATTTTGTTCAAACTTTCACAGAAGCTTTGTCATAAAGTGTCCTGATGCATACTGTTGGGGTTTTGTGATTGGATAATTTTTTACCTTATTATGGCCCTTTGTTTTTTTTTCCTTATACAGAATATATAGTGAACAATTTCTTCTGTGCGCAACTCCTCCTACATTTCTCAAGGGATTTTGTTAAAACTTTCACAGAAGCTTTGTCATAAAGTGTCCTGATGCATATTGCTGGGCTTTTGTGATTTGATAATTTTTTACCTAATTATGGCCCTTTGTTTTTTTCCCCTTATATAGAGTATATAGTGAACAATTTCTTCTGTTGCCCAACTGCTTCTACATTTCTGAAAGGATTTTGTTCAAATTTTCACACATTAGCTTTATCTTCAGGTGCCCTGATGTGTATTGTCAGGGTTTTATGATTAGATAAGTTTTTACCTTATTATGGCCCTTTGTTTTGCCATAAAATTTAATTATTAGTGTAATAATTATCCTTTTAATCACAACTACAACATTTAACCAAACTTTATTTAGTTAAAAAACATAAACTATCTAGGTTGTTGCATGCCTGCTAGCTCATCTGCCTGTTTTTGGGTCCTGTAGAGTCAAGGTCAAGGTCATTGTTGCTAAAAATAGAAAATCTGTTTCCAGTCAGGTCACTGTTACTAAAAATAGAAAATAGGTTTCCGGTCAGTAACTAGTTTGGAATAAGATATTTTTATGAAATTTGGTATAAAGCAAGTTTCTATGAAGACCTCACTTGGGATGGCTTTTTGGCCTCTTAGGGTCAAGGTTACAGTTACTAAAAATAGAAAATTCATCATTCATGATTTACATTGCACATAGTTACATTGTTTGTTGCTTGTATTTGTATTTCAGCTACTACATATTTATCTACAATGGTGATAATTGAAAATCTGGTTTCATGGCATTGCCATGTTTCTTGTCTTTATTCTTAAATACATTTAATATTATAATTATTATTATTTTACAGTTTAGCTGTGGCTGCCATACCAGAAGGTTTACCAATAGTTGTGACAGTGACCTTGGCTTTGGGTGTCATGAGAATGGCCAAGAGGAAAGCCATTGTTAAAAAGCTTCCAATTGTAGAGACATTAGGTATATACAAGTTTTTTTATAACAAGCATTTAGTGTAGCAGTTTTAAATCACTGTTTGAATCCCACAAGGGATGCAACTTTTTATCATGTAAGGGAGCTACCCTCATAGTTGAAGGGCAGTCTGTGTGTTTTTATTTAGGTTTACAACTTGTGTCAGAAATGAGACATAGCTTGATACTTAAAGTCTTAAAATACCATTTAATCTGGAATGTCACAGTATTACCATGACCGTGAATATTATTCAATTGTAAACAATAACAAAATGGATTAAAAACAGAATTTTAAATGTAAGGAAAGGTTTTTCTACTGAACTGTGTGAAGAAATTATATAAAATATTGTATTTCAGGTTGTGCCAATGTAATATGTTCAAATAAGACTGGTACCCTGTATTATATTTCAAGTTGTGCCAATGTAATAAGTTCAGATATGACTGGTACCCTGTATTGTATTTCAAGTTGTGCCAATGTAATAAGTTCAGATATGACTGGTACCCTGTATTGTATTTCAAGTTGTGCCAATGTAATAAGTTCAGATATGACTGGTACCCTGTATTGTATTTCAAGTTGTGCCAATGTAATATGTTCAGATATGACTGGTACCCTGTATTGTATTTCAGGTTGTGCTAATGTAATATGTTCAGATAAGACTGGTACCCTGTATTATATTTCAGGTTGTGCCAATGTAATATGTTCAGATATGACTGGTACCCTGTATTGTTTTTCGGGTTGTGCCAATGTAATATGTTCATATAAGACTGGTACCCTGTATTATATTTCAGGTTGTGCCAATGTAATATGTTCAGATAAGACTGGTACCCTGTATTATATTTCAAGTTGTGCCAATGTAATAAGTTCAGATATGACTGGTACCCTGTATTATATTTCAAGTTGTGCCAATGTAATATGTTCAAATAAGACTGGTACCCTGTATTATATTTCAGGTTGTGCCAATGTAATATGTTCAGATAAGACTGGTGCCCTTTATTGTATTTCAGGCTCTACCAATGTAATATGTTCAGGTCTGACTGGTACCCTTTATTGTATTTGAGGTTGTACCAATGTAATATGTTCAGGTCTGACTGGTACCCTTTATTATATTTGAGGTTGTTCCAATGTAATATGTTCAGGTCTGACTGGTACCCTTTATTATATATGAGGTTGTACCAATGTAATATGTTCAGGTCTGACTGGTACCCTTTATTATATTTGAGGTTGTACCAATGTAATATGTTCAGATCTGACTGGTACCCTGTATTGTATTTTCAGGTTGTGCCAATGTAATATGTTCAGGTCTGACTGGTACCCTGTATTGTATTTCAGGTTGTGCCAATGTAATATGTTCAGGTCTGACTGGTACCCTTTATTATATTTGAGGTTGTACCAATGTAATATGTTCAGGTCTGACTGGTACCCTGTATTGTATTTCAGGTTGTGCCAATGTAATATGTTCAGATAAGACTGGTACCCTGTATTGTATTTCAGGTTGTGCCAATGTAATATGTTCAGATAAGACTGGTACCCTGTATTTGTATTTCAGGTTGTGCCAATGTAATATGTTCAGATAAGACTGGTACCCTGACAAAGAATGAGATGACAGTTACGCACATATATTCTGCTGAGGGTACACATGCTGAGGTAGTTCATTTATCCTTTGGAAATTGATATGTTTTGAAAAAATTTTGCAAAGTGACATTTTAGACAGAATAGACAGAAATAATGATTTAAACATTAAATGGTATACAATTCCCAACAGCCTTGACCTTAATTATCATATTTTCAAAATTCAGGATATTTCACCATTGTTTTTCTATTTATGAAAAGATGTTAATATAAGAGCATTTGTGTTTTAACAAAGAAAACAACAACAAAAAAAAACAAAAAAAAAACAACAAAAAAACAGATATAATTTGTAAATAATGTTTAAACCATCAATCTGCTGAATTACTTTCTATGCTTATAAATATTGAATTCAAAATTTTTAGCTCGACTATTCGAAGAATATGAGAGCTATTGTAGTCGCCCCGGCGTCGGCGTCAGCCTCCGCGTCGGCGTCTGCGTTGGTTAAAGTTTTTTGTAAAGTCAAATATCTCAATTATTACTTGAGATATTCAATTGAAACTTACAATACTTATTTATAGTAACAAGGTACATCAGATTGACAAGTTGGATAACTCTGCCTACAATATTGACAGAATTATGCCCCTTTTTAACTTAGAAATTTTGGTTAAAGTTTTTTGTAAAGTCAAATATCTCAATTATTACTTGAGATATTCAATTGAAACTTACAATACTTATTTATAGTAACAAGGTACATCAGATTGACAAGTTGGATAACTCTGCCTACAATATTGACAGAATTATGCCCCTTTTTAACTTAGAAATTTTGGTTAAAGTTTTTTGTAAAGTCAAATATCTCAATTATTGCTTGAGATATTCAATTGAAACTTACAATACTTATTTATAGTAACAAGGTACATCAGATTGACAAGTTGGATAACTCTGCCTACAATATTGACAGAATTATGCCCCTTTTTAACTTAGAAATTTTGGTTAAAGTTTTTTGTATAGTCAAATATCTCAATTATTGCTTGAGATATTCAATTGAAACTTACAATACTTATTTATAGTAACAAGGTACATCAGATTGACTGGTTGGATAACTCTGCCTGCAATATTTGCAGAATTGTTTGCCCCTTTGAAAAATAGAAATTTTGATAAAGGTTAAAGGTCTTCAAAGATATTTACTTGAAACTTTACACATGCACTTAGGGTCATAATTGGAGGGTCATAATTGTATGTCACTGACCAAGTTCCATAACTCTATCTTGCATTAAGGCTGATTCATATCCCCTTTTCTACTTAGTCTCTTGGTTAATGTTTACATGCAAGTTTTACATATCTCAATAACTATTAAAGATATTTATTTAAAACTTCACATATGCATTTATGGTCATAATTGTTGGTCACTGACAAAGATCCATAATTCTATCTTGCATTTAGGCGTATTTTTCCCCCTTTTTTCAACTCAGAAATTCATGGTAAAGTTTTGCTTGTAAGCTGTTATCTCAATAACTACTGAAGGGTTTGTGCCTTTTTTGGGACAATTTTATGCATTCATGATAATAAAGCAGTGATTTACTTGATAAAACATCTTAATAACAAGCCTTTGTACCTTTTCTGTCAAATTTATGTATTCATAGGTAATTAGTATTATTATACTCAATAAAACACCCTTGTGTCATTTCCTTCCGAATAGTCAAGCCAATACTGTATAATTAGACTCTCTCTAAGGCCTATAACATGATTTATAAAAAAAATTAGCCCTTTTGTGAACTTAAAAAAATTTAACATTATCAAGGCTCTTTTACTATCAAGCACTTAGAATAGTCGAGCGTGCTGTCCTACTGACAGCTCTTGTTTCAATATCAAAGTACAAAATTAGAGCTACCAACAGTTTACAGCCTTGTTAGATTGCCGATATATGCAGGCTGGCCTGAATAATGATAGTGGCCAATGCTGATCACTTTCTATTCCAGCATGTAAATGGTTACGGTTGATAAATTGTGAGTATATATAAACCTTTGTTATATGACAGGTTACAGGTGTAGGGTACAATGGTATAGGAAATGTGTTGTATGAGGGAACGAGTGTGGACAGTAAATCACATCCTGATTTGTGTAAGGTGATAGAGGTCGGCTGTATATGTAACGATGCGGAGATCTGTGATGACCAGCTTCATGGTCAGCCAACAGAGGGAGCTCTACTTGCTTGCGCTCTGAAGGTGTGTTTTAATATTAACTTGTTGTATTAATCTTACAGTATCATGCTGAAAAAGCTATATTTCTATTTATTGTATAGTTTCATAGATAATGTATAGTTATATTTTAACCCTTACCATACTAAATACCGCCTTCGTGGTCGAGGGGTTAGAGTCGATGACTTCTAATCCAGTTACCTCTCTGGCGTGGGTTCGATCCCCGGGATATGCTTTGGTAGTTTAGCACGGAGGAAGATAGTCTAGTACTGGTGTAATTCTCCAGAAACGATGGTTAGGAAACTACCCGCCTATATGACTGAAATACTGTTGGGAAAAGGCGTAAAATGAAACAAACAAACCATACTAAATTTTTTGCAATAGGCTTGTCCAGTTTGTATTTTGAATCTATCTATTTAATATCAATTTTAGAGATATATACATAATGATGTCAATTTAAAAGTCAGGGGGCAAATCAGAAAAGCAAAAAGTTCTAGAGGGATATGGTTATTTAAATGCAGAGTCGCAAATAAATAATGTTGAAATATAATTTCACTATTTCAGATGAACTTGCATAATTTGCGTTACCTGTATATACGTACAGACGAGATGCCGTTTAACTCTGATAACAAGTACATGTATGTTCAGTGTACTCCAAGATATGGCCAGGTAATTGTTTTATATACCATTCCGTTCCTATATCATTGACTACTGTATAAGTGGTTAAGTCAGCGACATAGAAATATTGGCGAATTACCCAAATTGCCTAAAATCGCTAAAATATCCTCTAGCGTAAATAACAACCAACCTGTCATTAAATTCTATTGTTGCATGATTCGATAATATTTCCTCATGTCTAGAATTTAAAGTTCACTAACTTTTTCGGCACACAGGAGTATCCACTTATACAGTAATTAATCATTAACTGGAGCTGCATGTTTTCATAATATGTATATTTCTTATTTTTGTTGACATTGTCCTGCTTTTATTGAATAATTTGCTATAAATTGATTATTTTGGCTGTTATGTTTTTCACATTTTATGTATCCTTAAGCACTAATATCTTTTTTTCACTTTATACTTATATTATGAAGATTACTGTAAATATGCTAATATTTCAGTCTACTACTGTATATTCATGAATTTTTGACAAAGGATTAAATTTTGTTTATTTTGTGAATTGAATATCTTTGCTAAGTACTGTATATATATATATATATATAAAAGTACTGAAAGTAAAGATTTGTGACTGTATGGATTTAAAAGTACTGAAAGTAAGATTTGTTGGTAACTGTGTCATTAAGTCTGAATTTTTGATTTCATGAAATTTGGTGAAAATACTTGATTTTACAGTACGATTCAAAACATGAAAAAAGGTCTCTTTCAGTTGGTAATGGAATCCCAAATGTGTATCCCACCATTTTATTTTCATGTAACAGTAACATTATCATGTTCTTCTCAGTATATTTGTATTAGTCCTTTAATGAAGGGTCCTTTTTAGTTTCAATATAACACTGAAGAATCTCAACAAACCTTATACATGTATATATATATACTTATAATACTGCACATTTGTAACGTCCCTTTTCATTGGATAATCGTGATGTTTATATAGTTTTATATATACAGCTACTGTCAATTCATGAAGAAATCTAACTTTTTCCTCTATAAAAAGGAAGTTTGCAGTATTATAAATTTATCATAAATATTCTTGACAGGTTATACCTAGCTGCTTGTGTTATATGTACAAACAACTGTTTATATACAGCCATATAACCTGTCAACTTATAATGTACATTGCATGTAGAACATGTTTAGAGAGATTTTAGTTGAATCCACAAATTGTTATCCTGACCTGGATACTGTGATATGCAGGGCTCATTATGCTTAATTTTTATCATAACATGTTCCATCCCATTTTAGAAATTCTTATTTTCTAGAAATTTACAATGCCTGACTCAGTAAATCTTAATTAATAACCAGAAATCTCTTTTTGATGTATAAGATGTTAGTAAAACCTCTTTGCAAATAACAATTTTGAGTAATTTTAAACAATTAATTTGCTGGGACTGTAAGTGATTAGCTTTAGCCACCACTGGACTCCTGGGAGATTTTTAGTCATACCTGAAAGCGGGACTTTGAAATAGGGCTGAGAGATTGGCCTTTAAGATTTACTGATAATTGCATGTCACACTGCATGTTTTGAAGAAGAAAAAAAAATTGTAAAATTTACTTTTATTTTTGTTGTCATGCTTTATAATTGACATGTTTTGTTAGCACTAGCTAAAATTTCTGTGAAGTTATTAACTAACACTGTGAACTGATTTATCTAATAACAGATGGCTGATGATGGTGTAAGTTTTCTTTATTATATATATACAAGATTTATAATACCAGAGTGTTGACCTTTAACCTGCTGGAACCAAAAGTGATCAGCCTTTGCCACCAGTATAGAGCCAGGCCAGCCTGTATATCTATATGTGCACATACATGAAGTCTGACAAGGCTCTATACTGTTGGAAGCTCAATTTTTGGATATTTTAATATCTGATTTCCCTTAAAGGAACTCCACTGAGGTCCAAAGGCCTAAAAATGTAAAATTTGAAAATCATGCAAACATTGTGTAGAGCTCTTGAAATTTGAAAATTTGCAACAATAATGGAAATTTGAAAATTTGCAACAATAATTAAGAAATTTACAAAGAACTAAATCAGAAATCAATTTTTATGTGATTCCCAGCCAGATTTGATTGAAAAGTTGCAGAGCTTTTCATTTTTGGTCAATTTTGCACAATAAAATTTGGGATAAACTGGTTGATAGAATGTCCTGAAAACTTTGCACACAAGTTTTTGAGCCAGGCCTATATCAACTGGTACACAAGTTTTGGAAAAATATTTCTACACCCATCATGTCGAAATACCTCAGTGGAGTCCCTTTAAACTGTGAATGGATTGTTCCAGTTTCAAAGCAGAGCAAATCCATTACATAAATTCAGCAGGTTAAGGGTACTGGATAATGTAATTCAAATTACTCGCACATAACACTGTCAAAGTAACCACTTTCCATGTCATACTAATTAACGGCCAGAATTGAATGTTTCCGATATATATTTTGTGTTCTGTTAAACATTATTGTATTAATATAACTAAATAAATAGAATTTTCATATTAGAATTGAAATCTTTATACAGTTAAAGTTTCTAATTTGTGTTTGCTGACCATCAACTTTGTGTAACGTGACCTTGATATATTTTTAGTAAGAAATAGATATAGTAAAAGCTTTAGATCTGTATTAACTATTCATTTCACTTGTTTTTTTTTGTTTTGTTTTTTATAAATCGGTGACCTTATCAAAGGGGTGGTCGCTTATTTGAAAGTGTTTTCTTATTGAATATAGTAGTTTGGTGAAATATTGTAAACATTGTGTTGTTATTAGATTTTAATTCTTGTAGAAAAATATTGCTTATATAAACACCCAAAAATGATAATCAAACTAATATTTAATTCTGGCTTTATTTTACACTCTATATATACTGTCATAAGAAAACAGTGTATAGAATCGACATCAACTTTCTGTTAACCTTAACATTAAGTTTGACCATCTTTTTACATATGCAGTCTGAAATGTTATTTATGCAATTTGCATGAGGCTGATAAATGATGAAGATTCATGAAATTATTTCATGACAGGGTTGAAAACAGATATGACTAACATAGATAGAAACTAATAAATGGTGGTTTTAAATATGATTTTGATGTGCTTTTACATTGGTGGAAATTGTTGATAACAAAAAAATTAGCAATATTATGAGTTGAAAGTTTCATACAATTTTTAGCTCGACTATTCGCAGAATAATCGAGCTAATGCAGTCACCCATTTGTCGGCGTCGGCGTCAGCGTCGGCGTCCCTGTGGTTAAGTTTTTGTATGTAAGCTGGTATCTCCATAACTACTGAAGGGAATGGATTGAAACTTCACACACTTGTTCTCTGTGATTATCTAAGATGATTGGCACAAGTCCCATAACTCTGATTTGCTTTTTTTCATAATTATGCCCCTTTTTCGACTTAGAAATTCTTGGTTAAGTTTTTGTATGTAAGCTGGTATCTCCATAACTACTGAAGGGAATGGATTAAAACTTCACACACTTGTTCTCTGTGATTATCTAAGATGATTGGCACAAGTCCCATAACTCTGATTTGCTTTTTTTCATAATTATGCCCCTTTTTCGACTTAGAAATTCTTGGTTAAGTTTTTGTATGTAAGCTGGTATCTCCATAACTACTGAAGCGAATGGATTGAAACTTCACACACTTGTTCTCTGTGATTATCTAAGATGATTGGTACAAGTCCCATAACTCTGATTTGCTTTTTTACATAATTATGCCCCTTTTCGACTTTGAAATTCTTGGTTAAGTTTTTGCGTGTAAGCTGGTATCTCCATAACTACTGATGGGAATGGATTGAAACTTCACACACTTGTTCTCTGTGATTATCTAAGATGATTGGTACAAGTCCCATAACTCTGATTTGCTTTTTTACATAATTATGCCCCTTTTTCGACTTAGAAATTCTTGGTTAAGTTTTTGCGTGTAATCTGGTATCTCCATAACTACTGAAGGGAATGGATTGAAACTTCACACACTTGTTCTCTGTGATTATCTAGGATGATTGGCACAAGTCCCATAACTTTGATTTGCTTTTTTACATAAACATGCCCCTTTTTCGACTTAGAAATTCTTGGTTAAGTTTTTGCGTGTAAGCTGGTATCTCAATAACTACTGAAGGGAATGTATTGAATTTCACACACTTGTTCTCTGTGATTATCTTAGATGATTGGCACAAGTCCCATAACTCTGATTTGCTTTTTTACATAATAATGCCCCTTTTTCGACTTAGAAATTCTTGGTTAAGTTTTTGTGTGTAAGCTTGTATCTCCATAACTACTGAAGGGAATGTATTGAAACTTGAAGGGTTTGTACCTTTTTGGACAATTTTATGTATTCATATAGGTAAGCATTATTATACTCAATGAAACACCCTAGTGACAAATTTTCGAATAGTCGAGCGTTACTGTCCTCCGACAGTTCTTGTTATGTACATTATTTCATATTATAATTGTGTTGCAATTCATTTATTCTATTCATGACCAGATTTTTAAAAAGGGTGCTGTATTTTGGCCCTCTACATGTCACTAAGATTATGTGCAAGCAGTCGGAAAGCTGTCTTGGTAGAGCAGCGAAATGGTGTTCTGAGGGTCCTTGGTTTGAGACCCGGTCCGGGTGCTTATTTTACTCACTCTGTGACAAACATATTAGAGACATTGTTTAACCTTTATTAAATATCTTAAATGGACCTGTCAGTCTTTCAGTCTTGACAAAATCATTAACCTTTTGTAAGGAAAACTTCAAAGTAAGCTCTGACCGAGTAGCAAACAGTGCAGACCATGATTGGATGGTACGGATGTGCTAGCCGATATTGGGCTGCACTGGTTGCATGGGTAGAATCAGTAGCTGCCAGCAGGCTAAGAATTAATTGTATGATTGATTTATTGATTTAAAATTATGATAGGACAATATTATTATATTGACCCCTTTGCATGCTGGGAAAAAAGTCGTCTGCTAAGGTGTCGTCTGCATAGTATTTTAATTTTATCCAATTTCCTAAAAAAAAAGAAAGAAAAAAAAAACAAAACAAAAAACAACAAAAAAACAACAATAGAGTGTGACTGCTGATCTTATAAATTTTATTTGCATTTCTGCTTTTTCAAATATAATATAGATCTTTGTATATATGTATAGTTATATCAGGAAAATATAAAAAGAAAATTTCCCCTTATGTATCTCTTTTTTGGATGGGTGTCTGACACCAGAAACAAGTCTTTATTTTGGCCGTACTTGAATTCAATGTTATATTTTGTTGTTGTTGTTACAGAGTAAGGAGAAGATATATTTTGTGAAAGGAGCATTACAGAGGGTGTTAGAGAAGTGTACAAGGTTTTATAGTAATGGTACCACCATTGAACTTCAAGATAAACAAAAACAAATCTACGGTAAAGAGGCCTATAGAATGGGCTGCAATGGTCTAAGAGGTTTGTCTCCCCTTATTTATTGAATGCATATATTGTTTATTTGTAGTATATCACAGTTTTTTTTTAAAGTGATGTTTTATAAAAATTGATATTATTATCGTAAATAGTTTTTCACATTTCATATTTTATGTTTTAAAATGCTGTTGAATGTAGAGCCCCATAGTAAACCAGTGGAAAACCTGTGAAGAGTTTGTTTATTAAGAGTACTGTCAATTATCACTCTTAATGGTGTTACCAAATTATTTTGCTAAAATTATTGCCAGTAAATGTAATGGTGGTGTGATGAATTTTGAAGAAAAAGGTTATCATATGAAATGTGTTCACTTGTTATGTACAAATTGTTGCCCAATCATATTAATTGTTAAATTTACATGATTATATAATTCCCTAACAATTTTGTTTCAGTGTTAGGAATGGCATATGGACCCAGTATGAATAATCTAGTGTTTGTGGGTATGGTAGGGATAACTGATCCACCAAGACAGGGAGTGAAGGAAGCAATAGCTCAGCTGAGAGCTGGTTCTGTGTCAGTTAAAATGCTGACTGGTGATTCTGCGGAAACTGCTAAAGCTATAGGTAAGTACTTGGTGCTGGACATTACTTAGTATGCAAAATAATTGCAGTGTCATTATTGTATTTGTTATAATTTTATGTGTCACAGCAGTCCAGTCTGCTCCAGGCACCTTCTTTGTCAATGATATAGTTTTTAGCTTGACTATTTAAAGAAATGGGAGAATTATTGTACTGGCCCAGGCATTGGCATTAGCATCACACTATGGTTAAGTTTTTGAGTGCAAGTTGGTATCTCCAAAACTACTGAAGAGAATGGGTTGAAACTCACACACTTATTTACGAGCATAGCAGGTCACTGACCAAGACCTATAACTCTAACATTGATTTTGACAGAATTACAGCCCTTTTTGAACTTAGAAAATTCTACATTATCCAAGCTCTTGTTTTAATATCAAGCAGTGAAAAAAGTCAAGCATGCTGTCCTGCTAACAGCTCTTGTTCTGGTATGATTACACTAATAAGAAGTCACCTCTGAACTTTTCCTACATTGTGTTCCTTTACTGACCTGTTATTCCACACAAAAATTCCACTGTCTCATATATTTAATCATTTAATCATTTCTATACTATAACTTCAGCTTCAAAAATTGATTACATTACAAAGGTAGACAACCCAGTAAGGAATGATGATATTTTCTGTATTTCAGGAGCTAAACTTGGTCTCACATCTAATGGGGAGACAACTCTATCAGGAGAAGAAATCGAAGCTCTTGATTTATCTTACTTGAAAAACATCATAAATAACGTCACTATTTTCTACAGGGTAACTCCTCGTAATAAAGTCAAAATTGTTAAGGTAAGTGGATTTGAAATTTAATTCATGAAATTTTTGTCAAGTAACAGTATGTTTCTTGGTGGCTGACAGGGTAGATTATATTATAATGCTGCATATTTGTAAGGTCACTTTTCATTGGATGATTGTGATGTTTATATTAACAATATACGCAGCTGCTGTCAATTTATGAAGTTTTCAGATTTTTTTTACTCACAGTAATTCTCCTGTATTATAAATGTTTTTTGTGTTATATAGCCATTCATATCAAGCCATATAATCTGTCAGGCATCTTTATAATGATAATATACAGTAATCCCAGTCTTATATGAAGAGATTTATTGTTTGGCTACATGCAAGTTTCCCTTTTCTCAATTGTTTTACACTTAGATAGTAAATATTAAGAATAAAATACAAATGTAAAACTTTTTAGTAAAAAGATTAAGATTTATACATTTCTGTTAAGTTTTTTAGCTCACCTGTCACAAAGTGACAGGGTGAGCTTTTGTGATCGCTTTTCGTCCGGCGTCCGTCCGGCGTCCGTCGTCCGTCCCTCGTCCGTAAACTTTTACTTTAAATGACATCTCCTCATAAACCACTAAGCCAATTTCATCCAAACTTCACAGGAATGTTCCTTTGGTGGTCACCTTTAAAAATTGTTCAAAGAATTTAATTCCATGCAGAACTCTGGTTGCCATGACAACCGAAAGAAAAAACTTTAAATATCTTCTTTTAAAAAACCCTAAGAGCTAGAGCTTAGATATTTGGTATGGAACATCTTCTAGTGAGTGTCTACCAAGTTTGTTCAAGAGTGTCTACCAAGTTTGTTCAAATAAAATCCCTGGGGTCAAAATTGGCCCCGCCCCAGGGGGTCATTGATTTTCCCTATATGCATATAGTAAAAACTTAAAAATTCTTCTTTTAAAGAACCCAAAGAGCTAGAGCTAAGATATTCAGCATGAAACATCTTCTAATGAGTGTGTTACCAAGTTTGTTCAAATAAAAGCCCTGGGGTCAAAATTGGCCCCGCCCCAGGGGGTCATTGATTTTCCCTATATGCATATAGTAAAAACTTACAAAAATCTTTTTTGAAAGAACTCAAAAAGCTAGAGCTAAGATATTCAGCATGAAACATGTTCTAATGGGTGTCTACCAAGTTTGTTCAAATAAAAGCCTGGGGTCAAAATTGGCCCCGCCCCAGGGGTCATTGATTTTTCCCTATATGCATATAGTAAAAACTTAAAAATCTTCTTTTAAAAGAACTCAAAGAGCTAGAGCTAAGATATTTAGCATCAAACATGTTCTAATAGGTGTCTACCAAGTTTGTTGAAATAAAAGCCCTGGGGTCAAAATTGGCCCTGCCCCGGGGGTCATTGATTTTCCTTATATGTGTATAGCAAAAACTTAAAAGATCTTCTTTGAAAAAGCCCAAATAGCTAGAGTTTAGATAATTAAGCATGAAACATCTTCTAGTGAGTGTCTACAAAGTTTGTTGAAATAAAAGCCTTGGGGTCAAAACTGGCCCCGCCCCAGGGGTGTCATTGTTTTTAACTATATGTGTATAGCAAAAACTTAAAAAAATCTTCTGTTAAAAAGCCCAATGAGCTAGAGCTTAGATGTTTAGCATGGAACATCTTCTTATGGGTGTCTACCAAGTTTGTTCAAATAAAAGCCCTGGGGTCAAAATTGGCCCCGCCCCAGGGGGTCATTGATTTTCCCTATATGCATATAGTAAAAACTTAAAAATCTTCTTTTAAAGAACTAAAAGAGCTAGAGCTAAGATTTTTAGCATCAATCATGTTTTAATAGGTGTCTACCAAGTTTGTTCAAATAAAAGCCCTGGGGTCAAAATTGGCCCTGCCCCAGGGGTCATTGATTTTCCTTATATGTGTATAGCAAAAACTTAAAAGATCTTCTTTGAAAAAACCCAAATAGCTAGAGTTTAGATATTAAGCATGAAACATCTTCTAGTGAGTGTCTACAAAGTTTGTTCAAATAAAAGCCCTGGGGTCAAAATTGGCCCCGTCCCGGGGGTCATTGATTTTCCTTATATGTGTATAGCAAAAAACTTAAAATCTTCTTTGAAAAAACCCAAATAGCTAGAGTTTAGATCTTAAGCATGGAACATCTTCTAGTAAGTGTCTACAAAGTTTGTTCAAATAAAAGCCTTGGGTCAAAACTGGCCCCGCCCCAGGGGTGTCATTGTTTTTAACTTTATGTGTATAGTAAAAACTTAAAAAAAAAATTCTTTTAAAAAGCCCAATGAGCTAGAGCTAAGATGTTTAGCATGAAACATCTTCTTATGGGTGGGGGGGGGGGGGCTATATACAGGTGAGCGACCCTCAGGGCCATCATGGCCCTCTTGTTATCTAAAAAGAAAATTTGATAAAAACGAAACAAATTTTGAGCACAAATGATATTGATCGATCCTTTATTATATTGGCTAAGAAAGAAATCATTTTGATTTTTTTTTCAGGCATTACAAGCGAATGGTTTAGTTGTGGGTATGACAGGAGATGGTGTGAATGATGCAGTGGCATTAAAGGCAGCTGATATAGGTATATCTATGGGTAAATCAGGTACCGATGTGTCAAAGGAAGCTGCTGATATGATATTAGTGGATGATGATTTCTCTGTTACATTGTAAGTAGTTCTTTCTCTTAAAGATCCTGTAACTCAAATTTTTTTATGGTTTTATGAATATGATGCTCAAATGAAGATTTATCAATATTGTAAGTTCCAAAAAGCATTATTCTACAAAGATATTACCGAATTTTCATTTGATGTAAATAAAGGGTGGTATTTAGAAGTTTATTTTTTTATAAAGTCAAAGTCAAATTTTTCAATAACAAAAGAATGCATAAATTTTAATGATTACATATAATGCGTTTAAACATTTGCAGTACATATTTAACATATTCTTGGATGTTTGAAAATTGTTTTAGAAGAATAATTATATCATTTATAAAATTTCACTTAAATGTTGTTACATCATTAATTACAACATACAAGATCTGTAAATTTCCCCATGACATGCAGGTTTACACTGGTTGATACAAAGCTGTAGGACTTAATCATTTTATAGAGTACTAGGTGTGCAGTGATTTTTTCACTGTATATAATACTTGCATCTAAAAGGCCTCTTGCAAATGGAAATTGTATTTAAAATCATGCAGTTTTCCCAAAAATCTGACTTTACATCAATTTTTCTACTTCCTAAATTAGCAATATTTGCAATAATTTTTCTCAAAATCAAGTAGCTAAGGCCTCTTTCCACTTAAGTGAGGAAAATCAGTGATGTGTCTTATGAAGAAGACTTGGACTTTTTGTTAATCCATGAATTTCAACTATAAGCATTGTGTTATGTTCCTGGTCCCAGTTGGGCACAAACTCCTGCTCTTCTGGTTTAGAGATTGATTTCTTGATATCTCTGTAAATATTACTTACTTATCTAGCTTATCATTTTGGATTTTTTTTGAGGCCCTAACTGGGTAACTCCTGGGTTTATACACCCCGTAATAGGTATGAGAGGGTAGGGGTCACCCCCCTCATACCTTACATTATATATATTTGGGATTGTTAATGTAGTTTTCAAACTGAAAGCATAATTTATGAAGTGTGTTGGACATAATTTGCACAAATTTGGTTTGAAACAGATATTTGACAATGTAACTTTATAATCATCTCTGTCAAACCATCAAATACCGGTAGATTTTAATGCCGATAATGACTTATAATTATAGAAATTGTTTGCATACACCATTGTACTAATCTGTGTTTTTTTGGTCCAATTACAGAAGTGCAATAGAAGAAGGAAAAGCCATATTTTACAACATAAGAAATTTTGTTCGATTTCAGTTGAGCACGTAAGTAAATTTTTAATATCTTTTACTTTACTAGTACCTCAGATGATATTTGTTTTTTTTGACAAATTTATAATTTATAAGAATTTATAATTCTTTTGTAAACTTTGCTTATTCAAAATGTTTACTCTCATCTGGATTTTCAAAGTGTAAATTTACCAACTTGGCACAAGTGCTTTCCAGCTACTAGTACTAGGTAGAAAGAAGATTCATGGCTATTTTGTATACTATATTTTAAGTTAAATATGCTCGTAGATAAAATTATCAAACCTTGGTTATTATCAAACATATTATTGACATCCTTACATTAAAGGCTATAGTTTTGAATCAGATTTATACCAAAAAGAGACTAGAAACATAATGATAACCCATTTAAAAACACACAGATGAAAGTTATAAAGAAATCATAAAGAATTATGTAAGATCTAACACATATTGACATATTGATGTAGGAAGAATGATGTTTAAGAATATTTTTGTTTATATTTGTACAGGAGTATAGCAGCCTTGTCTCTGATTGCATTGTCTACATTATTTAAACTTCCAAATCCATTGAATGCTATGCAGATTCTGTGGATTAATATAATAATGGATGGGCCACCTGCACAAAGGTATGTTATGCTATATGACATTTGCTTTGATGTGTTAGTTTTTAACTCACCTTTTTGAGCTTGATTGTAAATGCAATAATGTAATGCTCAACAACATGCTTATCTGTTCTCATCTGTTCTGTGAAAAGGAGTGTGCAAATACATAAACAGCAAGCAGTATTGGTGTTATAAGAGGAGACATGGTAGGGACCATATTCGGTCTCTATTCACGAATTTAGATTCTGATGCCTGATCCTCTTGGCCAGCACTCCACTTTAGTCATTGTGTTCTAAGACTTCTAGATTAAATGTTTTTCTGTACAATCAGTTGTTGTTCTTGTTCAGATTTAGTTGGTATTTTTTATTCACTTTAAGAGTTAATTTGTTATGATTTTTGACTTATGGACTTATCATTTCATATAATGGAAGTCATGGGCCCTATCACAATTTTACTGGTATATTGTTAGTTATAAAGATTTTTCACAGGTTATATGGCCCTATATAAATGGTGATTTGTATACCTTAACTGCTAGATGTGGGTTATTTTATAAATGGCCATATAACATGTCAACAATCTTTATAACAAATTTATAATACTGCAAACTTACTTTATTAGAAAAAATAAAAATGAATTTAATTCATAAATTAACTGCAGCTGTGTATATTTGCTATTACTATATAGATTATATAAACAGCATGATTATCCAATGAAAAGCGACATTTCAGATATGCAGTATCATGAAAGTTACTATAAATGTTGTAATTGTAGTTTGGGTGTAGAACCAGTGGACCATGATGTGATACGACAGCCTCCACGTAGAGTGAAGGACCCTATAATAACCAGATATTTTATTGTAAACATTATGGTGTCTGCTATCATCATTGTAATAGGAACTCTGTGGGTCTTTTGGAGAGAGGTAATATTTGTAGTCTTATTCGTTCTTTATATATAGCTCTAGTTGGATTTTGTTTTCTTCGAAATTTACCTTGAAAAAACAAGTCCCCGTCAGTTTGTTGAAATAGACTTGCTTGCTTTAAAACATTGGGGTAGGATAAGGTATTTCAAAATACTGTGAGCAGACAACAGTACATATCCAGGTTTGATTGGATGATTCCCCAGACTGACCTGGTACAATATTGTTGACATTGCTGCCACAATTGAAGGTATTAAAATATATCAGTAAAAAATACCTATATGTTAATATGTTTTAAGCTCAAAGAATAGGGAGAGCTCTTATACTTACAAAGGCATTGGAGTTACACTTTGGTTAAGTTTTTGCGTGCATGTTGGTATCTTGAAACTAATGAAGGGAATGGATTGAAACTTCAAACACTTATTTGACAGCATAATTGGTAGTCTCAATCCAAGGCCTAAGACTCTAACATTGATTTGACAGATTAATGGCCAATTTAGAACAGTAAATTCTACATTATTTAGACTCTTGTTTTACTATCAAGGAATGAGAATAGTAGAGCATGTTGACCTACTGACAGCTCTTGTTTTATATATATATTTACAGATGAGTGATAACAAGATAACTCCTAGAGACACCACGATGACATTTACATGTTTTGTATTATTTGATATGTTTAATGCTCTCAGCTGTAGGTCACAGGTAAGTCTTGTTTTGTGTGGGCAAAGTGGTTGAGACAAGTGACTTTATATCAAATGTCCATTTCACATATCCATGCCTTTGTGGTCTGTTGTTTAGCTCAATATAGTGAGCATTTGATAAGTAACCAATGGGTCACTGGTTCAATCCTCAAGTGAGGCGTAATTTCTCCATTGATTTTGGATGTTGGGTATAATGGTCATTTGTCTTTCACCACTGATTTAGATGTTGTTGTACTGTTTAGTTAATAGGTGGATTGACTGCCGAGATATGACCAAAAGCTTGTGCTAAAATTGGTGTGAAAACCAAAAACAAGCAAACAAATGTACATTGAGATGACTCGATTTTTATGTGCCTGTAGTTTCATACATACATATTTGTTTAAGTATTACTATGTTGAGGTCTCTGTGGTATCCAAATTTAAGAGGTAGCTGTCTCAGAACCATTTGCTTCTTACAGCTGTTGGTGTAAATCCTGCCAGTATATTTTCATGTGAAGAAGTTATTTAGCTAACTTGCCGAAGTTCTGTGGTTCTACTTGGTGTTCACTTGTCTCTGAATAACGCTTGGAAAGGCAGTTGAGGTCTTCTTCCACTAGTAGTTCTTGAAGGTCATCATAAGACCTTAGCAGTGTTCATGTGACTTTAAAGAAACAGAAATAAAATCAATAAATAAATGAGCTGCGCAATGACAAAACCAACATAGTGCGCTTGCGACCAGCATGGATCCAGACCAGCCTGCGCATCCGTGCAGTCTGATCAGGATTAATGCTGTTTGCTATCAGATTCTCTACTTGTAATAGGGTTTGTAAACGAACAGCATGGATCCTGATCAGACTGCACATATGCGCAGGCTGGTCTGGATTCATGCTGGTCGCAAACGCACTATGTTGGTTTTGTCATGGCGCGGCTCATTTAATGAAAGGAAAAGATGGCAATGGCATAAATTAATGATGTTTTTACATTTCAGGACAAGTCTGTGTTACAGTTTGGCTTATTTAGCAACAAAATGTTTATACTAGCAGTTGGTGGTTCACTGATTGGTCAACTTCTTGTGATATATTTTCCTCCACTACAGAGAGTTTTTCAAACAGAAGCATTATATTTATCAGGTAACAACTAATTACATTTATTTTATGTAGTTTTCTATATATTTTGCTTAACCTACAACTTTCCATTCATTTCAAAAAGAAAGGGGTGGGAGGGGGGTCTGTGCACGGGTAAAGTGTAATGTGTGTTTAGTTTAGATAACAATTTAAACTATCACAGGTGGATTTTGCTTATTATGGAGGCATGCCATGCGCAAGAATGATGACTCCTTTTCATATTTTTTGCTTATCTGTTTCTAATGGTATTTTGTTTTCTTGAGAAGTATTTTCATAAATTCTGTTCTTTCTAATATAGTGTAAGAGTTTCAGTGTCCTAATTGTCATATATGAAAATCACTTCATTCCTTTAAAATTTTGAATGTTGATTTTTCCTATATCAAAGACAAAACGATTTATAACATATTTAAATTCTATATGTATGTTAAGGGTAAATTATCATTATTTATGAAATATTTTTCTAAAAGAAATTTCAAATTTTGTGTTTTTAATTTCATACTGTATAAGTGAATATTTTATGTCAAAAATTTGTGAATGTTCTAAATCGGACTTTTTGTGTGTGAAAATATTTGCGAAAGTACGATTTTCTGAACTCACAAAATATTAATACCTTTTGTTTCTATGAAATGAAGTTTTTATATAATGCAGTGTGTAAAATAGAGATATGCTTAATAAAGCATACTGGTTGGAGAGATAACTCCGACACTAAATCACATATTTTTTGCAATATTTTAATTATCTTCCAGTATATTTTAAATATTGAACCACCTAAACAAAGTTCAGTTCAAAGACTTTACATTACACTACAAAAATTATGTATGGAAATGGAATCTGGTACTTCTTTAAGGTCTTGAATGAGGTATACAAAACATAGTCTTTTTACCCCACAACAGTAGATAAAGTCGACACTTAAATTTTTAAGTAAAAAAAGACTGGAAAATCAGCATCAATAATTTATCTTTACATCTTATATGGTTTATCTATTTTTTGTAAATATTTAAACAATTTTTTAACAATCTTTCCCAAGTCAGTGGCCTGTGGTCAATACATTTCTAACTACCTTATTGTAATTTAGTAAAAAGAACGTTTTGAAGCAGTTTTTGCCTACAAAAAGTTTAGGTTATTTGAAAAACATTAAAAAGTTTACCAAATTATAATAAAGCATCACATTCTGCCCTGTTCCTATACTATTAGGTGATCATGTGCTTGTTTGTTGAAAAACAAAGCTATAACAATTATACTTATCAAGTGTCGGGGTTATCTATGCGTCGGAGTTATCTCTCTGACCAGTATTGTATTTCTTTAGAAATATTATGTCAATGTTCAGTTCAACAATTTATTATGAACCTTGTGCACCGATGTAATGGTAAAATGATGAATGGTCATCGAAGAATTTACTAAAGTTTATGTAACCTTTGCAGGCTCAATTATTTGCGAATTATTTTGATTCACAAAAATCACAAATATTTCCATGTCGCAAAATTAACCACTTATATAGTATGTGAAAATGATTCTATATATGTGAAACTTATTTCTGTATTGTTTCTGTTTTCAGATTTTGTGTTTTTAATATCGCTGACATCGTCTGTACTAGTAGTGTCAGAAATTAGGAAGTTTATACAGCGCATGTTAGACAAGAGGCGTAAACGTCGTAACGAACAAGATTCGTACTTCTTCGTATGATTGTGATATACATGTTGTCTCGTTGTTACTTGTGTTTAAATGAGAGATTATCAGGTGTAAATGGAAGTTTTGTTTGTTAAAAGAAATCAACTGAGGTCCAAAAGCATAAAAAAAATTGAATTATTGAATTTTGAATTTCTGACATAAATCAGCTGGGGAACTTGAAACAGAACTATACGCAAAAGATAAACAAGAAAAATATCCAGAAATGAGTGAAAATCGTATTTTTGTGCTATTCTTGGTGCGATTTAAGTGAAAAGCGCGAGAATGAACTGAAATTCTGCACACAAATAACTGGTCTAGACTTACATCAAATCGAACATTAATCTCGAAAAAGTATTTTCAGTTGCATCATGTCATAAAACCTCAGTGAAGTACCTTTTAATTAATATATATTTTTGTCTGTATTTAAGTTTGAATGTATTTTTTTTATCTTGATAACATTTTGATTTTTCAATATTTATGAAGAAGAAAAGTTACGAGGGATGAAAAAATTTTGGGGTATTGTTTTGATATTAACCATTTCCCTGCTGAATTCGTGATGAATTATGGTCCTGAAATATTTGAGAATGACCCAATTTTATATCCACTTTCTGGTGAAAAGTGCAAGGTCTTGTGATAATTAAACAGAAAACTGATTTTTAAATCAGAGTTCTATTACTTAGGAACTTAACACTCTGTATGACCATGCATCTTGAGTTTTAGCTGTTACATTCATTTTCAGGTCAAAGTCACTCAGACCTGTGATAATTGAAGTTTAATTAGACTCCAAACTTTGATATACCTTGAATAGTCCTACCTGACACACCCATTTTAGTCAAAAGGTCAAGGTCAATGTGATCTTTAATTCAAATTATCTCTCTATCTAGAAAATATACAATTTATTATCCAGTACAGAGAAAAGTGGAGCACTATGCTCCTTGGAAAGGGATTTCATGATATATAAAGTATAAATGTTCATTTGAAGATAAATGTAATAGTATTCTTTCTATCCTGTCAGCTGATTAATTTTGTCTGATTTAACATTGCAAGCTCGGCATCCTGTGCACTTTTAGGTGAATCTTCATCAACATGGGCTCAGACATTGATTGATTTTTTATAGTCATCATGACAAATACTATTTTAACTGTTTCTCATACAACTTTGATAAGTTGCTTTCTATAATATTTAAATCTTTTCTTTTACAAAGAACAGGATTTTTTTCCCTACTTTTTCTTTTTTTCTTTTTTTTTCTCAATATTCAGGTCATTTATATCATTAGCTTTAAACTATATAACATATCAACTGGCAAAATGTAATTTTTTTATTTTTCTTTCTTAAATATATCAAATACATGTTTTTTTGGTTTAAAATGGTTTTTAAATTTCTGTATTCCGTAATCTTTTGTCTAATAATTTGTGTTTATTTGAAATATATATAAACTGGGTTAAGGAAGGAATGGTCTTTCTTAACTATTTTATGTTGATTTAGTAGAAGTGCCATAATTACTCACTTATTTCATAACTAATTTCTGTAATGGAATTACCCTGGTGAGAAGTTTAAAAAAAAAATCTGTCCATTATCATTTAAGTGCTAAAATTTTGGCAGCCAATACCATAGTATCATCTTACCTGGTGAGTTAATTAAAGGCCCATTATGCCTGGGAAATGCGTTAATTTTTATTTCCCAAAACCTTTATTATTTTTGCTGTCTGAAAAGTTACTTATTGGCCTGAACCATTCAAATTATTTTTTGTCCAATAGGATTGCAGTATTTCAAATGAATCGTAACACATTTACTTTGGTAAATCGGCAAACTGTTAATCAGTCTAGTAAATTGACTGTTTCTGACAATTTAAATCACTATGCCAGTTAAAATTTATTAGTACATATTTACAAAATTAAATTGGTCGCGCGGCTGTGCCGCACCTGACCAATTAAATTTTGTAAATACATACTAATAAACTTTAACCTATACATAATTATTCTATTATACACTATATATCTTTAACAATTTATTTCCTTCTGAATTAAAGTGCTATCTGAAATGTTATTATTTTCTATGCAGTTGATGACATAATGTTGAAATATTTATTACTATTTATCAATTTTTTAACATGAAATTGTGCAGTTATATGTAGACATGTTTCACTTGTAATAACTAACTAAACTTGTAAGTTCGCCACTAGAAATGAATAATCATGTTTCACTACCAAAACCTGTATTGTTTTTATTATTTCTGAGCATTTACGTAGGTTTTTATGACATGTTCGGATCTAAAAAGAATTTTGTCAGCAAAAAATTGACAATTAGATACAATGCTGTGGCTTGACATTTGCATTACAAAATTATCAACTCTCATGTTTAAACTTACACTTACATTTCAATGATGAATAAAGATATTGCAGTGGTGTATTACTAACTTAGAAATTACGCATTTTTAAACAGGGTATCACTAATTGATGCAATTGCTAATAAGTTGATTATATATGAAAACGTCCCTTGAAAGAATGGTCCATTTTATCATATGACATTGAAAAAGTTCAGATAATACATACAGGAATCAAAATAAAAAGAATAATTTATAGCAATAGAAATTTGTAGTTATATGTTTAGTATTTAGATTGTGGGTGCGTGTGTACTGGCTTTGTGGGTGCGTGTGTACTGGCATAATAATTAAAAGCACAAGTGTTAATGCGTTATAATGCAATTTGATAGCTTAGTCCCATTCAACTCTTGTACTAAAATATACACTGTACAAAAATATGTTGTATAATACTGTGAACAAACTATATCTAAATGTATATTTAAAGATCATTATCAGAGTTTCCATGCTTTAGAAAAATAATAGTAGATATTATATATATGAAATTGTATACAAAAATTTAATTATAGTTATTTATATATATTTGCAAAAATATGCTGGTTTTATTAAACATGGCTAGTTTTATTTAACAATTACATGTACATGTATGTGACTTTATTAACGATAAACTATCATTTCTATACATATATAAGCATGTACATGTATAAGCAATATGTATTGATGACTACTGGCATGCGAGCAGTTCCCGTACAGAAGCAGTACCCGTATTTTTAGCTCACCTGTCACAAAGTGACAGGGTGAGCTTTTGTGATCGCTTTTCGTCCGGCGTCCGTCCGTCCGTCCGTCCGTCGTCCGTCCGTCGTCCGTCCGTAAACTTTTGCTTTAAATGACATCTCCTCATAAACCACTGAGCCAATTTCATCCAAACTTCACAGGAATGTTCCTTTGGTGGTCACCTTTAAAAATTGTTCAAAGAATTTAATTCCATGCAGAACTCTGGTTGCCATGGCAACCGAAAGAAAAATCTTTAAATATCTTCTTTTAAACAACCCTAAGAGCTAGAGCTTAGATATTTGGCATGAAACATCTTCTAATGAGTGTCTACCAAGTTTGTTCAAATAAAAGCCCTGGGGTCAAAATTGGCCCCGCCCCGGGTGGTCATTGATTAACCCTATATACATATAGTAAAAACTTAAAAAATCTTCTTTTAAAGAACTGTAAGAGCTAGAGCTAAGATATTTGGCAATGGAACATCTTCTAGTGAGTGTCTACCAAGTTTGTTCAAATAAAAGCCCTGGGGTCAAAATTGGCCCCGCCCCGGGGGGTCATTGATTTTCCCTATATGCATATAGTAAAAACTTAAAAAATCTTCTTTTAAAGAACTGTAAGAGCTAGAGCTTAGATATTTGGCATGAAACATCTTCTAGTGAATGTCTACCAAGTTTGTTCAAATAAAAGCCCTGGGGTCCAAATTGGCCCCGCCCCAGGGGGTCATTGATTTTCCCTATATGCATATAGTAAAAACTTAAAAAATCTTCTGTTAAAGAACCCAAAGAGCTAGAGCTAAGATATTTGGCATGAAACATCTTCTAGTGAATGTCTACCAAGTTTGTTCAAATCAAAGCCCTGGGGTCAAAATTGGCCCCGCCCTGGGGGGTCATTGATTTTCCCTATATGCATATAGTAAAAACTTAAAAAATCTTCTTTTAAAGAACCGTAAGAGCTAGAGCTTAGATATTTGGCATAAAACATCTTCTAGTGAATGTCTACCAAGTTTGTTCAAATAAAAGCCCTGGGGTCCAAATTGGCCCCGCCCCAGGGGGTCATTGATTTTCCTTATATGCATATAGTAAAAACTTAAAAAATCTTCTTTTAAAGAACCCAAAGAGCTAGAGCTAAGATATTTAGCATGAGACATGTTCTAATGGGTGTCTACCAAGTTTGTTCAAATAAAAGCCCTGGGGTCAAAACTGGCCCCGCCCCGGGGGTCATTGATTTTCCTTATATACATAAGCAAAAACTTGAAAATCTTCTTTGAAAAAACCCAAATAACTAGAGTTTAGATATTAAGCATGAAACATCTTTAAGTAAATATCTACAAAGTTTGTTCAAATAAAAGCCCAGGGGTCAAAACTGGCCCTGCCCGAGGGGTGTCATTGTTTTTAACTATATGTGTATAGTAAAAACTTAAAAATCTTCTTTTAAAAAACCCAATGAGCTAGAACTTAGATGTTTTGCATGAAACATCTTCTTATGGGTATCTACCAAGTCTGTTCAAATAAAAGCCCTTGGGTAAAAATTGGGCCGAGGGGGGGGGGGGGCTATATACAGGTGAGCGACCTCAGGGCCATCATGGCCCTCTTGTTCATTTAAACGCTTGATTTTTACTTGCATTCTTCAAAAATTCATTTCAAATCAAGCAGATACATAAACGAGACAAAATCTAAGTGTCAGTTCAGCAGTACGTATATAAAGTCACATTTTAAATCACTTTCACCTGTGCGTCGTCAAAACGTGACCTTGTTTTCCCTGGGGGATTCCGTCCTTGCGCGCATGCGCAAAAATACTTACACGTGAGGCTTATTAAAGGGTTTTCCACTAATACCACCTGTTTACAAATAAGTAGACAATGTGATGAAAACTTGTTTAATTATCAGAATGTTGACCAATATTACTATATGTAATAATTTTATGGCTTTGATGCGTAAAATATCATGCATACAAGCATGCTATTGCATGTGAATGCGTTGGGGGTAACGGTACCGGTTAATAGATACCCGCGTTTAGTCTACGCTCTATTTCCTGAATTACATCTATTTATCTCTTAGATAATGGTCTGTTCAACAATTGTAAATGAAAAATAGGTCCGATATAATAAAATTGTATAATTATAATGGGTTAGATTTTATGTACGGGAACTACTTCTCTTCATACAAAATAATTGATAATTTCGGTACCCCATATGAGGCCTCATAAGTAAGGGTTATTCTATATTTAGAACATGATGGAATTTCCACGATTTGTGTGACGAGCCGAATATTGATGTGTAACATTCAAATTTTGGTGAGTGAGCGTAATAAAAAATAATGTTTAAGTAACTATGATTTTTGTACGGGAACTGCTCGCATGCCAGTATATACATGAAGATTTAGATTCTTATGATAAAAAGTATTAGTTGAACACAATCAAATAATTAGTAATTACTGGTATATATTTAGTTCTTGTGTTATCAGAAATGTGGAAGTATATCCATGAAATGTTCGGCATAAGTTAGCGGTTGCCTAGTGGTTATAATGTCTGGGTCTCAACCCTGGGTTTGAGTCTGACTAATGTTACATACACATTTCTTCAACTGACACCAGTGCTAGATAGTTCCAGGACACAGGAAAGATAGTGAATAAAATAAGCATGTTTAAACTAAACAATGTTTAGAGGGCCTTTGAAGTATCCTCTGTTAGACTCTCATTTGAACAAGCCTCGATTTTTTTTCACAGTTAATGAAAAACTCTTAATTTGTATGAGAGACAAACTAAATGTTTTGTAAGATTTTTTTTTTCTACTGTTGATGCCTGTATTAATAATAAACTAATGTTGAAATATGGAATCGCATCAAATTTAGATATACCATCTTTGGTAACATGGGTACTGGTGCACTCTTCACTTGTAATTTGCTGAAGTCTGACGATAAGATTTACTGGATATATGATTATTGAATTGTGTCTTGAAGTTTTATGCATGGAAAGTTCTGTTGCCCTGTAGTTTTTCTAGGTTTATTTTTCTTTGTGTGATTTTTCCCCCTCTTAATCAATTAATGCCATTGTAAAATTTTGAATTTTAATGACATAGATGTTGAAACTAATATACATTCCATTTTAATTGAAAAAAAAGTATATGGTTGTATGATCTTTTTTTCTTGTATAAATGCATAAGATATTTGTTGTCATTTTTTAGCTCACCTGTCACAAAGTGACAGGGTGAGCTTTTGTTATCGCTTTTCGTCCGTCCGTCCGTAAACTTTTACTTTAAATGACATCTCCTCATAAACCACTAAGCCAATTTCATCCAAACTTCACAGGAATGTTCCTTTGGTGGTCACCTTTAAAAATTGTTCAAAGAATTTAATTCCATGCAGAACTCTGGTTGCCATGGCAACCGAAAGAAAAAACTTTAAATATCTTCTTTTAAAAAACCATAAGAGCTAGAGCTTAGATATTTGGCATGAAACATCTTCTAGTGAGTGTCTACCAAGTTTGTTCTTGGGGCCTATATACAGGTGAGCGACCTCAGGGTCATCATGGCCCTCTTGTTTGTTTTTGTGGGGGTCGGGGAAGAGGAAAAAATGGCTGAATTACATTATGTAGTTCGGATTACAAATTTTTATTGAACCCAGAACTACTGGACTTGGTAGCTTTAAGCCTTCTGAAATTGTGTAAAAGATTTTGCTCCAATTTGTAACAGTCCAATAAAATTTTAAGGCAATTAAGGTTGCTGGTAACCTATTTTGCATGCATTTTTCCCTATAAACATAGGATCCAAAGTGTTAGTAAAATATGCAATAAAATCACTGTTGACCATCTATTTCTAGACATGTGACATATTCATTTTAAAAGCGCTGAAAATAAGTGCTGTCAGAAACAAATCAGGCACAATTTAGCTTGTTATCAGGTATGGCAACATTTATTTTTTGAGGTTGTGTTAGAACTGAAATAATATATCCCCAGAGGTGATTTTATCACTGTTATTCGGATGTGCAGCATTATTTCACGAGGGCTGCAACAAAGGCTAGCAGCCCTCATAATACAATTCTTTGCATCCAGTTAATAGTGATGTTACTTTGCGAAAAAATCACTGTTCTAAATATATTATTTTTTTAATAATATAAGCTACTGTTAATCAATAATGCAGTAATGACAGTGGTTATGAAGAAATACTACATATAATTGTAATTTTTTTGCGTCATGTTTTTTTAAAAAAAATAATTTATTATCAAGAAAGCATGTTGTTTATTAATACCCACTGTTTTATTTTCATTTTAGGTATGATATATACATATACAATTTAGAGTTATATATGTTATGGATATTCAATCATGTGCGCACATTTTTATGTATGAATTGTTTTAAGATTGTGACAAAACGGCATGTAAAAATCAATACATTTTGATATATAGCTTGGTTTTCTTTTTTTTACTGTATCCTACCATGGGCTCTCATTCAATTTTAGGAGTACTAAAATCCTTTAGTTCAGGAAAATACCGGACAAAACTTTTACCTATGCATATTTTTGTTTGCTTTTGATTGGGTTTTACGTCGCACCAACACAGTACAGGTCATAACTCACATGACCACTAAGAACTTTACCGGTGGAGGAAGACCTTGTGTGCCCCTCTGGATTACGGACCTTTCTGGTTTTTCGTAGCAGAACATTTAGCCACACCTTTTCTATTCATTGCTAGGTCAACTGCTCACAAACAGTATCACAAATATAAGCACATGTTCTTTTGTGCAGACCAGGTCAACCAGTGACTATGTATTATCTCAGTGTAGCAAACTGGATAACAAGTTAGCCAATTTACATAAAATTGTAAACACTGTAAAGGTCCGTTTCAGGCACAAACAGGCAACTGAGTAGAATCACTGACGTATCTTAAGCTAGACCTTTATTTATTAAAAAAGCATTGCAAAGCCTGTGTCTTTTTACAACTAACTGCTAAGCCTATTTAAGACACACATTTTGGACAGAAAACTCAATACAAGGAATTTCATCAAGATAAGAAAATTCTGTTGTATGAAGTCAAATTTCAAAACCCTGACAAATACACTGTCACTTCTACTGTGATAACATGCAGCTTAATTTTGCTTTTTCAGAGAAGGGAAAAAATAAAATAAAATGTTGGGTGATTTTGTTCATATTTGTTGAAAATCTTATAATCATTTGTTGAAGTAACTTTGGTGTAGAACATACAAAATGTGATCAAAATATATATAATTATTATTCTGTTTGTACACGGGACTTGGTGAACACAACAATTTATTATGTGGCCTTAACTTACACATATCGTAATAGGAAAACAATTTGAAGCTAGATAAAATTCATAAAGGAAACTTTGATTGTGTATTTATGTGAGAAAAGTGTTTGTTTGTTTTAATATTTGTTTGTTTCATTTTACGCCTTTTCCAATAGTATTTCAGTCATATAGGCGGGTAGTTTCCTAACCATCGTTCCTGGAGAGTTACACCAGTACTAGACTACCTTCCTCCATGCTAAACTACCAAAGTGAGAAAAGTGTAAACTTCACAACAGATTATTCACTAACAGGTAAGGTCATCTTTTTAACCAGTAAGTGTAACTTAATAAACATTTAAAAAGAGTAAAATAACAACACAAAATGAAAGTTTCCGTAATGCTTTTATGCCTCAATCGTCATTTTTTAGATTTTTTTTGATTTTTTTCCTTTTCAGAAAGGAAATACCATTAACTAGCTCTTTTTATTTTCTTCTAAAAATTGAAATACCATTAACTAGTTCATATAAAACACTTGTCAATTCAAGATTAAGCATTGCAATGTCATGGCCACATATTGAGAGCCCTAGATAATTTCACACTTTAATATCTTCCTAAAGTTCAGAATAATTTTCATCATTTTTTCTCACATCAACTATCACTTTCCTCCTGATACATGATTGTTTTGTCACTCATTTGAAATAAGTCTTCATGGTATATATCTTCTGGTAATGGTTCGGTAACGTCATCCGGATAAAATGTTGGCATAGACACCTGTCGACCAGCTTCAATCATTTTCTTTCTGATATGAGGTTTGGTGCTGTCGTATATACGTACAAAGCTGTGGATAGGGCCTGGTGTGCCAGTGCTTACGTACAGAATGTTATACTTGGTGTTAATTCTCCAAATCTGCAAATTGATTAAATAACAATACATATAAATAGAATTTTGAGTGTGAGATAATAACTTAATCATGAAATACTGAAGACAAAAAAACAACATAAGCAAACATTGAAGGTCGAGTGTGAAAAAGTATCTTAATCGTTAAAGTATAACAAAAACCCACCAACTTTATTGTAAATTGTTGAAATATCTAGTTTTCAACATCATTTTTGTAGTTTGTTCTTTAACCCCTTAGTTTAGCCATGTCACCAGTGCAGACCATGTGCCATCTTATCTGAATATGTCTATTTTTATGTTTATTGAAGGCCTTGTTGATAATAAGATTTTGCATTATAAGTGTTATATCTAATGCTTTGATGTATTGTCTTAATAAGCTACTATTGTTAAATAAAGAGTTTATTATTATTATGGTCCAAACTTTCCTTCTGTATTTTTCAGTTAAAACTTATTTGAAATTTTCCCTAAAAAGGATGATGGTTAAGTCAAGATTGAAAGATGTACTAGTCCAGTTAAGATAATTAGTGTAGTAAGGGTTAAACCATCTGAAGTACATGTAATTTTCTAAAATCAGTCTAATATTTTTTAACAATTCTTATTACAAAGGGTGTCACAAAAGGCAGCCAGCTCTACTAAACTTAAATAGGATAGTGAAGGAATTTGAAACTAAGAAAAAATCAATTACATTAAGTATACAACTCTGAATTGTATTGATTTTTTAAACCTTACATGACTATAAATGAAAGTAAAAGCTTAGTAGAGAAGGAGGCAAAATTCTGCAATTGTGCTTTGCATAGCTCTAGTAACATTATCCCTGTTATAAAGGTCAGGTAATAAAGTTTATAGTGAATATCTTCAACAGTTTACGAGACAAGCAAATACTCTTAAGTCAAACAAAAAACTTGTTGTTGGAAAAGCTGTGCCCAGTAAAGGCACCATGGCATGTGATTGACAATGAAGTAGAGGAAACAAACATAAACAAACACTTTCTTATATGCTTAGTATGCCCAATTATTTAATAAAGCATCCATGAAAGAATGATAAAGATCATAATATATAATGACCGAACAAAACCATCAATGCACTATTTTGACATTCAAGTTCGCAGTCTGCTAGATGTCTTCCAATGACAAGTTGTCTTAATGTGCCTTAAAATTCATGCTTAGTTAAAGGGGTGATCCATAAGTTTTGTCGCTGCCTCGATTCCATAAAAACTTGATGTCAGTTTGATTTATCTTTTCTATATACTTATAATCAAATACAGTTTCAAATCTATTACAGTATATATAATTATATTAAATAACACAGATACAATTACAGTCATACCTTGAGATTTTTGGTAATTCTCCAATCACCACCCATTATACCTGGCATCTTCGTACCCTTGAACATACCTCGTTGTTTCTGTAATACAAATTTATCTGATACAATACATATTTGAAGATAGAAAATGACATCCCTTTAAGCAGTTAACAAAGACAGAAGGGCTATGATGTACTCAGATTGCTTACCTGTCCTAGGGTTTGCTAAACTGCCCTCAGAATGCTTACCTTGTGTCAAAAAATCCAAAAGAATTTAGGTACTTCAGTGGCTAGTGTTCTTTGGGGTTATATCACAGCATTACTTTAAAGCTTATATTGTAACTGATCAACTTTACTGGTGAAAGTAGACCATGGGTGCTCCTAAGTGCATTATTTCACGCTTAAGCGGACACCAGAGTGGAATATTCACACCTGTACAATAAAATGTTTTGGATGCCCTGTGACATAAGTATGTATATAATGTTTCAGGTGCTATGCGAGTGAAGGTTTAAAAATAAAAATGAGTGAAAGTTTCAAAAATGTGAGTGATTGATTAAAAAAAAACTTACGCCTGTAGATAATGATCCAGGTCTCCTATGAAATTTTGTAGCACCATGACTGGCAGGTCCACCTTTAAAACCAAATCTTTTCATCACACCTTGAAACCCATAATTTATCCTGTATTAAAAAAGAAGAACAAACGGAATTCAGATCAACAACAAAGGCTAAATTATACTGCAGTAATGATATGGCTAAATTATACTGCAGTAATGATATGGCTAAATTATACTGCAGTAATGATATGGCTAAATTATACTGCAGTAATGATATGGCTAAATCATACTGCAGTAATGATATAAATAGTAATTTTCCCTAATGAAATGCCCTTCATTTAGAAGCAAAGAGTTCAAACTCGGGAACATATGTTAAGATTTAAACAATAACAAATACAAAATAAATATTTCCATTCTATTTCATATGTTTACGCTCAGTTTCATAAAATTCTAATACACCACTTGTACAATATCGCTCAATATGTTAATTTTCCTTTTTTGAAGTAACAAATGGTCATAACTCAAAAGTGCATGTTCAGATTTTGATGATATTTAATGAAGATGATTTCCTTACTTCTTTTATACATTCTTGCCAAATTTCATTACAATTTAATCAGCAGCTTTTTTGCAGTCGACATTGTATTAAGAGACCACTCAAGGGACTGCCAAAAAGTGGTCTCTTAATAAAGTGGCCTCTCAATAGAATTCTGGAAAATTCGAGACTTTTTTATATTACAAGTCATAGATATAATAACATCTTTTTTTATAAAAACAAAAACTGTACAATATTATATATGTATTGCCGTTTCATAATTACATTTATGCCTTTCGTTTAAAAAAGTCATCAATATGTGTTTGTTTTTTTGTACAAATGTAATCTACGCTCATAAGACTATTAACAGGTCATTTTGACCTTGAAACAAAGCATATTGTCATATATTATTAATATGTTCATACACATCTACTAATCATACTTTAAAATCATCAGCCAGACGTCTAGATAATATTTCATGCAATGAGTTTTAAACTTCTTGATTTTTTTCAGCAAATACTTTTCACACTACCCCAAAATTTCAAAACATTAAAGTTTTAGAGATCTTAGATTATCATTATTTTTTTTTATTTTATTTTTATTTTTTTTCAAAGGGTCTATTTAATGGGGGTACTACATGTATTTATAAAGCATCAGATGAGCACCTACACCATCAGCAATGAAAGGTTCGGTTCTGTAATGTTTAGTCCACTACGTTTCACGATTTTATTTCGACTACAAACGATGGCATTTGCTATTTACTCAGACTCAATTTCATGCACGATTTCCTCATTCAATTTATCCGGTATTATTAGTTGTCTGTCATTTTCGTTCGTTCCAACGTCATTTTCGATTTGATTTTCTGGAAGGGAGGTCAATCTGAGCACATGATAAAACTGTGCCAATGCGGTGTTGTAATACGTTATTGCTCTGACAAAATATGTCACAATAAATATTACTATCGGAAAACTGTTTCTTTCTTTCCGATTTCGAAACGATTGCAATTGTTATTCAATTCGTTTTTAAACGACAATTATTTGTGATGGTCTGATTGACGGCCGTTTAATAGATACTTTAAGACCAATGACCATGAAAAATATTTGTTTGTATTCGCTAATTACACAGGTGCGAATGTCCGTAGGGACGATTGTTTGTCACGGCCGTTTAATATATACTTTAACACTGAATTTTGTACATTTGGGCCGACATTTAGTGGCCGCTGGCCGCGATATAAAATCGTCGTTTAATGGAATTAACTTATATAGTAAAAATCATCGGGAGGGATTTTATGCGGTCGCTTTATAAAAAAGTCGCTCAATAAAGGTGGACGCAAGTACGATGCCGACTGTATGGATCAATATCGCAATTTTCAATAACAAAAGCCACAACTCAAAAATCTTTGATTGGATTTTAATGAAACATTGTTACCCTTATTCTCCTAACCATTTGATCCTTCCTGCCAAAATTTAGGAAAATTGGACAACCCATTTCTATGATATAGCTTCGGATGGACAAAATGACTATTTGAAAATCCTCATTCCAATTACATCAGCGGGGTACAATAATTTTAATCACTTACGTTTTAGCTGATACGTCTACCATATCTCCAACTTTGAAATGCATCGCACTTAGTGGTGTGCCTGAAGATTATAAAAGACACCAAAGTCAGAAATGTCAAACTTCAGGATATCAAACATTCACAGGAACTTGAATCTAATTAAATACATTTTTTGGGCATCCGTGGCTGAGTGGTTAAGGTTGTTGACTTTTGCCTCTCACTGCCAAAGTTTTAGCCATTCAAGTGCCATTGGAATCTTTCATGTGAGAAAGCTATTAAACTTGCCAATGGAATGTTGTTGTGTCTACGCAGGTGCCTGTTTGTGCATGAAATAACTCAGAGAGTTGCTCTAAGAAAAAAAACACATTTTTTTTTGCTGGTTTGGTTTAAAACTTCATTGACTAATACAGAGAGTGGCTTTTTAAATCAGGCATATGCAGGCATTGTAAAGAACCACTGACATTTTACTTGTTAAAGTCAAATATCATTTTGACTTGCATTGTCAAAAGATACAATTTTTTTTGCACCCGGGACATAACATCCTATTTTGTCAGTTTGTTCAAAAGATGTATCAAAAAGTGGCCTATGGATTGATTATCTTTACTGGAGTTCCCAAACAAAAATCTTAAAATCTTATATAAAATTGAGCCGTTTCCAGATTACAATTTTTTGTTTTACAGAAAATCATTTTATATCTAATATCAGTATCATATAAATCAGTTATAAGTAACGAAAGCAATAAATTACTATAGTTTTAACTGGGTATGAGCATTTTCACATTCTCTGCATTATTATGAAATGATATTAGCCATACCTTCTTTACACTTTCAAATTGAACCTTATTTAATATCATTTAAATTGTATGTGTAATATTTTAAAACTTATAGGTTTACCTGGTTGGATTGCAGCATCTGGGGTTACAAAAAATCGTGTTAATTTTCTTTTTGGTGGCACGCCAGCTTCCATAAACAGATTATGATATTCCTTTGTATACTGGAAAATAACATTTATACATAAACAATGTTCCACTCTTCTCGATACTGGATAAAACACATTTTCTTAATAATGAGATAATTAGAATAAAAGGTCAGAGTAACCTTGACCTCTGAATATGAACATTGGCATGGCAGCCAGAACTAATAAAGATGTATCCATGTATCAAGTTTCAAAGTTATAATTGAAATTTATGACCAAAAATAAAAATCTAATAAAGAAAATTAACAAGGTCATTGTGACATTGACCTTTCGACCCAAGTATGGCATGTAGGATTCATCAAGGTGACTCTTAATTCATTTTGTACAAAGTTTGAATGTTCTTTGAAAATATTCACATTATACATGAATCTCCTTCTGACTTTAAAATGGGTGTGGCAGGTAGAAGTCACCAATGTTCATCTACATACAATATTTGAAGTTCTTAGGTCAATGAACTTTGAACCTTGATCTTTGATTTGAAAATGATTGTCATGTAGAACTTGTGTATCCCCAATATATAATAGCTTTGTAAGTATTGAAGTAAATGACCATTAATGAAAACTTATATAAGAATGCAAACCAATGCCAACAAGTGGGTCATATCAATATATCTGCTATTTTCTATGAAAGGTGGAGCTTTTTTTTAGTTGGGTTTTACATCTCACCAACACAGTATAGGTCATATGGCGACTGTCCAGCTTTACTGTGAGGAAGACCTCAAGTTCTGTTCTGCGCATTATTTCAGGGACAAACAAGCACCCGAGTAGAACCACAGACGTTCTGTAAGCTAGCTGGATAGCTTCCTCACATGAAACAATCCAAAGTCCCTCCCGGGATTCCGACCCACAGCGGTAAGGGGCAAGTGGTTTGAAGTCAACAAATTTACTTTAGACTACAACATAAGCTTACATGCCACGGCAAATCACTCATAGCTCCAACCACAACTGATCCTACATTTTTACTGTAACCAGGTAAATATCCCGCAGATTTCTGGTATTCTTCAGGAGGTGTGTATCGTATCACATGATTATCTACAATCTTAAACAAAAATACATGTATATTATAAGTTATACAGATTTTTGACAGGTTATAAGGCCCTACTTAAAATGGTTGTTTGGAATATATTGCAAACAACTATTTATATACTGTCATATAACATGTCAGTAATATTTATTATAAATTTATTATAGAGCAAACTCTCTTTTTTAGAGAAAAAAGTAAAATTTCTTCATAAATAGACTGCAGCCATATATATAAAGCTATATAAACATTACAATAATCCAATCAAAAGTGACGCTACAAACGTGCAGTAATATAACTTCACTTATGACTTATCGCTGAATAATCTTTATGTGTTAAAATAAAACTTGGGGTAAAATAAAACAGATCAAATGGCTGCATAAGGAAATAAAATTGTTTAAGCACCCAGACTTTTAAGGCAAAGTTTAATTCTAAGATGAAATCAACACAAGCACCGCCGTACATGACCTAAGTCAAATTTGCTTGAAAAAACTAAAGCAATATTTCAAAATTGGGGAATAGGCCCTTTCTTGGAATTTGTACAATTACATAATTGTTCAGATGGAATTTGGAATATCAATTGCACTGATGGATTCTCCGTCAAAGCTAAAAATGTGGTCTTAGAAATAAGATAATAGTCTTACAATAATGATAATGATCTTAAAATGAGGATTATGGTCTTATATGAGGATAATGATCTTACAATAAGAACAATGGTCTAACAATAATAATAATGGTCATATATGAGGATAATGATCTTACAATGAGGATAATGATCTTATAATAAGGATAATGGTCTTACAATGAAGAGTATGGTCTTATATGAGAATAATGATCTTACAATAAGGATAATGATTTTACAATAAGGATAATGGTCTTACAATGAGGATTGTGGTCTTATATGAGGATAATGATCTTACAATAAGGATAATGGTCTTACAATGAGGATTGTGGTATTATATGAGAATAATGATCTTACAATAAGGATAATGATCTTACAATAAGGATAATGGTCTAACAATAATAATCATAATGGTCTTATATGAGGAAAATGATCTTACTATAAGGATAATGGTCTTACAATAAGGAGTGTGGTCTTCTATGAGGATAATGATCTTACAATAAGGATAATGGTCTTACAATGAGGATTGTGGTCTTATATGAGAATAATGATCTTACAATAAGGATTATGGTCTTACAATAAGGATTATAGTATCACAAAAAGGATAATGGTCTTATATGACAATAATGGTCTTGCAATAAGGATAATGGTTATACAATAATGATAACAGGGAAAAGATAATTGTTGGTCTCTATGACCTTTACCAAATCAATATAAAGTAAGTTCAGGGACATATCTAAAAGTGTAAGTATGTTATTATGCATGGTTCATCAATCAATATTATGTGTATACTGGCATGCGAGCAGTTCCCGTACAGAAGCAGTACCCGTATTTTTCATTTTAACGCTTGATTTTTACATGCATTCTTCAAAAATTCATTTCAAATCAAGCAGATACATAAACGAGACAAAGTCTAAGTGTCAGTTCGGCAGTACGTATAAAAAGTCTCATTTTAAATCACTTTCACCTGTGCGTTGTCAAAACGTGACCTTGTTTTATCTGGGGGATTCCGTCCTTGCGCGCACGCGCAAGCATACTTACACGTGAGGCATGTTAAAGGGTTTTCCACTAATACCACCTGTTTACAGATAAGAAGGCAATGTGATAAAAACTTGTTTAATTATCAGAATTTTGACCAATATTACTATATAAAACAATTTTATGGCTTTGATGCGTAAAATATCATGCATACAAGCATGCCATCGCATGTGAATGCGTTGGGGGTAACGGTACCGGGTAATTGATACACGCGTTTAGTCTACTTTCTATTTCCTGAATTACATCTATTTATCTCTTAGAAAATGGTCTGTTCAACAATTATAAATGAAACAAGAGGGCCATGATGGCCCTGGATCGCTCACCTGACACAACCGCATCCAAGCAATGTCTTAAACAAGCATCATGACCAAGTTTGATGCGACTGAGTCAAACATGTGACCTCTAGTGTGTTATAAAGATTTTTCCATATTTGGGCAATGTGACCTAATTTTTGACTGGACACGACCCATATTCAAACTTGACCTAGAAATCATCAAAACAACCTTCCTGACCAATTTCCAGGAAATTTGGATCAAAACTGCAGCCACTAGAGTGTTAAAAAGATTTTTCTATTTTTAGCTCCTGTGACCTAGTTTTTGACCAGACATGACCAATCTTAGCACTTGACCCAGAAAACATCAAAACAACATTCTTGACAAATTTCCAGAATATTTGGATAAAAACTGCAGCCACTAGAGTGTAAACAAGCTTTTTCTATTTTTAGCTCCTGTGACCTAGTTTTTGACCGGAGATAACCCATCTTCGAACTTGACCTAGAAATCATCAAAACAACCTTCCTGACAAATTTCCAGAATATTTGGATGAAAACTGCAGCCACTAGAGTGTTAACAAGCTTTTTCTATTTTTAGCTCCTGTGACCTAGTTTTTGACCGGAGATGACCCATCTTCGAACTTGACCTAGATATCATCAAAACAACCTTCCTGACAAATTTCCAGAATATTTGGATGAAAACTGCAGCCCCTAGAGTGTTAACAAGCTTTTTCTATTTTTAGCTCCTGTGACCTAGTTTTTGACCGGAGATGACCCATCTTCGAACTTGACCTAGATATCATCAAAACAACCTTCCTGACAAATTTCCAGAATATTTGGATGAAAACTGCAGCCACTAGAGTGTTAACAAGCTTTTTCTATTTTTAGCTCCTGTGACCTAGTTTTTGACCTGAGATGACCCATCTTCGAACTTGACCTAGAAATCATCAAAACAACCTTTCTGACAAATTTCCAGAATGTTTGGATGAAAACTGCAACCATTAGAGTGTTAACAAGCTTTTTCTATTTTTAGCTCCTGTGACCTAGTTTTTGACCAGACATGACCCATCTTCGAACTTGACCTAGAAATCATTAAAACAACCTTCCTGACAAATTTCCAGAATATTTTAATCAAAACTGCAGCCACTAGAGTGTTAACAAGCTTTTTCTATTTTTAGCTCCTGTGACCTAGTTTTTGACCGGAGATAACCCATCTTCGAACTTGACCTAGAAATCATCAAAACAACCTTCCTGACAAATTTCCAGAATATTTGGATGAAAACTGCAGCCACTAGAGTGTTAACAAGCTTTTTCTATTTTTAGCTCCTGTGACCTAGTTTTTGACCGGAGATAACCCATCTTCGAACTTGACCTAGAAATCATCAAAACAACCTTCCTGACAAATTTCCAGAATATTTGGATGAAAACTGCAGCCACTAGAGTGTTAACAAGCTTTTTCTATTTTTAGCTCCTGTGACCTAGTTTTTGACCGGACATGACCCATCTTCGAACTTGACCTAGATATCATCAAAACAACCTTCCTGACAAATTTCCAGAATATTTGGATGAAAACTGCAGCCACTAGAGTGTTAACAAGCTTTTTCTATTTTTAGCTCCTGTGACCTAGTTTTTGACCGGACATTACCCATCTTCCAACTTGACCTAGATATCATCAAAACAACCTTCCTGACAAATTTCCAGGATATTTGGATAAAAACTGCAGCCACTAGAGTGTTGACAAGATTTTTTATATTTTATGCTCCTGGGACCTAGTTTTTGACCAGAGATGGCCCATATTCAAACTTGACTTGAAATCATCAAAACAACCTTCCTGACCAATTTCAAGGATATTTTGATCAAAACTGCAGCCACTAAAGTGTTAAGAAGATTTTTCTATTTTTAGCTCCTGTGACCTAGTTTTTGACCGGAGATAACCCATAATCGAACTTGACCCAGAAATCATCAAAACAACCTTCTTGACGAATTTCCAGAATATTTATTATCTAAACTGCAGCCACTAGAAGTGTTAACAAGCTTTTCTATTTTTAGCTCCTGTGACCTAGTTTTTGACCGGAGATGACCCATCTTCGAACTTGACTTAGATATCATCAAAACAACCTTCTTGACAAATTTCCAGAACATTTAGATGAAAACTGCAGCCATTAGAGTGTTAACAAGCTTTTTCTATTTTTAGCTCCTGTGACCTAGTTTTTGACCTGAGATGACCCATCTTCGAACTTGACCTAGAAAATCATCAAAACAACCTTTCTGACAAATTTCTAGAATATTTGGATGATAACTGCAACCATTAGAGTGTTAACAAGCTTTTTCTATTTTTAGCTCCTGTGACCTAGTTTTTGACCAGACATGACCCATCTTCGAACTTGACCTAGAAATCATTAAAACAACCTTCCTGACAAATTTCCAGAATATTTTAATCAAAACTGCAGCCACTAGAGTGTTAACAAGCTTTTTCTATTTTTAGCTCCTGTGACCTAGTTTTTGACCGGTGATAACCCATCTTCGAACTTGACCTGAAAATCATCAAAACAACCTTCCTGACAAATTTCCAAAATATTTGGATGAAAACTGCAGCCACTAGAGTGTTAACAAGCTTTTTCTATTTTTAGCTCCTGTGACCTAGTTTTTGACCGGTGATAACCCATCTTCGAACTTGACCTGAAAATCATCAAAACAACCTTCCTGACAAATTTCCAAAATATTTGGATGAAAACTGCAGCCACTAGAGTGTTAACAAGCTTTTTCTATTTTTAGCACCTGTGACCTAGTTTTTGACCGGACATGACCCATCTTCCAACTTGACCTAGATATCATCAAAACAACCTTCCTGACAAATTTCCAGAATATTTGGATGAGAACTGCAGCCACTAGAGTGTTAACAAGCTTTTTCTATTTTTAGCTCCTTTGACCTAGTTTTTGACCGGACATTACCCATCTTCCAACTTGACCTAGATATCATCAAAACAACCTTCCTGACAAATTTCCAGAATATTTGGATGAAAACTGCAGCCACTAGAGTGTTAACAAACTTTTTCTATTTTTAGCTCCTGTGACCTAGTTTTTGACCGGAGATGACCCATCTTCGAACTTGACCTAGATATTATCTAAGCAACCTTCCTGACAAATTTCCAGAATATTTGGATGAAAACTGCAGCCACTAGAGTGTTAACAAGCTTTTTCTATTTTTAGCTCCTGTGACCTAGTTTTTGACCAGACATGATCCATCTTCAAACTTGACCTAGATATCATCTAAACAACCTTCCTGACAAATTTCCAGAATATTTGGATGAAAACTGCAGCCTATAGAGTGTTAACAAGCTTTTTCTATTTTTAGCTCCTGTGACCTAGTTTTTGACCAGACATGACCCATCTTCGAACTTGACCTAGATAAAATCAAAACAACCTTCCTGACAAATTTCCAAAATATTTGGATGAAAATTGCAGCCACTAGAGTGTTAACAAGCTTTTTCCATTTTTAGCTCCTGTGACCTAGTTTTTGACCAGACATGATCCATCTTCAAACTTGACCTAGATATCATCTAAACAACCTTCCTGACAAATTTCCAGAATATTTGGATGAAAACTGCAGCCTATAGAGTGTTAACAAGCTTTTTCTATTTTTAGCTCCTGTGACCTAGTTTTTGACCGGAGATGACCCATCTTTGAACTTGACCTAGAAACCATCAAAACAACTTTCCTGACAAATTTCCAGAATATTTGGATGAAAACTGCGGCCACTAGAGTGTTAACAAGCTTTTTCTATTTTTAGCTCCTGTGACCTAGTTTTTGACCGGAGATGACCCATCTTCGAACTTGACCTAGATATCATCAAAACAACCTTCCTGACAAATTTCCAAAATATTTGGATGAAAACTGCAGCCACTAGAGTGTTAACAAGCTTTTTCTATTTTTAGCTCCTGTGACCTAGTTTTTGACCGGAGATGACCCATCTTCGAACTTGACCTAGATATCATTAAAACAACCTTCCTGACAAATTTCCAGAATATTTGTATGAAAACTGCAGCCTCTAGAGTGTTAACAAGCTTTTTCTATTTTTAGCTCCTGTGACCTAGTTTTTGACCCGAGATAACCCATCTTCGAACTCGATCTGTATTTCATTGAGACAAACATTCTGACAAAGTTTGATGATGATCCAATCAAAACTGTGACTGCTAGACTGTTAACAACCCAATTATTAGAGTGTTAACAAGCTTTTTCTATTTTTAGCTCGTGACCTAGTTTTTGACCAGAGATGACCCATCTTCGAACTTGACCTAGATATCATCAAAACAACCTTCCTGACAAATTTCCAGAATATTTGGATGAAAACTGCAGCCTCTAGAGTGTTAACAAGCTTTTTCTATTTTTAGCTCCTGTGACCTAGTTTTTGACCCGAGATAACCCATCTTCGAACTCGATCTGTATTTCATTGAGACAAACATTCTGACAAAGTTTGATGATGATCCAATCAAAACTGTGACTGCTAGACTGTTAACAACCCAATTGTTAGAGTGTTAACAAGCTTTTTCTATTTTTAGCTCGTGACCTAGTTTTTGACCAGAGATGACCCATCTTCGAACTTGACCTAGATATCATCAAAACAACCTTCCTGACAAATTTCCAGAATATTTGGATGAAAACTGCAGCCTCTAGAGTGTTAACAAGCTTTTTCTATTTTTAGCTCCTGTGACCTAGTTTTTGACCCGAGATAACCCATCTTCGAACTCGATCTGTATTTCATTGAGACAAACATTCTGACAAAGTTTGATGATGATCCAATCAAAACTGTGACTGCTAGACTGTTAACAACCCAATTGTTGACGACGAACGACGCACAACGCACGACGCACGACGCACGACGCACAACGCACGACGACGGACGCCGGACATAGCCCCATCACTATACCTCACCATGACCACTTCGTGGTCAGGTGAGCTAAAAAAGGACCGATATAATAAAATTGTATAATTATAATGGGTTAAATTTTATGTACGGGAACTACTTCTCTTCATACAAAATAATGGATAATTTCTGTACCCCATATGAAGCCTCATAACGAAGGGTTATTCTATGTTTAGAACATGATGGAATTTCCATGATTTGTGTGACGAGCCGAATATTGATGTGTAACATTCAAATTTTGGTGAGTGAGCGTAATAAAAAATAATGTTTAAGTAACTACGATTTTTGTACAGGAACTGCTCGCATGCCAGTATGGCTTAATTAGGTAACATTTACTTACTTGTATAAGTTCACATAAGAATTTTGTTCCGTCTTTTTTCCATTGTGCATGTACTCCAATCTTGACACCAAGTAGCCCTGTCCTCTTTGTTCTGTAATCAAATATAAATATTTATAAACACATATGTCCAAATGAACCAGTGATGGTTCAAGAAAGTATACTTTAAAGTGGCCTAAATAAAGCTTTCATCTCAATTAAACAAACAGTAGTCAGAGCAACAGATAAGCTGTAAAAGTGAATTGGGTATTACTCCATCATTTCCTCTGGAATTGGGTATCGGCTCCATTTAATTGGGTATTCCAAAACTCGATACCCTATGATTTCAAGATCAATTGGGTATTCAATTATGAAGATATGAATTTTATGGTTTCTATCAATAAAATTTAAACAATTTCAAAAAGAAAATAGGATTAACAATTTACTAGAACTTTTCACAATTGTTTTATTTTTTATATAAAATGCTCATGTTATATTTCATAATATTTTTAACAAGTTCGTTTTCTGACTGATTTTTGATTATTTACGACTATTTTGTTTCAAATCATTTTTCCTTTTGTACGACGCCATATTGCTTTCAAAGTGTCTATTGATACAGCTGGGACCTACTTATTGACAGTCTCTGCAAAATCAACGGTCTCTGCCTATGGGTACTGCATCCCTGCTGACATCATGGTAATCGGAACATGCTAATAAAAATTTGCAACCTGAGTAGACAAATCCACGGTCTCATGCTTTATTGATATGGCTTAGTCGTCTTTTGAGACCAGGGACCGTCGAAGACCGGAGACCGTTGATTAGTTAGCATTGATTCGGGAATATTCTGATAGCATGCATATCAATATAATTTGTCCAAAACTACAAGCGTACGACAAATTAATTTTGCGGTGATGAAAAATGACAATATGCAAGGGTTTTTAAGACAATTTGTGTATATTATTTTTTTTAATGGGTTTTGATATGCATTCTTAAAAAATCAATTGCGTATTTTATAAAATTAATTGCATAAATACGCACCTTATCTGTTGCTCTGAGTAGTATACTTAAACAAATTTCTACATACAATACTCTGCATGGGTACTGCATCTCTGCTGGCATCATGGTAATCAGAACATGCTATTAAAAATTTTGATAATTATGTTGCCACCTATTCACATTTGCAGATTGACCTAAATCTTACTTTTTTATCATTGACTTACACATTTGAGCACTTGTGTATTTACTTTTTTAGATACAATAGTTAATAACAGAGGCACTTAAGTAATTCTTTGTCTTTATTATACAAAGTTACACAAATATTTAGTACCCCAGTACCCAAGAGAACCAGCTTTTTTACATGAAATTAACAAGTATCTAAATTTACTGTGATCAATTAATCAAATTTTTCATTTAAGTAAATGGAGGAGGGGGTAAATAAAAAAAATTCTTTCACTTCTAGGGTGGATTCAACTCAATACAGGATTGGAGCAGTACCTCTAGACGCTTGCAGAAATCATGATCACAAAATACACAAATATTTTTTTATTTTGCAGATTCTTACATTTTTCATTAACGTATATAAATCGATGTGAAAAGATGAATTAGAAGTTATAAAGTTCATTCCATGAGGTGAAAAGGTTAGATTTTATCATTTAATCATTCAAGTGTCTTGTCTGTTATGTACCGGAATTTGGTACTTAGTGTGGTGACTGGTGCTCCAATCCTTTTTTTTTAATCTCACACATTTAGGGCAACAAGTATTTCTCTTACCTTATGTCCCATTCATTCCTTGGCCATGGTCCATCCTTGAGGGGACTTGAAAGATCTTTGTAGTAATCATGTACTGCCTCATCTAGAAATTCTTTATTCTCCGTGGACACATACTGAAAATGGTCTGATGTTCTTTTCTTTACAAGCCACGGGCAAGTTTCATTTTTCACTCTTGGTTTGTGACTGCGTTTACCTCTAGTCTGCTGATAACATAACAATGGCCTGGAAATAAAAAAAAATCTCTTTGAAAATAACTTCATGTATTGACCGGAAAGCGAAAGGTGCCGACCGTGATAAGAGAGTAATGTTTATCCAGTTTCTTGGTTTGTATTAGGCGCATTGATAGCAGGCTTATGGTTAAACAGGTAAAAGGATTGTGGTAATGGATTAAAGCCTACGATAATCAAATCAGCACTTTTTGACAGTACACAAAGTCTGGTGTCCTGTGGCATTTAGCACTGAACCTAAATTAGTTTGTGCCTAGTGCAGGTTGAGATAATTCAAATGCTGACACAGTATTAAATATTTTCTAATGGGAGGAGGGTGTGTGGAGTAGGGCTGTCATTGATGGAAAATTTTGTATCAATCAGATATATCGAGAGACAAATAGAGACAATATATCTACTTTGGCAGTAGATACAATGAAAAACATTTAAATATGTGTTATAAATTGGGATCAAATTGGTGTAATGCATGCTTGTATTAGACATTACAAATACTACAAACCAACATAAAGTTTGTTTTTTCTGGGGTTTTTTTTGCCACTAACAATTGAAAACGGAGTTTTAAATTAAAGTTTGCCAAGAATACTGGGAAAAAGTGACTTCTCTTATCAGGCAAAAAAGAAAGGTATATTCTATAACAGAAATAAATAAATCTTAGCTTGTATCAATATTTGAAAGTGTTTACAATATTGTATCGGATGAAGACTTTTTCTGACTTGGGTGTTTGAAAATCCAAGTGAGGACCCTAATTTAAACAGTTATTTAAATGAACCAGTATATATATATGAATTTGCCATCTCTGTTAATTTGTAACTGTGTGACAGCTACTAAAAGAACATCAAAGAAGCCGCAGACTTTAACAAGATGCACATAATGTTGGCATTAATGCATGCATTTTAATTTACTGGTCAATGTGACATTGCTTGTACTACATACTAACAAATTCATTTATATGGTTAGAGCCAATCAGGGTGTATACCCTTTTAACTCCTTGCACAGTTAATTGGAATGTTAACATCTGCAAATTACAGGGGCCAATAGCCTGAATAGGCCTTTATAATACGGGAAGTCAAAGTAACTCAATGGTAATACAGTGCTACAGATAAGCAGCGTATCTGCGTAATTACCCAATAATTTTGACCAATTTACCCAAATAAAATAAAATCTTTGCGTAATAAAAACGCAAATCAAAATATCAGTACCCAATTTGTTTTGATACTCTAGCGTATTTTCAATATCTTGGACCATAATTCACCTAGCAAAAACTGCCAAACAAATCCGAAAATAGCCTGTTTCCCTTTCTGTACTTTCGTTTTCCATTTGTTAACTGGGAACAATTGAGTAGACTGGTTATATTAAAGATATTTTTTCGCGGAAAAGCTTTATATACTTATGAGAGATAACTAAATAGCAGTCCAGACTGAGGTTTATTTACTTTCTGCTTCAACAAAATGGCGAAACGGGGCTGATAAAAATTAATTATTTCAATGCAGTCTAACAAAATATTTGGTTATTTCACCGAGCCAGATGTTGTAAAAAAATTGTTAAATGAACTTTTTAGACAATGTTTGTTTACAGTCTTTGTGTATATTGTTTCCGAGATCCTGGACAATATTTTGACCGATGCAAATCTATGCAAACCAATAAATTTTTCAATGATACCCAATTTTGTTTCTGTGTTACCCAATTGCTTGTCAAGTCCAGGGGTAAATACCCAATTAACTCAAAAGCTTATCTGTAGCTCTGGTAATAGGCGAGGTATTCCGATAACGGACAATCGCAACTTTTTAGATGAGTAATAAACATCGAGCGTTCTGAGTGAAAACAGAAGCAGTGTATAATTACCAAATGACACCTTTAAAACGGAAAAATAAACTATTTTTTAAACCGACTTCCCCGTAGAAAGGCTTAGCCTAACTTCATATTAAAGCCTATAAGTTGTGTTAACGGTGTAGTCAATCATCAGCAGTCATTGAGTTTCATCAGTCAAGTTATCATATGTTGTATACCAGACACTATAAAATAAACATTGCTGAGGTCGAATATATTTGTGTACAAAAAAAATAAGAAAAACAAACTTGACATTCAGCCACTTTTCGCGACATCTGTTGCATTTTAAAGCCAATCATATAAATGTTTACAAAATAAAATTTTGGCAAACCTAACTGCAACTGATGTCTGTTCCAGACAAAAGCTAAAATTCGACAAAAGTTGAGTATTTCCTAAATGCAGAAGACCTCTAGTAGCCATGCTTGACTTACTTACAACATGCAAAAATATAAAATTATAAGATTAACTATTCTAAGGTAAAATTAACAAATTGTGTGTAATAATAAAAAATTACTAGGCCCTATTACATAAATTGTAAAGTCATCAGTATTCAAATGTGTTTTTAAAGCAAGTTTCATTTTTAATCTGTTCAACGACGTAAGAGGTATTGTAAAATACTACAACAACAACAAATTGCAAAACGAACTGATCGAAGAATGGCTCAAAAAATATATCCTGAACAATTGCTACGGCTTCAAGAAGAACATAAAAGGGCAATTAAAGACACTAGCGACCAAATAGAGCAGTGGTAATTAGCTGTCATCGTTCTTGTAACAAATTATATGATTTTATTTTCTAACCCTGCTACTATTCGGATACATTTAATTCGGATAAATTACTTAGTCATTTTCGTTTTATTAGTATGACAATATCATTTTTTACTGATATATTATAGCAAGTTGTAGTTTATTCAACATGCAGCTTGGTGTTGTAATATAGTTTTGTCCTATTCCATGAATGTTTTAAAGTTGCGATATTTTTAATTGTCTTTTCTTTAAGGAAGTGGCCAGCCATACGGGCCCGTACGGCTAGCCAAAAGTTCTAGCCGTACGTAAGTCACGTACTACTAGCCAGGACATACTGTTTCGTCTAGCCGTACGGCACATTTCGAAATTATATGAAAGTTGAAAATGGATATGTTATTTTGTGTCTTTAAACAAGCATTTTAACCAAGCCCCCGCATTTGTCCTTGTGTGTTCACTTTAATAAAGATGCTCCGCCATTTTGTAAAAACAATGAATATGAAGGTAATGCAAGCATTATAATCTGAATAAAAATGTCAAAGTTGCATGTTATAAATTATAACATCGTTGTTTTTCATGCTTATGATTTGTTGTTTTATTTGTATGAAAGATGAATTATTAAATAATGTTTGTTAATTAAGCACAATGGATCGAATAAATAATCATAACGGCAAAATAAGCTTTTTCATAACGGCATGATCAGTGTGGAATAAATAAATAAATTGATTTATAAAAAGAACATTGAAAAAAAAAGGCGAAAAGCAAAAATAATTGTATAATTTTAGAATGCAGTGGATAAATATCGAACATAAAAGCACAATCAATAAAACTTAATTAAAGCCTATTCAGGGAATGACAATAGAATTTTAGAATGCGTTTCACGGAACATGCAAACTTTCCTTAATGATGGACAAACTTCTACTGTCGGTAATTGACGCAATTATCAGAGCCAAACAACAATTATTTTCGGTGCTTTTTTCATTTTAAAGGTGTTGAAAATTAAACTTTTTGAAACAAAAAAGGATTATTATCACAATTTTGGAAACTATTTCACTTGACGGTATTCAACTGCAACCTAATGTTCTTTTTTCTCGCCATCTGGATATTCATACTTTCTTTACTGTAGCCAACACGGCGATTAATCTCTAAAAAGTAAATGTAAGAAGACATTTGCTTTTCTTGGTTAAAATCATTGCTTAAAGTAATAAAATAACATGTGCATTTTTGACTTTCATGTAATTTCGAAAAGTGCTGTATGGGTAGCCAATACAGTGTGTCCTGTCTAGCCGTACGTGACTCACATACAGCTAGAACTTTTGTATCAATAGCTCAGACTGGTCCTTTCTTTAAATGATTGTTGAATAGTATTAAATGATTACTGGAGGTTACGTACCATGGAGGAAACGTACCTGGAGGTTACATACCATTTTTGGAGTTCACATACCACTTATATATTTTGAAGTATACGTACCATTGATATATTTAGCTTAATAATTTTAATAAAAAAGTAAATTAAGGAATTATTACTTTATTATTACTTATTACTTAAAAAGCAGTCATATCAAAGCAATATCAAATGGCAATAGTTTAACCTGTATATGATTATCACACAGTCAGATTGAGTAATTAAACAAATAGCAATCAAATTACAAACTATGAAACACTATTATTGTTATCATATCATAATTGTAATCTCATTATATATATACAATAGATCAATTTATTAATGCACAAATTCGAAGAATAAAATTTTTGCCATTATCCCTTACTATCCCTTTATTAACTATTTCTGTATATGTGGTACATAACCTCCAAAAATGGAAATTTATGTAGTGGTACCTTTTGTCCATGGTACCTCCAAATTCTGTGTTAAATTACGCTTGATGATCTTTTTCATGTCTTTTTGGCAAAATATAATCATAGGAGGATGATTGTTGTAAAAGTAGAGCATCAGACTCCTAAAATTGTGTTTCTGGGTTCAAATCCCAATAGTTGTGAAATTCACTCTCAACTTCTACAATCCATATGGTGTGATTTATGGTAATGAAATCCTTGAAAACCTTGAAGCAGTCTTCTGGCGTGACATGTTGCCCATGTGTACGTCCCCATCATTCATTTATTTTTAATCATGTCCTCAGCAGATGGTATACCAGAATGGGACAATTTAATTTTGATGTTGGCTCATAATATTCATCATTGGTTTCTGTAGTAGCCAGATGTTGGGTATATTAGCAGTTGAAAAAATAAGAAAAAAGTCAGACCAGTCTGAGCTATTGACAATGGGTCAATCTTGGTTTGAGGCTGGCCAGACATGAACAGTTGACATTTGCCTCAGACTTCATCCCTATTTGCAGCTGATTTCATTCAAGACTTCAGGCTGATAAAGAAGCTAAAATTGTTTTATTGTCAGCCCAATATATTATACTGGCTTGAAAGGAGAAATGTGGAATTAGGCAAAGCCTATGAATGGGGAAGCCGGTTCAAAAAAAAAAATTCCGTTTTAAAGGTGCATTGGTATTTCATGCACCGGTCCCGTTTTCACTTGGAACACTCGATGATTATCAATCAGAAAAGTTGTGATTGTTCAGTCATTGAGTTACATTATAACTAGAACTGACACTGAAAAAAGCAAAAATTATGATAAAAACATTTCACATATTTTTCAGGTTAAAGTTTAAATCAGATTATGAAGCTCTGAAGACAAGACTTGAAACCTTGCCTGATCAAGTAACACATGATGTCATGGTATGTAAGAAAAATATTAAAATGCATCTTTATTATTATGTCAGGGATATCATGTTAATGCTGCGAACCTGGATATAAATCCCACAACAGACTATTATGTGAGGAAGCTATTCAGCTATCTAGAAGAGGTTATACCTAAGGGCAGTTGTTTGATATGGCTTAATTTATGTTTATTATAATATAATTGTATAAATTTATTTAAGCATTCTACCAATTTTTCTTACCACTGACAGCTCTCATTGTCAGGAGGAAAATATTCAAGATACTTTTTTTCCAAAGAGAGTTGTAAGGAAAATATTCAAGATATGTTTTGTTATGAATATTCTGAATTTTTATTTTGAATATCCTCTATTTATTATTTATTTGAATGGGATTTTTTTCCATAGGGAGTGTAAAACATACTTTTTGGAGAAGGCTCAGATTTGGTCCTTATATATGGTCAATCTGCAATAGATTAAGATATACATGTATTACTAAATCAAAAACTTAGTACTTTCTTTAGTTCTTATTATTATAAAAAGAGCAAAGTTATACTTATGACAGAGTCCCCCCCCCCAACAACAACAACAACAATGACTTTCCACCATTTTCCGGATGCCAAAAAAATCCTAGTAATATGTTGGAGATTTGTTAAAAATGAAATTTTTTTAAAAACTAGGTATTGATATTTCAGGTTCCATTTGGTAAAATGGCATTTATGCCAGGACAGCTGGTCCATACAAATGAGATTTTAGTATTGCTAGGTGATAATTGGTTTGTTGAAAGATCTGCCAAACAAGCGTCAGAGATTGTTGATCGGAGAATTGAAGGTTAGTTTCAACATTGAATTAATAATGATGATTATTTATTCGACATGTTTTAAATAGCTTCTTAAAGTTATTAGTCATGTTTTTTATTGTAATTTTTGAACATAAAATACTCTTAAACATTATTTTTGCTTAAACATTAAACATTATTTAAGTCTATAACAATGCCTAGAATAATCCCTGCTTTATCTGAACTTAGCTTACAAGTATTTGCATACATTAACAAAAATATTAACGTACAGTACAATCTTGTGAGAGTGGCCCTCTTCAGAGTTATTACCTCTTAACAGCAAACCAAAGTAAGACATGACAATAAACATAACATTTATAGGACAACACCTCTCAGCAGCAGCCAAAATATTTTAATCCCGTATGATTTTGCTCTGACAATGTTGTACTGTAATATACCTATACAGAAATAATAAACATAGCAGATTCATAGTACTTTACCACAAATGCGACAGAGGCCCAAACAAACTGCTAAACTATCAATGTAATAAATTTTGTATGATGTTATTTCTTCCACTTCAGCTGTGGATAAACAATTAAAGGAGTTAAACAAGCAGATGCAGCTGTTAGAGCCGAGAAAACAGTTTACATTGGAACTTCAGGAATTGTCAAAGGTAAAACCTCTCAAGCTTGAGGATAAAACAAACTATTGTAAAGAATACTGTTGAGACTGTATGGTCGCTTGTCACATATGACAGGGAGCCATATAATTCAGGCCATTTATATTATTAGTTATAAAGATTGTTGACAGGTTATATGGCCCTATATAAATGGCTATTTGTAAATATAACCTGAGCCGCTAGCCGAGGGTTATATTGCAAACAGCCGTTTATATATGGCCATATAACCTGTCAACAATCTTTATAACGAATTTATAATACAGCAAGCATCATTTTTTAGAGAAAATGTAAGATTTCTTTATGAATCGACAGCAGCCGTGTATATAAAACTAAATAAACGTCAAGATTATCAAGTGAAAAGCGACATTACAAACTTGCAGTATTATAAAGGAAAATATGTTGGGAGGTCTGAAACAAGGTCGGATAAGACAGGGAGTCATTGAAATCAGGGGGTCGGAAATGCAGTCTTGACTGTATAATATAAAAAAATTCCTGTAACTTCTGATAAAACTTTTCAAATATATTTAAAACTGTGAAATATGTTTACTTGAAAAGAATAACATAAATGACTTACTTAATCAATATATCTTATGTCATATGACCTGTCAATATTCCTGGCATTTAAAACTATGTATACATGTATATCATGTACATGTATTTACACTTTTGGCAAGTTAGTATTTGTTTAATAAGGAAATAATGAAATGTATATTGTAGGAAGGAGGAGAAATGGTGGACATACGAGAGAAGTATGATGAAGAGAAGGAAAAACAATGGAAAGGTAGGTCATTTAACCTGGTTATTATCAACTTATAAACAAACTGTATTCAAGGGGATATATCTAGATTTTTGTGTGGATATATCTAGACTTTTGTGTGGAAGTGTTGAAACTCATTTATGTCATGTCACAAAAGTTACAACCACTTCACAACAAACCATCAATAGATGTCAACATTTTCTGTGACTTACAGATATTAAAATTAGCACATATTTATGTATACATATACATTGTTATTTTAGTTTTGACTATTGGAATATTTCTCTCCTGTTGTGCGGCTGATTTAAGAGAAAAGCTATTGATTTTCTCTTAAGAAATAAAAAATCACTACCTACTGATATATTGACTAACTTTATATTATGGTTAGCTTTACACTTTGCATTAGATATTAATTTTCATAAACAGATACTCATAAAAAACATGTTAAAGAATATAGAAGCAGACTGAAAAAGGAAGAAGAAAGACAGCAAATCAGACAACAACCTGAGCAGACTGGTTCTTCTGGACTCACTGATGAAGAACTCTGGGCCAGACTGGACCAACTTGAGAGCATAGAGAGTGAAAGGAAGGAAATACAAAGAATTGGGTATGTTTAATAAATTGTTGATATATTAGGTAAACTGGTTTGACTGTACTTGAAAGTTAGTTCCACACATGGGGTACTAGCATTTGATAATCTATGCAGATGTATTCTGGTTTATTTTAAAGGACATCATCAAACCATTCAATCAATGTATAGTACCCACAGTTTGATAGATTGAACAATTTAATCATATAATCTGTAACTGGTTAACTTTTTAGCTCACCTGTCACAAAGTGACAGAGTGAGCTTTTGTGAATGCTTTTCGTCCGGCGTCCGGCCGGCGTCCATAAACTTTTACTTTAAATGACATCTCCTCATAAACCGCTGAGCCAATTTCATCTAAACTTCACATGAATGTTCCTTTGGTGGTCACCTTTAAAAATTGTTCAAAGAAGTTAATTCCATGCAGAACTCTGGTTGCCATGGCAACCAATAGAAAAAACTTATAATATCTTCTTTTAAAAAACCCAAAGAGGTAGAGCTAAGATATTTGGCATGAAAAATATTCTAGTGAGTGTCTATCAAGTTTGTTCAGATAAAAGCCCTGGGGTCAAAATTGGCCCCGCCCCAGGGGGTCAATGATTTTCCCTATATGCATATAGTAAAAACTTATAAAATCTTCTTTTAAAGAACCCAAAAAGCTAGAGCTAAGATATTTAGCATGAAACATCTTCTAATGGGTGTCTACCAAGTTTGTTCAAATAAAAGCCCTGGGGTCAAAATTGGCCCCGCCCCAGGGGGTCATTGACTTTCCCTATATGCATATAGTAAAAACTTATGAAATCTTCTTTTAAAGTACCCAAAGAGCTAGAGCTAAGATATTTAGCATGAAACATGTTCTAATGAGTGTCTATCAAGTTTGTTCAAATAAAAGCCCTGGGGTCAAAATTGGCTCCGCCCCAGGGGGTCATTGATTTTCCCTATATGCATATAGTAAAAACTTATAAAATCTTCTTTTAAAGAACCCAAAGAGCTAGAGCTAAGATATTTAGCATGAAACATCTTCTAATGGGTGTCTACCAAATTTGTTCAAATAAGAGCCCTGGGGTCAAAATTGGCCCTGCCCCGGGGGGTCATTGATTTTCCTTATATTTGTAAATTAGCAAAAACTTTAAAAAAAATCTTCTTTGAAAAACCCAAATAGCTAGAGTTTAGATATTAAGCAAGAAACATCTTCTAGTGAGTGTCTTCAAAGTTGTTCAAATAAAAGCCCTTAGGTCAAAACTGGCCCCGCCCCGCGGGTGTCATTGCTTTAAACTATGTGTGTAAAGTTAAAACTTAAAAAATCTTTTTTTAAAAACTCAACAAGCTAGACCTTAGATGTTTAGCATGAAACATCTTCTAATGGGTGTCTACGAAGTTTGTTCAAATAAAAGCCCTTGGGTTTAAACTGGCTCCGCTCTGGGGGCCTTTATACAGGTGAGCGACTTCAGGGCCATCATGGCCCTCTTGTTTATGTGAACACATAGTTACAGATTTGACTTAAAATACTACATATGTACATTGTAAACAGGGTGTCAAAGATCTCCAGGAAGCACTTATCCTTAACCCCTATGAGTTAGATGTCCACAGGGATTATGTTTCCCAGGATTAAAACTTATATGATACATATTAGAAAATTAATTTTTTTAGTAAACTAGAAAACAGCTGGTGAAAAACACACACCTTATTTCCACTTTAAGGCTATAGTGATTAGAAAAGTGAAATAAGAATAAATCATAAGAATGTAGCGTATACTTACTGACAGGAAATTACTTAAGTTTGATGTTGTTCACCATTTTAGTACACATGCTGAGAAGAGATTGGAAGGCTACAAATTCCCAGACTTTCACCACAATAGACAAACAGTTGAAGATAATTATCCTGACTCTGACCAGTCAAATAGTCATGATGAGGAAGAATCGTCGTACACAGCTTCGGATGAACTTGATTCCGATGATTATGATGATGATGATGTAAAACAGGAGGAAGAGGAACAACTAGAGAGCAAAGGAACACTCATTACATTCTCTCATAGTCAGGTATGAGTGTTTAATGAGATTTTACATTTCTTGCGTATCAGACTGGTGTTTCAGTTAGTTTTATCCATGCTTGAAATTCCATCTAGAACCCCCCCCCCCCATTCCAGGACTATTTGCTATTGAATTTTATGAATGAGATGCATTAAAATGATGTCATTTTGGCATATTTAAGAATGAAACTGCATGCTTAGGATGACATCATTTTGCAGTTATGATTAATACATTATTGTAAGAAAATAATAATAGATAAAATGACATTTATTTTTATGAAATATTAATTTATTGACATATATTTTAGAATATGGTTGAATATGGGTGGGTCCCGTTGGGAAGGATAATCCGATCCAAACCGTAACATATGACAGATATTGTTATTCTGTGATTGGAAAGTATACTACGTACTTGCTATTTGAGACTAAAAACAATAGATGACATAGTGTTCAACTGTTGATTGTACAATTGCATTTAAATTAATGTTAATTTATGTAAATTCAATTTGTACACAAATTTTTATTTGTTACTTGAAACAATGGCTCCATTGATATTGATTTTATGTTTGCTTAAAATGTATTTCTGTACTTTCTTTACACTACATTGTATATTTTGATATGAATCTTTTCAGAATACAGAAATGGGGCAGTCTGCAGGTTCTACTGATCAAACTACAACTATGAGTGGCCCAGGGGACATCTATGCTAAATATGTAGATTGTGTGAAAGCACAAACTTCTGGTATATTAAAGAAATCTCCCAGTGAACAGAGGAAGAAGGTGAAACATAAAACAAAGAAAACCGTGGTATCATTTGATACGGGTTCTGAAGATGAGAGGGATGTCAAACAGGTTAATATACTGCGAATTCACTTAAATTCGTTGGCATGAAATTTCGTGGTTTTATCAAAACGGGCATTTTCGTGGGTTCTTAATTCGTGGATTTTCATTTTCTTGTAAAAAAAAAAAAAATAACCTAAAGAAAAAATAATCTCACTAAATCGCCGCGTATTTTTACTAACCGCATGTACATATCTTGACGTTTCACACAGCACTTGTCAATAATCTAATCCTTGCCTCTGGGCATAACATAAAGATAGCAGTTACTGCCGATAATTGACTGCAATTAACACATGTTTGTGACATGATATGCAGCTCTACTGTACACCATGTCCCTGTGATTCGCCGATGTAAACATTGCATAATTTATATGACACCTGACACGTTTTAACAAGCGAGTTTAAAAAGTTTACACCATGAATTTGTCCTACCATATTTAACAGTTACTACACTCAACATCACATCGACATTAATTAATATGAGTAAATAACACGGGTTGTGCGGATCTAGACGTCGGCAGTGTGTTGAATGTTTACGGAATAGCAGTCGAACAAATACAGATTACAATTCATTTAAACTTGATCTTTTAAAGAAGACAATTCATCCGTTTTAGCGATTTTTTTTTTTTATTGTATAGTGTACTTAACTTACGACATTAATATCAAAGATTTCTTCAATTCTATAAGCAATTAATAAGAGCAAGCAGGCAATTTTCATTAGCGCTATTATTGCACTGGTTTTCCGTATTTACTCGATTATGTAAAGTATTCTGGGTAACACAATCGAGTAGCCTACAACAATCGAGCAGTCTCTTGATGTGTATATACGACCGACATTTGTGACAGCAAATTAAGGACATATAATCGTGTTTTCTTTCCAAGTTTCTTAAATATTGCAAACCTAAACTATTTATAGATTTAATCGTTCACTTACTTGATTATCTGTTTACCATCATAACACAATAATCGGTCGGAAAAAGCGTCGATGCATGTTAAGAATAGAGACATGGTTAGAAGTAATTCTAGGGATAAAGTTTCGTTGGATCTTAAATTCGTGGATTGACCTACCCACGAAAACCACGAAAATTCGTGCCCCACGAATAATAATGATTTTACAGTAGTATAGTATAGCTTCTTTCCAAAAAGATATTTCTGTATCCATGGCAGAGTGGTAAAGGCCATTGACTTCAAAACACTTGCCTGTCATTGCTGTAGGTTGGAGCCGCACAAGCGTAGTCCTCAGATTCTTCATATGAGAAAACTATCCAGCTAGCATATGGAACGTTGTAGGCTCTAAGCAGAAGAATCTGAAGACCCTGTCGGGATTTGAACCCACATGGGTTAGGGGAGGGATGTTTTAGGGGAGGTAGGTTTGTAGTTGACGACTAAGATTGTTAACTTCAAACCACTTGCATCACAAGCGTTGTCGGGTTCTACATGTGGGGAAGCTATCCAGCTAGCATATGGAACGTCCTAGGTTCCGAGTAGAACATTCCATAAGCTAGCTGGATAGCTTTCTCACATCAAAGAATCCAAAGGCCCTGTTGGGATTCGAACCCACAGTGGTAAAGGGAGGGTGGTAAGTAGTCAACAACCTTAACCACTCGGCCAGAGATGCCCCTGCTTTACCTATTGCTTAGCATGACGAGAAGAAAACTTAAGTTCATGATATGATTGAAAATGTGTCAAATAAATTGCAGAAATTGCTATGTAATCAACCATATTTGAAGTCTAATTTTTGTTTAGTTTTATATTTTCAATACTGTTTGTATATTTCAGAACACAGCTGTACAGCAAAGTTCACTTGAACCAGCTTTCTCAGGAACAGTTGTTGAAAAATCTGTTTTAGGAAAAAACACACAAGAGTTACCTCCAAAATCAAACCAGGCGGCGCCACAGAAACCTGTATCAAAGTTTAAGGCAATGTCAGCCAATCAAAACAGAGATAAGATTGAGAGTGTTTCACAGTTAACCAATCAGACTGATTCTTCCAACATAAAACCTGTTTCAAAATTTAAAGCTCAGAGACAGATGACTAGGAGATAACATTGAGATTTCATTTCATTAAAATAAAACATTCTATATATATGTTCTTGTTTTATTTGTTCATTGAGAAAATACAATGTAAATTGTTTTCTTACAATTCTCTTCATATGGTTAAGGCATTTGAAAAAGAGCTTATCACTATACAATTCTCTTCATATGGTTAAGGCATTTGAAAAAGAGCTTATCACTAGAAATAGCAGACTTTTTATGCACTGTCTGTCTTTCTGTCCGTGTGTCCCCACTTACACATTCATTTCCAGACTGCAATTTTGTCATGCATGAAAATATTTTAATATAACTTGGCACAAATGTCTACCACATCAAGAGGATGTGTCACGTCTAAGGCCCATGTCACTACCTCCAAAGTTGTGGTAAGTTTGCTATGAATAACAAGAACAATATTAAGCAATTAGTTACTTTTATTCTCTACTTTATTCTTTACCCTGTTTTGGTACATTTTATAGTTAATATGTTACTAGTATTTACTGTGGAAAACTGTAAGGTCCACACCAAATACCTCACCAACCTCACGATGTCGAGCCCCCTGCTCCAGCATACCAACTGCCCGCCACAACTCTGCTTCTGATAAATAACTTCTAACATTTGCATTTGCCATTATTCAATCTTATATGTTCAATATTTCAATGGAAAATGAAGAATGAACACCCTACATGTGTCGGTATGTGTATGCTATGTCTAATAAAGACTATCAAAATACAGGGTCACCTTATATTGCACTACTTGCATGTGGAAATGGCCTGTCATTATAGGTTATGTGTACACATGGTACACTCTCGATACATTACTACACAATTTACAATGTAAATATCATAACATTATATGATGTACAAGAATGCATAATGCTATGTAGAAAACTTTGGTGCTAAGCAAACTGAGTAGTATATATTAAGTTGTATTTAATATTATCCATTCCAGTCAATCGGGTGTACATTATCATTCCCATGTACTTTCAAGGATAAATGATGTTAACGACAAAAATATGCAAATGTCTGTAAAGAGCATTGAAATCCTTTTTGCAAAAACAATAATTTGCTGATGTTTTGATAACAGAATATATTCTTTTCTTTCCATGTTGCTGCCATATTATTTGGAAGTTGAATCAAGTTATTAAATATCATTCTGTATATACTGGTAACACATGATGGTTCCACGTCATACAGCTGGAAGGAACCATGCTTAGTAGTAATATTGCACATCTAAATTAAATCCACTCATTTTCACAATACATGTAGTTACCCAGATCTTTTAACAACATTTAAGACATAAAACATGGTATTTTGGTATGAAAGTAGTTTTGAAATTTTACAGACAGGCACTGTATGTCATGTGTGCATTGAAAATTTACATACCACTCACCACAGCCTTGACATAAGTTATATATGTGCTGAAAGGGGCTGACTTTAGGGCATGCTGAAAGGGCTGGCTTTAGCACAAGATGGATATGTGATGAAAAGTGACCAGCTATAGGGAAAGGTTGATATGCGCTGAAAGGGGCTGGCTTAAGAGAAAGGGGCCAGCTTAAGGGCAAGGTTGATATGTGCTGAAAGGGGGCAGCTTAAGGGCAAGGTTGATATGTGTCGAAAGGGGCCAGTTAAAGGGCATTGATATACTCTGAAAGGGGCAAAACGCTTCTTTTCTTAGGTGAAAAGTTAGGTCTAGAAGAAAAATAAAAGTCAATTGAGCATTTCGTTGTTTTGTTTTATTTTTGCTGACAATATATTACATTTAAAAATAATTAAAAACAAAATCATTTATTGTTAAGAATCAGTCAACAGCAAACAACCTAAAATTATTTCATCTAAAACTTCAAACCACACAACATACTTTGAAAAAGACTATAATTATGTGATAAGAAGGAAAATAAAAAGTTTACTACCATGTAAGTTTAAAACTGACTATAGAACTTGAAAGAGAATAATTGGGTAATATTTGTGTTTTAAGTGAAAATTACTAATATTGTTGGCTAAGTTTAGTTGACACTAGAGAAAGACGTTAGTAATTTCTGACTAATAAATACAATAGTATATTCTAGAGCATAATGAATCTGTACATTAAATTAGTCATTAAAGTAGGTTACAAAAATTCATTGAAATGAAACATTTCCTTAAAAAACTTATGAATATTGCAGAGATTAACAAGAAAATAAATGAAAATTCAAATGTTGCCTGTTATTTCATACTATACTACTTTAACTGAAAGATTTTAAATATATTCTTGTTTCTATTTTTAACCAATTACTGAAATACTTCGAAAATGAGGAGTAACTAGTTAAACTTTTCATTTGAATGAAAAAGCACAAGAGATTTAAAGTTGTCTCTTACTTATTGGTTTTTGGTATAACTATAACAAGATTAATTAAGTGCATTGATCAGTTTTTCATTCAAATTAATATGAGCCATGTCACGACAAAACCAACATAGTGTGTTTGTGACCAGCATGGATCCAGACCAGTCTGCGCATCCGCAAAGTCTGATCAGGATCCATGCTGTTCGCTTACAAACTTTATGACAAGTAGAGAATCTGATAGCGAACAGCATGGATCCTGATCAGACTGCGCGGATGCGCAGACTGGTCTGGATCCATGCTGGTCGCAAACCCATTATGTTGGTTTTGTCGTGACACGACTCGTATAAGTTTATGTGCAAATAAAATAAAATACATATAATGCCTCAGAATGCATAGTTCTACAATTTTTGCATTGAAACCTAGGAACTAATCAGATGGGTTTTTTTCTCTCATGATTTCATGCCTTTATTTACCCGAAAGATTGGAGATTAGAAAATGAAATAATGAAAATAAATCTAACATTATTCTATGAAAATGAATAACCTCAATCACTGGTTTTAAAATAGCTGAACAGAACATATTTGTGCACATAGTTTTTTTGATATATTCCATTTTTCTGCAACAACTTTGTGAATGAATATAAAAAAAAATGTACAAAAATATATGAATTTGTGACAACAAAAAGATATGAAGAACTGATGTAAGAGGCACCATTTTGTGTACGAAAAAAACGGTGCTACTTATATTTTATATATGTAGATACTAAGTTAAATCAACTAAAACAGTATGATTAGAGAGCCTCTGGTTAAATCTAAGTATGGTATTTATATAAAAAAAATATTAAAATGATAATAAAAAAATACAAAAAATTATGACTGGAAAACATATTGAATAATATCTGAACACATCATTTATCAAATTTGAACACATTGGTTATCATTGTATTTGAACACATTGGTTATCATCGTATTTGAACACATTGGTTATCATTGTATTTGAACACATTGGTTATCATTGTATTTGAACACATCAACCGGAAATCATAAGATTTGAACACATTGAATATCATATATTTGAACACACCATTTATCATATTTGAACACACCATTAATCGAATGTGAACACATTGACTATGAAAAATTTGAACACATTGGTTATGATATATTTTAACACACAGGTATGATTTCTGAACAAATTCATGCATTTTTTTTTTTGAACATTGGCAGTTTAAAAATTATCTTAAACTATTTTTCTACATTATCTGATTATCAATGTAAATTTGCATAACACAAATATGAACACTTTGTGGTATAATTATTTGATACATTACGCAAGCATACAACAAATTTTCCTGATTTCTTATTACAATATGCAATAAGCATTACTTTAACATACCAGAACATGTAATAACTTGTGAAAATCACATCAAAATGTTTAGAAACAATATCTTATGTTGAGCGAGACCAAAAAAAAATCAAAAAAAAAAAAAAAAAAATCCTGATCTTCAAATACATTTTGAAAATTCACTTTACTATTCTTTCTATTATATACATAAAATATCCGATGGTTTCAGTGAGTTAACAGACAAATTCTTGAAGATTGCATATTAATTATCTACCATCCTTTAATAAAGTTGAGCAAATGCAAACACCATGCAATCTTAAAGAAAAACCAACCCAGCCATTATATTACAATTGGGTTATTTTCAAGCATTTTTATTTTTCTTCTTTTTTTCTTCCTTTTTTGTGTAAAGGAGACCTTATGTGCCCCTCTATGCAGTAATTTTGGCATGAGAAGGGCAGTAGAGTTAATGACAACATCATCACATGTCAGCGTAAGAACCGAAAACCACAAGTGAGTCATAGTTAATAACCTTTATGACTGGGCCATCTGATAATGAAAAGATCTCATTTTTATCTTAATTTTCTTATAGCCTTGGTTCATATTTAATGACATGTACATTAAAATTTATATGAATATCACTAATACAGTATTACTTGGTTTTTGTATCACCAACCAGTACCAGTATGAAGTAAATTTCAATTTTTTTAATTAATGACCTTAGAAGGATCCAAGGTTCAGGATGGACACTTTAAGGTAAACCATTTGGTCACATTCATATAGTTCAAGTCATTTTCATTATTTAACACAATAAACAAAATTTAATCAATATCTGTATCATATATACCCGATTAATCAACATTTTTACATTTTGATCAAATCTTATTATACATTATTTAAATTAATTCACAGTCAAATTTGTACTACTTAATTAGAAATAAAATAACAAACATATTATCTACAATAATTTAGTCACCAGTGTCATTTAACATTATAATTGCAATACATAATAACAAAAAGAACCACTTTTTTGTCAATGAAAATAAGAAAATTTCACTGAAGATAACATAAACCAATACACACTTAAATTGAACTTATTCCTTTTATACACTTAAATATTTTTTTAAACATTTAAAACATTTTTACCTTTTTTTTTCTTCAAATGTTAACATACTATATGTAAATGCAATTTTTATTTATCCTCTTGGTAATTTCAGAAAGTTTAATATTAAACTAATAAACTAATGTTTATTGAATTTTAAAACATTTTTGTTTACAATGTATTTTCAATGTGCAACTATAATTTTTTTTAATTAAATTGGTATTTTCAGTTCCTATTTAATTGGTATTGTCATTTCATATTTAATTGGTATTTGTTGTATTTAATTGGTATTTTTACTCAAATAAATTATGATGTTCAAGAATTTGTTTCTATATATTCTAAATATATTTTCACAAACTTTTCAAGATATAAATTTACTTAGTCGAGTCTGAAAACCACAGATTTCATACCCCAAGTTTCAAATACAAGACAACACACCAATTAAAATGAAAAAAATCTATTTCAAAATGGGACATATAATTTAATGAGGTAATGTTTTAACTCTTTTATATGCACAATCATGTCAGTCAAACATTTATTTTCCTTTTCAACCATTCAATATACAGTGACAACAAAAAAATATCTAACAAAACAATCCTGACTGATTTATAACTAATTCTACATACAACCAACTCAACACTTGCACACCAAATACCAAGTAATCCGAAATAAAGTTTTTTTTTAACATTTTAACATTAATAGACTTTTATACATGTTGATTATTGCACAAAGTGAGGTTTTTAAATAAGTCGACTATGACTGTTAGCTATATGTTGTTAAACACTTCCCATACCATTTCAATCTAAAACACTTCTCATACAGTTTAAAACACTACCCATACAGATCTAAATCTGTAACTACCCATACAGTGTAAATCTAAACTTCTACAATTCTGAAGAACATCTATCACTCAGCAAATTTATCAAGCATATATTAAAATACTTTCACCACACAGCAAATACTGACAAGAAAAAATAATTGAAGAACACAAAGGTTTGAGTTTTGATAGTTTAAATTTGATCAAGAAAACAAGTCTTTAGTTATGATAAATTGAAAAAGGAAACAATGTAGAATTACAGTACCTTGGAAAAGGAGAGGTGTAACAAAAAAATATAGGTATACATATGAAGTATTAATTATGAATCTGACATCACAGTAACACATTTTCTAGAGCCTGAAAAACATAGGTTAACTTGAAGATATTGAGAAATTCAAAGTCACTAAACAAGAATTTATTTTGCATACCAGTATCAGAAATTTTGCACAGACATCAGACAATTTGCATACTGGTTTTTGCTTACCGATATTAGACATAACTTGCATGCAGGTATTACAGACTTTGCATTCTGATTAATTCAAGATTCTGAATACCGGTATATGACAGATTCTGAATACCGGTATATATATGACATATTTTGCATACCGATATCTCATAAACTTGCATCATCATATTCTTCAAAGAAAATCACATAAATCGGGATTCAGGCATCTTACATACAAACAAAACTTCATTACAGTTAACATCAGGGGTGCGAATAAATAAATTGATGCATTTAAATTCACAATAAATATGTCTGCAGTAATGCAATGAAAGATCAAAATTTACAAACATAAAAAAATAATGAACAAAAATCTTGATTTGAACACCTATGGTGGTTACGACCATTTGAGGGCTAAAATTAAGTATTAAATAAAATTTATTCATACAAATTTATATATATAAAAAGAACAAAATAATATTGATGCATTAAAAGCATTAAATGCTTAAAATGTGACTGTAAAAATACATTGTACATCTGCATTTTAACATAAATTTTGTCGGACATGCCTAAATTTGCATATCGATAAAAAAATCAATAATATGCCTTTACTTTTCCTTTGAGACAAGCATGTAAGCCCTTATTATAAGGACATATGCATATAATGTTTCATCTCCTGCATATATCATTAACATGCATATAAATAAATAAAAAGTTTCATAAATAAAACACACTTGTTATCTTTGGCTTTCTTCAGCATTATGTTCACTGAACTTCTTCTCAATTATTGTGTAATCACAATTTAAAAATTATCAAATATCAAAACTAATAAAATAACATTACTTCATTACTTTAGTCACCTAAATGTAAAAAGCATTCTATATTTCACAGATTTTCGTCTTTAAAATATTAAAGTCTGTACCTTAAAACAAAAACCAGCTTTTAAAACACAATTCTTTCTTCTAATGAACCCTAAACTTAAGAACAACTAATTCCACAAAAGTGGCACTGTATACATAAGAGTTCAAGTTGCTACCAATTTATCTTTCTATCAATGTCTTCGTTAAGATATTTCTCGTGTATTATAAAACTGAAACCACTATTGTAAAAGCACCGCACTTAAAAAAAACAACATCACCGTTTGGTCCCATTTTCAAATGCTGTTCATAAAATATAAACAAAAAAGGCACTAGGAATAAAAACAAAGGCACTTGAATGTAAAACTGGTCCCCATAATTTTACTTGGTCCTCTCTCTTATAATATCCCGTCCTTTGTAACTGAGCATTCCACATTGCATAGTGAGGTATTTGCATTATCTTATTACACCGTCAACAACTTCCATATAAGGTCATTTCATCATTTATGACGCACTTCCCCCTTCGATTCACCGTCGGTTCCCCTAGTACTCATTTTAAGGTCAAAGTGAGGGCTCGATACGTCTTCACATACTTCCATATAAACTATGGCTCGTTAATTTATATATATAGATAGATATATGAACAATGGAAAGCACTATCAGCTGCAGGTCACAGGGGTCACAGAAGGAGTTTCTGGTGAGTTCACTATATGATTTTTCTTGTCACTCTGGGGCGGGGTTAACTGTGTAATAATCTGAGCCTGCTGATCTGGAGGACTACCATGATCCACGTAAATGGCCTCGTCTCTACGTAACTGAGCTTTCTCCTGTAGAACACAAAAGATCAATGTATGATTTAGTAAGAAAAAACAAATATACAATAGTTTTTAGAAAAAAAAATATAATTATTAAATAGTGAAAATCATTATTTTCATAGTCTTCAGTTGAGAAGATTGATAGCAATTCCATTTTTAATGCTGACACCGGTCATAGCTTTAGTCATGTTCTGTTTATTTACACGGACATGAAGTCTTTTTTTTTTAATATCAACGTCATTTAGACTAAATGTTGAAAGCTAGAAAAGTATTGTTTCTTTTGTTCTTTTATCGAACTGTTTATATAAATTCTAATAGAAGTCACTTTCAAATATTTTTTAATAATCATGTAAACATTTAAAATATATATTTTTGGTAGTGTTATAAGTCATTCTAACAACATTTAAGGCAATACAACAGCTTTCCAGCTAGAGTGGTGGAAGAGAAATTTAGGTGCTCCTCTGCAAATTGTGTCACCAACTGGTGACTAGCACCTGAGAAAAACCACCAATCTTTCATTAGAAAGCTTGTTTATAAATAGACCTACCAATAAATTAAGATCAACAACATGGGTTTGAATGGTATGAGAATCTTCAGACTGTATATTGGGGAAAAATTTCACTGCAAGCGGTCCAAGCTCCTTTACACTCGCAGCATAAGGTGCCATCCATTGAACACATGGTAAAATATCTTTCCATTCATAACCTGTAAAATCAAAACAAAATATATATTGCAATACAAAAACACAATAAATAATGTTTTCCCAAGCAACTTGACAGAATAAAATGACAAGATAATCATATAAAGTTTAGTTTCAGAGAAACATAATTAAACTCGCATTGCACACAAAAAGGACTCTTTGCTACAGGGATAAGTCATTTTCAATACAATATAGAATTTATAACATTAAAGGGTGGGAAAATTTCTTACTCAGGACAATGATGAAAGGCAAGAGGTGTATGGTAGAAAGCAGTGATATTTCTCAGAATTGGAGGACAGGTTGTCCCTTTTGAAGCGAGAAATTTTAATAGAAACTATCATTAATGTAAACATAACTGAAGGCAGTACATGGGTAGTTATATTTACTTTTGATGACAATGACGGAAAAACAACAAAATTTCGTCTTTAACATAAATTATCAAGAACTACAGAAAGAACTGTAGTTTTCAGTTCAGATAAATTTTTCTTCTCCTTTTAAAGTGGGAATATTGGCAAAGGCAGGGGGATATATTTTTTGGAGGTAGGAAAAATGGTCAAATTCAGCTCAAAATTCACAGAAAGGTTCAAGAAAAAATGGTTGAAACATAAGTAACTTTAACTACATCCCCCAACTACATCCAACAATTAAAGGGAGATAAATATGAGCATTATTATTAACAAACCTGAGACAGAGAGTACAAGATCCCGTGATGATTGATGAAACAAGGCCGCTGCCGCTAACACACTGTACTGAAACTGTAAACTTTCTATATCTAGTATACACAGGTCCAGCAACTGTAATACAAAAAGAGAAACATTTAGCAACTTTATCTTACATATTACCAACAAAATATTTTGAATACTTTGAACAATTATTCAAACAATGAATTGACCATTTAACATGCAATTATTTTACACTTTTAAACCCTAGAATAATGAAACTATATATATATATATGACCTACCAGTTACACCACTTTATGACCAGACAAGCCTGCAATTCTCTACTTTTAACTTGACATGATTCAAATTTTCATATTGCCAAAAATGGAAGCTGACCAAGTCCAGCTAAAGAAATTAAGTAGGATTTAGTTTTTATCTAAAGTTCCATCACATACATGCTGAATTACAACTTTTTTAAACAATTTTCAATTTTTTTTCCCTGTAAACTTACCCGTGCTATCTGTACAAACACATGTGAAGAGTACTGTGGAAAGACAAAACCATGTTCACCACCGTGTATGTTTTCAACATTTGACACTTGGAGGTAGATATTTAACCAACCATTTGCTGTCACTGGTGACAAATCCCAGTTGATTGCCTACAGAAAAGAGAAAAATAATTGCAAAAATAATCTAATAGGATGACAGGCAAAAGCACTTTAACACATGGTTATATCTCATAGTAGACTAGAGAACCAATTGCAATGAGCCATTTCCTTGTCATAGAAAGAGTAACGTTAAATTTTCCCCTCTTTTTTTTTTTTAAATAGACAGGCCCTGTAAACAAGCCTTTAGTCAATTTCAAAGGTACCATTTTTTTATCATAATTGTGTTTAGAAAAAATTATCAATGGCCTATTCTTGTATTGCCTGTTGTTGCAACCTTGACCATGTTTTAACTTAAAATCTCACTGCTTTGTTTGTGCTACTGATTATTATAGTTTTAATAGACATTCTTACTTGATTTATTAAATGCTACAAATTCATATACATGTACAAGTAAGGTTTTATACCTTTAATATCAAAAGCCTGCTATATATACAAGGATACATACCTTTAATATAACAAGTTCCTGATCTAGAATCTCATCTTCTGTACAAGCACCATCAGTAACATATGCAAACTCTGCTAACTTTGGTGGATATATTTCCTAAAATGAAACATTTTCATTTACATTATTTCAATCAAATTTAAGTATTTTTCTTAACAAGTCAATAATATTATTTTCCTGTATCAAAATGTGGACTATGACTATTCTCATTCTATGTTATCAGCATTTTTGTAAATTTTGAATAGGTTCTGTACAGTGAATTGTGAAAAAAAATCGCCAAAGTCTTAAAAAAGGGAAAAAGTAATAAAAATTTATATACTTCCCTGTCAGCCCAAATCATTGAACCGACCTCGGCCTTCAGTCTGTTTAATGTCATTGGACTGATAGGTCACTATAATGCTATGAAGCCCTTAGTGCTGTGTATTATATTTTCAAGAATACAAGTTGTTCCAAGTTTAGTTATATATATTTAGCATGGATATAGCTTCAAACTCAAAATTGGTGAACTGATAAATAAGAGCCAGCACTTCCTGTGTAATTTTCTATTGAATCAAATTAAGGTACAAATATAGGAGATAAATTTAACAGATGTGAAACTTAAAATATTTTAGTAACACAAGCAAGTGCTATCCTTAACTAAAAGTTAGTGGTATAATATTTCTTACCTCTAATTTAGCAGCAATAAATAAGCATGTAATTCCTATAAGTTGTAATTGATGTTTTTGTAAATTGCTTTGTTTCGACAAAAATCTGTCTAGAAAATCTACAGCCAGATAGAACGACTCTCTGTGTAATCTGTAAACCTCACATACCTGTAACAAAAATATAACAGTGTTTTTTTACAACTATATATAAATAAATCAGAGGAAAATGGAGAAGTACAACAAAGCTATATAAATTATAAAATAGTACACTACATTCTTAAATAGATCTATAAATAATTTTTCTTTGTATTAGTTAAAAAATACAGGAATTTCAAAGTGTTCTTCCGCCTATTCTTTATGTGAATCTGGTAAACTCACTGTTATCTATTTTTTACTAAATGGTGTCAGTACTTTTTGAAAATCTGATTGTTTTCCCCAAATTTATATTATATCAGAAATGACCCATTTGAGCAGACTCTACCAATTGGGTGGAAATACTACTGTTTTATGGAAAAATTGATCAATTCCAGTTTTGAATTGTGTAAAGTTGTCAGATGTCCCTCCATTGTGTTATATGCATCCAAAGCATGATCTTTGTAGAACCACTGATTGGTTCAACATGTTTGTTTAAGCTCATTTCCTAAACAAGTTCTTGCAAGTAATCACTTTTGAGTCCGCTTCCTTGAACAAACCAGTACCACTGATAATAAATTTAAGTTAAAATTGAATTAAAAGTTTTAATATGAAAACCTCTGGAGCTTGTAAATAAAATTTTGTAATATAAAAATTTTAAACTTACTTCTATTAACCAATCTAGTAAAATAGCTCTCATTCTTGCATGTAACGCAGGATGTTTGTCAAACATATTCTGATCTCGTACATAGTTCAGTTCCTTCCTCAGCATTGTGTGCCAGACTTCCTGGGAGTCTGCCCAATCTAACTGTGGTAACGGCGATTTTCTCACTTCTACAGGGGTGGTGTAATAATTCTGAAATCTGAACTTTGACCCTAACATCAGTTCGGAGGTCAAGGGTAACCTCTCGGGAGAGGACTCGGGGCTTGGTACTATGGAACATGTTGTGATAGCCGTTGTTTCTGATATTGGGACCCATTGATTCTGAAAAACAGAAATTCAGACCATATAAGTCATAAAAAAGACACCAAAGAAAACCTGAAATTATTTCAAAAATTTTGGTTGAGACTGCAGATTGGATTTTTTAAAATTAAAGATTGGATTTCAAATGAACTTAATACTGTTATTCATTTGCCACTTCAAAGCATTATTTCATACTACATTCCCTGATTGATAGTCACCTTCTTCAAGTCTTGAGTAATTATTAGTTCAATTCACAGATAGGGGAAAGGGACCTTTAAAGTAACAAATTTTACAAAATTAAACTGAAATACGGTATATATACAGATGTGACAAAATTAAAAACTGTTGTTGTTTTGTTAAAGAAATTTCATTTACACCACTTTGTATGTATTTATTTGATTTACAAGTTATAACTTCTTTCAAAAAGTTGAAGACATCCCCCCCAGGACATATAAAAAATGAATTTTTTTTATCAAAGAAAAATTATTATGTCTGCAGTTTCCCTTTTATTGGCAAACTTATATAACATAAACACACCTTTTTCATTTTATCTAATCTAAAAATCAAAAATCAGACAGTTGTTTCTTTAACTCTTAAAACAACATCTCTGAAAGTTTTCCTACTTACTGAAAGTAGTTTTAAAGCCATTTTATCACAATCCAGATGTTTTCCTTTTTCATAAAAATCCCTGTCTAAGCTGCTACTTTAGATGTAGATAGGGTAATCATGAAAAACTTTTGTTAAAGATAATTATTGCGGATTAAGACAAGATGCCAGCACAAACATTCGATGACCCAAAGTAAAAGCTGTGATAGTAGAAGGGTATTATGTAGATTTGTTACATTAAAGACCTAAAGCCAACAATCATCAATGTACACCAAACTGTGAACAACATATTACTTTATGTAAGTTAGTCTGAACAAACAATCCAACTGCTGTGTATGCCATGTTTAGATTAAGGTGTGAGAATTAGATACAAGGTGTGTAAAAACGTAAGCCAAGCCATGGGGTCCACGGTGTCTGACACCATTTCATTGTAGATAATATAGATTGACACAGATTGTTGCTTTTGCTGAGCAAAAAAAAAAACAAGTTTGGAAAGTTATTCATAACAAATTCATTTAGTATTAGAGTTCTACTCTTTTTCATGTATAAAATTTCCAATTGCATAAAATAGCCTAAGGCTTAATTTTAGCTTGAAATTGTAAAAAACAACATTTTTTTAGAGTCTGAACATATCATTTTTCATTTCGACATCACCCAATAAAGTACCAGTAAAAATTTGAAGTATTGACTGATAAAAACACAAGGTAATAAAATAATTTAAATTTACAATGGTTCAAAAGACTGCACAATGACAATTTTTCATTTTTAGAATTATCCTGAGGCAATGAACTGTCAAAATGGAGTCAGATATATAGCTAAAGTAGGAGTTTGACTCTATAACACCTCAACTTTATTTTATCACTTTTTTCTTTAAATAGCTTAAGGCTAGAAATATCTCCACAACAACCAAATACAGACTGCATTTCATTTTAAAACATTTGGTTTTATTAGTTTTTTTTTCATATTGAATTTTCTGAAAATTAAAACATTTTGTTGCATAGATAGAATTGATGTTATATAATAACAGGTAAAATTTAATGGTCATTTTTTTTTAAAATTTCAAATCAAATTGGATTGTCTTGGTCAAAACAACCTTTAGAAACAGACCTTGAAGTAGACCAATATACCTGATAATTAGGATGACTGTCAACACAAGTCAATACCGATTTTTAAGAACCCAAGTCTTGGTCTATGAAACATTCACCAGTGATTTTTTTGTACTTTTTTAAATCCTAGTCGTAATTTTCATAAAACCATGCACTTTTTCGCATAAATCTAATCTTACACTAGTCTTTTTACTCCCCAAATAGGCAATAATAGCAAAAATTTTCCAAAACTCCAAATTTAGTGGGAAATGTTCTAAGTATGAACTATTTGAATATTTCTTTAAATTATTGGAAGAAACCTGCCAGAATGAAATAACAACTGAGAATCAAAAGCCTTGTTGTAAAACAGGAAACAACAAAGTTTTTCATTTGGGTGCCTAATATTAGTATAATGGAAATCATTAATGATGTCACATCAAAATATTAGCACAGCTGTGCCATACCATTTCTTACAGACAGTTCTAAAAGCTTCACAGGCATGTGATAAATAAAATAACGCTCTAAATGACAAGTTTGAAGTTTAAAGTGAATACGTTAAGCAGAAAATAAATGAGGATATCCGAAATTACATTATTTTAGCGCGGTTCATTCATAAAATATGCTAAAATTATGTTGCTGTATGGCATGCAACTCATCTGGCACCCCCAATGCAAGATGAAATTTCTGGCATGGGTAAAATTAATAGAAACGCCAGTCTGCTGCTATGCATGATAGCTGCATATTTCCAATCCTCTCTTATATTTTCTTATATTTTATAAACTTAAGATCTTGACTGTGTGGGGCACAACCACCTTGTACCTAGTAGAATATGAACTTCCTATTCTTCAGTCCCATACCCATTATTCCTCTCTAGAACTATAAGGCATTGGAATAACCTCCCATACCAGGTCAAATCCAGTACCAGCCTAAATATCTGCGAGGATAGACTAGCTTCTCTCTAGTCCCCCTTTGTATGTTACAGTTCTTACTTAAACCATGCACACTGCGAACTTTTAATTTTAACTTTGTACGTAATGATTTTTAACACCCCCCCCCCCAGACAGAACACCTGCATTTAATGGGCAGGATGGATTGTTCGACAAAACAAGAGTATTTATTAGACCATGGGCATTGCTGTAATATGCATGAGGATTTAAAAAAAAACAACCATTTCATCATCATAGCATGTCCCCCACTCCAAGAAACCGCCATGTTAATGTATAACCTATTTATGCTGAATGTGACGAGCAGAGAATATTTCATGTACCAGTTATTTTCAGGCATTAAGCAGTAATGTTGGAAACAGGTAATTGCATCTTTGGTTTGTAGGAATTATATTTCCTGTTGAACCACATGCACTCAAAATGAATTACCAGAGAGAATTATTATCTAAAAATATTCAAGCTATACAAGATTTACAGAAAGTAGACAAATTTCCAATAAAAATCAACTTCAATCTGTTCACATAATGCTATTTAGTACTTTGCATAGTGGTCAGAAACGACACATATGAAAGAGAGAAAAAACTAGGTCATGGCGCCAAATTGTTTATAAAGAAACGTAACTAAATATGCAAAATTTTAAATGCAAATGAAAGGACTTTACCTCAATTCGATAATGTTGACGTTTCTTAGCACATGCCATCGCTTCTTCTGGATCCTGAAGAACAAAAAAGGTCATAAATTCTTTCTTCAACACCAGACATTTTTTCGTACCCCACCCACTCGTTTTAACGAACAAAGGAACAGACATTTTGCATGACCGACATTTTAAAAACATAATTTTTACCTCTTCTGCTTTCCTTTTACGGCTGATTTTGGTGCATAATGGAAGTTGCTCTGTGGTTTTTGCTTTGGTGTTCATGCGGGAACTGTAAAAGAACGAGATTCCTATATTTTTAAAGAAAATTGTAGCCTACCGGCTAAATCCAAAATGGCGGTAAATCTTAATAAACGACTAAAATTAACGTAAATGCAAGTATAAATACCTTTTTCTGGACATTTTGCTCCGCACTTTACACATCCGACGAGTGCTGTAAGGAAAAAATAGAAATTTAATCAAAATAAAGTCCAGTTCATTTTGGCGCAACTTTGCAACAGATCCCTTCCTTACCCCGGCCGTCCGCGTTACTGATGTGGTATGGCAAATGATTTTAACACCTTGCCGTAGGTCAAATATTAACAGTTACACCTAGTCTCGGATTTTTTTGTTAGGAAATTAAAACTGAATAAATCCACCTCCAAATTTTATTTGTGTACCTTTTTGCAAATGAAGAGATAACTGCTAAATAAAATAATATTTTTTTTTAACAAAAAAATGTAAACCAAAATTAATGCAACATTATCCAACACATTTAAAATAATTTATAGGTGCTCTATCCATACTTTTTTAAAAATCTAGCACTTGATCCAAATCATTTTCTAGTTTCTATCTCAAATGTTAGTGCGAACACACTGTCGTTCTCTTTGCAACTGACTAAGGTTTCCTTTGTGGGATCAGCACTAAAATCAAGGGCCACTCACCGTAGCTCCCGCCAACACGAAATTCTACGGACTTAAGCGAACTAATTTTTTCATTTTTATATATAATAATAAAGATTAAGTAAAGTTATGATTAAAAGGCATTTTTGATACATTATATTGTCAAATTCACGGAAATTTAATAAATATCTTACATATTTATCAAAGATCAAACTAATCCGTATTGAAGGCATTTGACGTAAACAACCGCGAAATCGGCCACATTTCAAAGACCGAATTTTGATTTCATATTAAATTAAACATTAATTTTTAACAAGTACTAGAAAAAATACATTAAAAAGTGTATTGATATGTTCCTGGGTATTCATTATTTTATTGAAAACTAGTATCATTAAATATCTTAAATTTATAACTCGGAAGATAATTTAATGAATCCATTAAAAGTCAAAAGTTGATTGAAAAAATCTCCAACAACTGTTAATGGATCAAATGAATTTTGTATACCAAATCAAAATATAATATTTACTTTACAACCTTAAAATTTCATCACATTGGTCCGGCATAATATTAAGAAAGATATTTGGTAAAACAAAAGGTGCCTATTTTCTCTAATCTGTCAGTTTTTGTAAACATTGTATGTATGTCACGCATGCGCAACCTAATTTCAAATCGGCAACCCAAAATGCCCCCAAATTCAACGTCAATGATTGGTCAATAGTACTATTGAAAACACGCCTACTTCAAAATGTAAACATTGCCTGAAAATGGACGCGAGTTGTACGGCATGGTTGAAAATATTTCGCAGATTTAGAGGAAATATTGTCGGAATGATTCACTTATCAGCGTGTCCTGGTTGGCAGATTTGTCTATTAGATTCTTGTTTACACTAGAACAAATATGATAAATTGTGACATTATAAAGAATCAGTACAAAACGTATTTAAAGTCGATACACACCTGCAAATATTACTATAAGTGTAATGTTATTCGGATATTTTACCAGTTTGGCAATTTCATCTTATTTGTCGCGTTATCGTTGCCTTTTTGATCGCAATAAATCTTGTATGACCCTACCTTTTTAAGAAAAGCCATATTAGGCATAAATGTGAACTTTTTTTGATGACGAAGTGGGAGATTTTCCTTCAAAAAGAGGGAGATTTGCAATAAATAAAGAAGGAAGTTCAGTTCTGACATCAAAAATAGGGAGATATCTTTAATTTGTGAAAATATCCCATATTATAAGAAAAATCTTTGAAAAGATGGCTGCAGAAAGTGAGAGTCTCCTGCTAAAAGTGGGATAGTTAACGTGTATGATTAGGTACTGTTGCCAAAAGTAGGATCGAAATATTACAAGCATTGCAAAGATAGATTGCATTGCCAAAATTTTAGAGATTTCTGTATTTTGCAATAACACATTTTTTTTGGGACACTGTGATTGATTTATGTATCTTTCAATAGACAAATTGTTTACAGTATTTGTTCACTTTTAATCTTTTTTGATAAAGTGTTGACTATATAACACCTTACTGAAATTTAACCTTTGAATATTTCATCATTACATTTTCTTCTACACAATATCGAATTACATTTGAGCTCATGGTAATTGTCAAGACATTTTCTGACACCTGATTTGAACTTTTTTCCTGTTTGATGTTAAAAAGACTAACTCTGGAATTAAGAATATTTGGGGTTTTCCCAGCTAATAACATAGGTATAAACAAACGTTTACAGTCACAGCTTTGAAAATAAGCTAAGCCAGTTGATTAATCTATTGTGACAGGTAGTGCACTGTAAAGATATAACAGTAAAAGTTAGTTTGTACCCACATTTGCCTAGTTCCAAGTAACATCTATTGCTGAATTTTAACAGGACAAAAAGAACTATATACATCAATAATGGCAATTATGTGCTAATTAACACATTCCAGCCTGTTTACAAAAGATTGGAAAAAAAAACATTAAGGCTTGTACAAGAACTATCACCTGTTTGAAAGTTAACAAGTCAAGGATGCATATAATTTATGCACATATTTATATACATGTACTTAACAACAAACAGTGGCAGAATGATTGACATATGCATGGCATAAGATAACACATGTTGCACTAGTACAAAAGAAAGATATGTATCAGAAAGCTAACATTTCACACCTCTGTGAGAGATATGGATATACTGTAATCTTGATCAGATAAGGGGTGACCTTAGGTATAACAGGTTTATGAGATAATCTAAGGTATGCATGGGTACAAGTTTTCAGGCATTTGCCTGAAGTTCAGGCTTTTTATACTTTTTATTACATTGAACCAATTAAATTGATGCTAGATTTAGGGTTTACAGAAATTTGAACTTGGAAACATTAGTATGTCCAATGAAAGGCAAGTAAATCCTATGAATATACATGCAGAAAATTTATTCTTTTTTTTCAAAACATTTTCAGAAACAATTGCTTTTAACGATATTTACTGCACAAATACATTTTGAATTTGTAAATATTTTATTATGAAGACATTTCTTGAATGGGTAAATTACTTGATACCAGTAATGTATTAAAAAACAAATAATTTAAAAAGTTACCTTTGAAAGCATACATTCCCAGGTTTTTCTTGAGTAACCATTCTGTTAGGTTTCTATTAAGTATTAACACTGACTTTCACTGCAGAGTTTCTTTGTTAAATATACAAATAAGAAACCATCTAATCTGTGTTTTTATGCCCTATTGCTTGAGCAAATGCCTTCTGTGTGACAGAATGTGTTGTGAACAAATAACTGGATTATTTCATAGTGGTCAGTTAGATCAGTCCCTATTTTCTCACCTTGGTCATGTGAGAGTAATTACTGATACAGTATATGTATACAATGCCTGCATTGTCCAATTACAAAAGCTGTGAAATATTTGTCATGATACTTGTAGCTTTTCTAGATAATAACTTATTGATTGGTTTGTTTGAAAGTAGTAATTACTGTCTCAAACATCCCTTTATGTTTTGGTTGTGTACACCGTCCTAAGAGTCTCACCTTCTAAAAACATTCCTTACCAAAGCTGATGGCTTTTTTATTTGAAGACTCGGAAACATGTTAAAAATAGATCACAATGTGTTAAGAGAAAACATACAGTTACAAAATGTATATGTTACTAAATTTATCATGACAAGGCCTTATTTCCAGTTTAATGCCCAAAACTCAATTTTTATTGTGTTTGTCTTAATCTCAAATGCAAAACAATTCTTTAACAATATTTGAAGGGTTATTCTCTTTGTGGCTTATTTTAGGATGCCCAAAAATAGTATCAATAATTTTACTGACTTAAATTGGAGTTTTGTACTTTCTTCCACCAAATTATGATCATGATTTAACATTTTAAACATAATTTATAGCACCATGTATCATCTTTTGTGTCATTTATAAGCTTGTCTGTTTTACAGAAATAGTCAAGCTATTATGATGGCTGAATTTTTGTCGTCATTGTGCAGATACATATGCAGTGCTCCTGTTTACAGATACATGTATTATTTGTATAGATTTTTAATTTATCATATTGTAAATCAAATATGTAACATTTAGATGGAAGATGTGGCATTGCCATAATTCAATAACAGTATCTGTCATTGTATTTTCAGGAACACCCAGATATCAAGGGTCTGTGAGGAAAATTATAGAGAAGGCTGAGTATGAAGCCAAAATATATAAGGAGGCTGGTGTGGTAAGTCTAGTAACGTTTGGGGGCAATAATGACTAATTTCTTAGCCCCAGTTAACTTGAAAAACCTGAACATATTAAACACTTTAACAGTATAGTAGTAACCTGGCATCATTTGCATAATACATGTATTTGGAAATCTGGTTAGAGAATTAAAAAGGAAATATACCAACATATTTCTTTCAAACATGCATTTTGGAATTATCCTTTGTTTTTCAAATTCAAACAAAAATTGTAAACTGCAGGCAGAAGAAATGACTTTACACACTTAAAGAATTATTTGTAAATAAAGAAGCCAATATTATTAATCCGAAATAATATCGGGTCACTTTTGTTGTGATTGATCTATGGTCATTCGCATTTTACCTTTGCTCTGGCATGTTCAGAGGTAATATCAAATCCTTGGGAAAATGAAGGCAGAAAGTGATGGTAAACTGCCGAGGTACAAAGCGGTGGCTAGACTGTGCTCTGGTGAATTCAAAGTGGCTCAATTACTGTTGTTATCTGGAGGGTAAACTACAAAAAGCAGCATAACATACCACTTTTAGAACTACTGTCGTTGTACACTTTCTGAACAATGTTAAATTCTATAAACTAAATACAATTTCTTGTAACATACAGGACAGTGTATTGGTGGAGAATATGCACGATATCCCGTACCTCCACACACAGGAAGTTGGACCGGAAGTTGTATCTACTATGACTAGGGCGTGTTCCAGGGTTAGACAAGTGTTTGATACAGGACCAGTGGGTGTCCAGATACTGGCAGGTGCAAATAAACAAGGTTTAGCCGTGGCTGTGGCAGCAGGTAGATTATATTGGTTTACATTTTCAATAATTCACATGTCAAATATCATTGTGATTTTAAACATTAAATATCATTGTGATTTTACGCATCAAATATCATTGTGATTTTACACATCAATTATCATTGTGGTATTACATGTTAAAATATTATTGTGATTTTACATTTCAAAGTTCATTGTGATTTCACATGTCAAATATTATTGTGATTTTACACATCAAATTTCATTGTGATTTTAAATGTCAAATATCTTTGTGATTTTACTCATCAAATATCATTTTGATTTTACACGTCAAATTTCTACACATCAAATTTCATTGTGATTTTAAATGTCAAATATAATTGTGATTTTACACATCAAATATCATTCTGATTTTACACATCAAATTTCATTGTGATTTTAAAAGATAAATTTCATTGTGATTTTACATGTGAAATGTCACTGTAATTTTACAAGTCAAATATCAGAAAGTGTAGGAGAGTCCTGTATTCAATTGAGACAATTTTTTTTTGGTATGTTGTAAAATGGCAAACATTTGAATATTTTCACAACCAGTAATTTTAACAGAAACTGATTAAAAAAGATGAACAAAGCAGTTTTTGGCAATTTGTGACACGGAATAAGGCGTTTTTTTCACATTAAGATGGATGGTGATGTAAAATTGAAAAGAAATAAGAAAAATTGATTGCACACGAAAATAATATATTACCCACTCAACTATTTTGTTGTTTAAGTGGACATAATAAAAATATTATATCTTTTCATACAGCTAAGATAAAACTAAATGTATTTTGTTTTAACATCATGTAGAGCTGGATTATATTCGGGCTGAAGGATTTGTGTTTAGTCACGTGGCTGACGAGGGTTTAATGAACGCATGTGCAGGTCCCTTGTTGAGATATCGCAAAATGATCGGTGCAGAACATATACAAGTATTTACAGATATCAAAAAGAAGCACAGGTAAAATATATTCATTCATAATATCTGTGAATATCTTTGTACAAGTATATAAAAGAATTATCCTAGAATATTTTAATTGAGGTTAAACGGCCATTTTTATATACATTTGTAACTGAAGAATACTCGGTTCCTATGATATCAAGGGTTCTATGATATCAAGGTATTTAAATTTTCTGTGACTGCTAGTAAAAGCAACTTATGATGATGCTAATATTTGTAAAACTTACACACTAGATTCATTTTCATCTGCCAATAAATTTAATTTGGTGAATAATGACCGTATTTGTGACAAGAAAACTATTTTATAAAACCTTCATATTTGACTACCATTTTCCTTAATGGTTTTTACACAGTCAGTTAAAATATGTTATAAACACATATACTGACATATAGTTTTAATTTTATAGCAAGTTAACTGTTGGAAGTTTTTCACAACTTAACTTGAAAGCTTTGACCCATCTATCCTTCCATACTTGCTTATTTGGGGATTACCTTGATACCGTTGTAACCTCCTCTGAAATTACCCAAAATGGCAGACATTGAAAATATTCTAAAAAATGTCATTTTTATTGGTTCTTTTGAAATAATTTTTTGACAAACAGTTCTGGAAAAGGTTCATTTAAAAGATGGAAGAAAAATCTCATTCATTTATGATATTTATATATAGATATTTTCCGATAAACGTTAAGTACCATGATATCATAGAACCCCGGGCTACTACTAACATTGCCACCAAATTCAAATGTAAGCAAAACTGACATAAAGTACAATAGATTGATAATTATTCTATGTATTAAGACCTTAAGTCCTTTTAGTACCAAAGTAATGCACTAGTTCAACTTATTGCCCCTTTTCAAACATTTGCTGTAAGAAATTTCCAATAAAACAGGGGAGGTTACTATAAAATGTCAGATTGTCTATATATAAAGCTAGCATTAGTTATCCCCCTTTCTTCACAAGGTTCGAGTGGGGGAGCATACTGGAAAACACATGCAAAAAAATGAAATAGAAATAGTATAAGTTATTTCCCTTGCTTTTTTTAGCTGAATGTCAGAAACTGCTACTACATTTTTGAAATATGTTTTACTTTTCGTAAACTAAATGCTCTATGCATACATTCTATAAACAGATAAATACACATTATTATCATTTTTATAAGTGGGTTGTTAAAAAATTATTAGGACTGCAGCCCCAGTGTTCGCATCATTTAGTTTACATACACAATTTTACAAACAACAAATATTAATTGGTACATATCTTCTACATTCAATAAACAAATCAATACAATATGTGTACAAATAACAATTCTGCTTTAATTACAAATAAAAAGGGGTATGCGACACATGGCGCATTAGAAAAATGAAAAAAAGATTTTAATAATGTTGCAAAATAAATTGATGTACAAAGTGTCACCAGCTTCATTCTTTCTGAAAGTACTCTCCTCTATGGTGCTGAAGAACCCATTGTCTTTATTCATCCTTAGACCTCTCTGAACTTAACTGTTGGGTGATGTTCACCGTTGTAGCTTTAAGTTTTCCTGTAGAGCTGAAATTTAGCCCCTTCAGATGTGTATTGATTGATGCCACCCAATGAGGCATGGACCTATAGCATAAATTAAATAAGTGCATAGATTAGTCTAAAAATTGACATCACAAACATCCTATCAGTTTCTTGTTTTCTTCCTTGCCCTTTCTTGTCTGTGATCTCGTCTTCAAAAGAGTATCGCCCATCAGGTGGTAAAATTTAACAAGAGCACATTTATAGCTTTTCAACATGGCGGCATCTCTACATTTAATGCTTTGGCCGCTGCTGTTTGTTTGTTTGTTTTGCCATTTAATGTCCAAATGATGTCAAATTTGGACATGACGTCATTGAATATAACAAAACATTTTGGTCGAACATAATGAAAAACAAGTATCAAATAATGAATAAACTAGAAGTAAAACTTTCTTCAATGACTATTAGATTGCTGTACATTTCAAAATATTTCAAATGTATAGGAATATGAAACAGCACAAGTCGTAAGTCCTACTATTTTTTGAACAACCCTTGTACTATTATATTATTATCCCTGTGTTTCAGTGCCCACAGTATAACATCTGATGTAAGTATAGAAGATACAGCACAGGCTGCCCAGTATTTTCTTACTGATGGTGTTATTCTCACAGGAAGTTCCACTGGTCTACCAGTAAATCATCAGGAACTTGAAGGTACAAAACTGTTCTTAACTTATATAATTATAGTCAAATAATTGCATACATCAACAGTATAGAGTCAGCTCACCTTTCACATGATGCAGTCTGAACAGGCTCTGCTCTTAAATTCTAAAATCGCTTTAAAAAAACAACGGACAAGTTGAAATTTCAAGGCAAAGCAAGGTCATTAGATAGTTATATGCTATAGAGAAAGGAGTACAGTAAGTGGTGGCCTAGTGGCTATGGTGTTTGCTTCTCAAGTCAGGGATCATGGAATAGAGCCATGACTCGGTAATGACATTCATTCAATACTAGTACGTAGTACAGGTGCTTTTAAAAAAGTGGAATCAAATGTAATTAAATTAAGTTGTTAGGACTTGTTTCACAGTCAGTACGAGAAATTGCTAAAGCTCAGGTTAAGTAACAATAGTGGGTAAAGATTGAAAACTTTTGTATTTATGTCATTGACGTTATACAAACATAGTGTGAAGACGCACTAAATGTTAGCATTACAATATACTGTAGGCATTTCAATAAAAAATTATTCTTTTTAAGTTTAAACAGTCTTTATTTTGGGTATGTGATATATAGAATATTATATTCATGTAGTTCATTACTAAATTTATTGAACTAAAATAAAAACCCATTATATAATTTTATTCAACTCGGTTATGTCTTCTATCTGTCCTTCCGCCCATCACACTGTATCTTAGCTAAAAGTTGTTTTAGTATCTTTATTAAGTATCCTCTTTTTGAAGTGCATCATTATTATGGTGTAGCTTCACATCAATCAGGTCAAGGTCACTGGGGCTAAAAATAGTTTTTCTTACTTTTCATGCTTTAAGCTTGCTTTGTCATAGAGAATTATATGGGAGAATGCATGGTGTTGACAATGTTCTTGTTAATCATAAACATGTATTGTTAATGAACATAAATTTTTATTTTTTCATTTGCAGTCGTGCAGAAGTCGGTGGATATACCGGTGCTGATAGGTTCCGGGGTGACGGCTGACAACTATCCTGTCTTCAAGTCGGCTCATGCCCTCATAATAGGTTCTTACTTCAAGATGGCACATCGCTGGCATGGTGATATTGATGAAAAGATTCTATCTGACTTCATGGATATTGTTAGAAAAGACAGGTCGTCAGAAAATATCCAAGAAGAAAAATGATTGGATGATATTAATATGTATTTTTACTTCAAAAATCCCGGTGATTAAAGGTGTTTAGCTAGTCAGAATATTATCTGTAATTATATATATACATTCCAATTGTTTAATTCATTGATTTTTAGATAATATTTTCTAGCTTTTATTACTATGTTAATGGTGTTGTAGCTCAATTGTTTGTTTTGCTGATTCATTGTTACATGAAATGTTAATAGGAAATTGCGCTAATATTGTGAGTTTGAATCCTGTATGGGCTTGGAGTTCCTTCTTCAGAAAGCTGCATGGGTTCAAACCCTGTCAGAGGCAAGTCGTTGTTACATTAAGCAAGAAATTTTACACGCATTGCTCACTGCTCAGTAATGGTTGATTCCAGGGACAGATTTGAAAGTGTGTCTTTAAGCTTATAGTTTCCTACACAAACAACTAAAATAAATTCTGTATAAACCAACAGTATGGAACTTGGTCGCACTGTATCAAGGTGCAAGCTGGCCTGGCTGTATACTAGTGGCATAGATTAATCACTTTCGGTTCCAGCATGTTAAGGGTTAAGAGTCCACCACAGAAAGGAATTCAACAATCCTAAGAAGGATTCATTCCGGCAATTCTATATACTAATAGGCATATAAATGATGCAAAATGTTTGTGATTGCCATGATATACTTATAATTTTTATGCTCCCCGAAAAATTTCGGGGGAGCATATAGTCGGCGCCTTGTCCGTCAGTCCGTCCGTCTGCACTCACAGGAGAGTAATTATGTGGCTAGAGCGACAATAGGTAACTGTTCTTTCTCTTTGATGTCATTCATTCCGTAATGCTTTTATGTGGCTATTTTCTTTTGTGTGGCTAAAAAGAACAATAGAGAGAACAATAGAGTAGCCACATAATAACTCTCCTGAGTTAACGTCCGTCTGTCCGTCCGTTGTCTTGTCCGGAGCATAACTTGAAAACCCATGGAGATAATTTGTTGAAACTTCATACAGTGGTAGAGGGCATTGAGGGGGAGTGCAGTGTCAAAAACCATAACTCTATTTTGCCCGGTTTTTTAATTATCTCCCCTTATAGAAAAATCTTGTCCGGGGCATAACTCTAAAACTATAAGAGATATCAACATGAAACTTTGTAGGTGAATAGATCTCAATGGGTAGATGTGCAGTGCATAAGAACAATAACTCTTTTTGTCCTAATTTTGGAGTTATTGCCCTTTGTTAATTTTAACACTTTAAACTTTGTCCAGAACATAACTCCAAAACTATAAGAGATATCAAGATGAATAATTGTAGGTGAATAGATCTCAATGGGTAGATGTGCAGTGCATAAGAACAATAACTCTTTTCGTCCTAATTTTGGAGTTATTGCCCTTTGTTAATTTTAACACTTTGAACTTTGTCCGGAACATAACTCTAAAACTATAAGAGATATCAAGATGAATCATTGTAGGTCGATAGATCTCATTGAGTAGAGGTGCAGTGCAAAAGAACCATAACTCTGTTAAGCCTCATTTTTGAATTATCTCCCCTTTTAGAAAAATCTTGTCCAGGACATAGCTGTAAAACTATAAGAGATATCAGCATGAAACTTTGTAGGTAGATATATCTCAATGGGTAGATGTGCAGTGCACAAGAATCATAACTCTGCCTAGCCTAATTCTGGAGTTATTGCCCTTTGTTTATTTTTACTTTTTGAAGTTGTCCGGGACATAACTCTGAAATCATAAGAGATATCATCAAGAAACTTTGTAGGTTGATAAATGACATTGATTTAAAGTGCAGTGCAAAGAACAGTAACTCTGCCTTGCCAAATTTTGGAATTATTGCACTTTGAACTTTTTCCTGGGACATAACTCTGAAACTACAAGAGGTGTACTTTCCTGTGTCCAAAACCTATTCGGGGAGCATCACCCGGCTCAAACCGGGCCATTGTTACTATATGAATGACATATTATTAATGATTTTTTTATTCAAAATTGGTAGAATTTTCCAATTCTGATTTGTGATTGTCTCTGTGTTAAAATAATTTTCTTAATATTGAATAATAAAAGGTAGTTTATTGCTGATTTTATTTGTAGCGATCGGCAATATGATATAATTTTTTCTATCTATTTTCTTATGACTATTGTTTTTGATTACATAGAAATAAGGAAAAATAAAAATATTAAAAAATAGGCAAAGAATCATTTGTTAGTTTATCAATTTACTCCTACATATTCCTACTTTCATTGTGGTACCAGTATTATCCATATTTATGAAAACATTAAAAAATAATTATTATAATAATGTACATGATTGTTTAATTTTTTTTTATGATTCATGAAAGGGAGTTATGCAGATAATTTGATAATTTTCAATCGACGAACTATCAAGGTAATGGCCCCTGTCCTTACTGTAGGCCCCACATGATTTAAGCATGCTTATCTTGCAAATTATGATATAGATATTAAATCCAGCTTAAAAACAGCTAAAATTTGTCTTAAAAAATAGTTAAATTTTGTCTAGAAAAGTTAAAATTTAACATTAAAGTGGTTAAAATTCAACTAAAACACATTGTAGTTAATTAAATATCAAGCTCTTTACCACTTTCATTTGTTTACAGCAGCTTTCTTCCAGATTTATTTACTAATTTTTAAGTAAATGCTGCTTTAAAAGGGTAACAAGATCCTGCATATAAAATTGACTTCAATCAAAAGTTTCCTCTTAAAGTAAAAAAATCTTAAAAAATCTTCATCTTTCAATAAAGAAATGGCCATAGGGAAATTAAGCATGGAAATTGGCTATATCATTTAGGTGAATCATTGTAAAACACTCATGTACAATTCTGTTCTATTCCTAAAGCAAGCTATAGAAGGTAGTCGAAGGATTTATACGTGTTTGGGAGAATAAAGTACTGTACGCGTAAGATTACAAATTGTTTTGTTTGTTTTGGGAATTGAAAATGTTTTATTACGTTTATAAAACTTGTCTCATGAAGTTGTTGTTTTACATTCTAGCTAGCTGTTTTCTTCCATAAAAGGCAAAAACCTAATTAGACGGAAATATTCCTTAGAGTAAAATGTGGCATAAACCATTTCATTGTAACTTTAGCTTTCTGATAAAACTGTCATAACAATTATTTCAAATTTTGTCAAGGGAATATCATCATGTTAGAAAGAGAAATTGAATTTCTCAAATTGCAATTACCAAAAGCCCACTCGATCGTTACTAGGCAAGATTAGATTTCTTCTTCCGAAAAAGAGTTTAACATCTTTTGCCTCCCTATAGGGTGTCATATTCTTGTCTAGGAATGCTTACTGATGCAGAATGGGAAGTACAGGAGAGAGATTTTCATTAAACAAGACATTGCACGATTTAACTACGATGTTTTACATTAAACAGTACCAACAAAGCTTAAGCTCTTTGATGTTGTGTAATTATTGTTTAATTTCTATGTCCTTTAATTATTATAACATCCAAGTCCTGTATATAATATAATACACAATTCTGTTGAACAATTCTTGGGTCCTTTGCACAATAAACAGGTTTTTTGTTCAATACAAAGGTGTTCCATAAAATACTCTGGTCCTTTACACAATCCTCGGGTCCTTTGTACAACACACAGGTCTGTTATAGAATACTTAGTTCCTTTTTACAATACTGAGGTCCTTTATATCATAAACAGGTCCTTTGTACAATAAACAGGTTTTTGTGCAATACCCATGTCCTTTGTACAATACTTAGGTCCTTTGTTCAATACACAGGCCTATGACAATACTCCGGTCCTATATACTATATACTGGTCCCCTGCACAAAACTCGGGTCCCTGTACATTACTCTGGTCCCTTATACAAGACAGTTCCATTGTTTCAATATACAGATCCTTTGCACAATACTCATACTTCTTGTACAATACTCTGGTCCTTTGTACATTACTCAGGTCTCTTGTACAGTACTCGGGTCCTTTTAACAATACACAGGTTATTTGTAAAATACTTAGGTCCTTTGTACAATATACAGGTCCTTTGTACTACACTCTTTAAGCTCATTTGTACAGTACACAGTTCCTTTATACTATACTTAGGCCCTTTGTACTATACTTGGGTCCTTTGTACTATACTTTGGTCCTTTGTACTATACTTGGGTCCTTTGTACTATACTTAGGTGCTTTGTACAATACTTGGGTCCTTTTAACAATACTTGGGTCCTTTGTACTATACTTTCGCCTTTGTGCTATACTTAGGTCCTTTGCATTATACTTGGGTCCTTTGTACAATACTTGGGCCCTTCTAACAATACACAGGTCCTTTGTACTATACTTAGGTCCTTTGTACTATACTTGGGTCCTTTGTACTATACTTTAAATAAGTCCTTTGCATTATACTTAGGTCCTTTGTACTATACTTGGGTCCTTTGTACTATACTTAGGTCCTTTGTACTATACTTGGGTCCTTTGTACTATACTTAGGTCCTTTGTACTATACGTATGTCCTTTGCATTATACTTAGGTCCTTTGTACTATACTTGGGTCCTTTGTACTATACTTAGGTCCTTTGTACTATACTTGGGTCCTATGTACTATACTTGGGTCCTTTGTACTATACTTAGGTCCTTTGTACTATACTTGGGTCCTTTGTACTATACTTGGGTCCTTTGTACTATACTTGGGGTCCTTTGTACTATACTTAGGTCCTTTGTACTATACTTGGGTCCTTTGTACTATACTTAGGTCCTTTGTACTATACTTGGGTCCTTTGTACTATACTTGGGTCCTTTGTACTATACTTAGGTTCTTTGTACTATACTTATGTCCTTTGCATTATACTTCGGCCCTTTGTACTATACTTAGGTCCTTTGTACAATATGCACTATTCAGGTCCTTTGTACAAACCTCAGGTCCTTTATACCACACAGTTCCATTGTTTCAATTCACAGGTCCTTTGTACAACAACACTTACGTCCTTTGTACAATACTTATGTTGTTTGTTCTATACTTAGGTCTTTTATACAATATACAGTTCCTTAATTTATACAATATTTAGGTCCTTTGTACTATACTTAGTTCTTTTACCTAGTACATGTACATAGTGTGAGTTACTAAAAGCTGCAAATTTAAATGAGTGGAATGAATATAATAGTAAAATTACTGTATATTCTGCTAATGTTACCTAACAACAATTTCAAAGCTGCTGAGCAAAAAGCCAACTGCTCATATCAAGTTGAAAGGTTTTAGTGAA